AGAGGAATCCGCCATGAGGGCGTCAAGGGTTGGATCTGGAAGCTCTGTGAAGGAAAAGTTGTTGCAAGAGGATTATAGAAACGCCTGTCACCGAGCACCGTCAAACGAAAGGAAACGAACCTGTTCACATGAGGGTGTTGGTGAAGAAGGGTTGAGGCTGGTCATGAGTTATGCAAGATCCGGGCAATTGTCTCGTCGAGTCCGATTCGCTGTCACATTTGACTCACTCAAGAGTCATCCGGTCTCAAAGTTCCCCGCATTGTTCCGCGATAACGATAAGAGCAACCACGACGTCAGGCAGATAGACGGAGCTAAGTCCGACCCAAGAGATTTAATTGGCTAGTACATTATATGACGCCGATCTGTGGCCGCTTCACGTTAGGCCCCACTGTGGCCGTGTTATACCAACCGTGCCTCGCTGCCTCAGGCGTAATACCATGGTTCATCGAAGACGTGGTATCGATGGCCCCGAACACCCTCTCCACGGAACAGTGCTGGGAATCTTCGCCCGGGCGCTATTTGTTCCTCAGGAATCCTTTCGTCGCTGTAGGAGACAGGCTCTCCAACCACGAACTTGCCCACCTGAGCTGGCTGTCAGTAAATTAAAAGGCAAGATGGTGAAGAGTCTTGCTTACCTGGATCTCAGTGTCCGTGATGGTGCCTCGGCTCACGCGAGCATATCCGACGCGCTTGATGTCCTTGAAGAGAATGTACTCACACCAGCGGTCCCAGTCACGAACATCGATGTCGTGCATGCCACTCTTCTCGCCCACGTAAGTCTTGTAGTTGCCCTCTCCCGGCTTTACCACGAGATAGCTGAGTAAGATTGCCGGCCGGGGAGTGGCATTCATTCGTTCGGCCAAGTATTCGGATTGCAGGCGTCGGTCCTCTGGGTCCTCTTCCTGCCCCGAATGAAATACAAAGACATCGACTAGAGTGCCGTAGACGTCCAAAGTAGCCTCAATGGCCGGCGCAAGCTCGCCCACAGGAGATGGTAGGAGGTGATGGGTCGAGTTGACGATCGGAAATTTCGACAACAGCGCTGAACCCCAAGTGTGCTTGTTCGGGCCTGGGCCGTAGTCCACATACATGCCGAGGTCCTCAGCCAGATACTGTGTTGTGTCTCGGTTGCCCATGATAATCCGCTGCAGATCCGATTCGAGTAGCCCGACCACGTCAAGCTCCAGCTCCTTGATAGCGTCACGCATTCTTCGCTCAGATGACCAGTCGTCGTTGTCCAAGGAAAAGTGAATAGTCCAGATTCCAGCAGTCAGCAGCTTCTCCTCTGGGTGATACGGCGTGTAGTCGTACGTGGGGAACCGCAGGTATGCTATCGATGCAGCTAGCAGTTGCAGCATCAGGAGAATGTGGAGGCAGTAGGTCGACTGTTTCCTTCCACGAGGGCTCGTTTTGCCTTTAGATTGATAGCCTGAGTTGGTTGTCAAGGCCGAGAACACGCCGGCGCCAATCAACAGCATTGTCGTGATCATGATCCAATCCGTGTGCTCTCTGACGAATGGTCCGCCGGGAACAAAAGCGTATGCCACCACCCAGACGTGGAACAAGACCATCAGGTTGTAGATGAAGAAACCGAAGCCAAAAGTAGAGGCAGGCCCATGCTGCACGGCGGAAGAAATGAGGACGGGCGCGACTCCCATCGTATAGAAGGCGAGCAACAGGCCACCATAGAAGCCCGTCCAGTGGCTGCAAGTGGTAAGCAAGGCAGCACCAACAGCTCCAATTCCGAATGCTGTCCACGATCCGAAGAAGCCAGGGAGCGCGACGCCTAGGAACAACCCGACGCTCATGGCCAGAATGACAACCGCGCCATGTGGAACCGCTAATGGTCCTCGTACCGGAAATCCCTCCCAAACCCACAGGATCATGGTGCTGGAATCCGAAAGTAAGGAGTGCATAGTGAAGAACAGCCCTCCGAGGCCGAGACCTGCCAGAAGGCCTGAACCCTTCTTGGCGGGAGAAGGAACGTAGTCTCCGCCGGTTGTTGACTCTGGTCTGGTGGAACGCCATACGGCCAGTAGTGCCACTACGAGTCCAGTCTTGTTCCAGCCACCGATGCCCGAATGCAGAATTGGCCAGACGGGATTGTTTGTGTGGTTCGCAAACTTCGCGATGTTTGAAAGCACCAAACCAATACACCAGGCTAGAATTCTTCGTTGCAAGCGAGCCGAGTTCCTGCGCTCAGCATACCATTCTGCCGGCCAGGCCATACAACCAACCACAACGGCAAAGCCAACGGTAAACAGACGGTTGGTGGGTTCCTTGACTAGCCACGCCAAAAGCCCCACCATTGAGGTCATATGAAGCCAACGGAGGTTCTTGATTGCCAAAGACCGTACGGAAGGGATACCGAGAATAAGAGATGAAGCAGGGCACATGACCAGGACCTCGTAGCCTGATATTCCCATATGCCAAAGTGGAAAGTACCAGATGAGGACGCCCAGCGAAGTGAGAATGGACCAGAAGAAGAAGCCATGGAGGATGTCCGCGGCGGCATCGAGCATTGCCGGCCAGTAATACGGCCCATCGAAGGTTGATGTCTGGATGAGAGCATTATCTCGCCTATCCCTGGTCAGCCAAACTCCCTGGTTCTCGCTAGCAAGTTGTGCTCACTCTTTCCCCTTGACAGATTCCTTTAGCAATCTGGCATCACTACAGACTGGTCAGCAACCCACCAAGCCAGGGTTCGACTTGGTCGTACATTTGCGTATTTCGGGAGCAACTGCACATACCCTCTAGAAGCACCCGCGACGTCCTTGACGACCAGTTCAAATGTTTCGAAGTCGAGGGCAGTGACGGCGTCGAACGCAACGTCAAACAGGATCAAGGACCACTCAAAGAACGCGTAAATGGTATACGCTTAGGCGGTCAGCTACGGCTTGCAGAGGGACGTGGACACCGTACCTCCGGCGACTTTGTGAATCTTATGCTGGATGAAGAAATAAACCAAGGGAACTAGCGTGCCAAAGAACAAACTGGCTAGAATCTTTCGACACTTCACAGCTTGCGGATTAGGTGGACTTAGTGCCAGACATCCTAAGGTCCATGGCAATGTGAATACCAAGTAGGAGATCATGAAGATATCGTGCCAATTATGATCGTCGGTAGATGTCACATAGGTCCAGCCTCCGCAGGTCAATGTTCTCAGCAAGCCCGTGGTCGCAATGATGGCAGGTAGGTTGGAGTTTGGCCTTCGCGTAAGGAAGTACCACAGTGCGACGAGGGCGAAGCGAGGGCCGGAGGTGATGGCAATGAAGACCATGAAGACAGACCGCTCAGGGTATCGGTCGCCAATGGTAGCGGAAACAGAGGGAAACCATTCATCGGGATATCCATAGTGTTCGTTTTGTACAATTTTATGGTAATGCAGGGAGACTCCGACGATTAGTGCTCCGATAAAGGCTGCGTAGGCCACGACTGTGTGAGCCCACGAAATATATTTCGCATTGAACTTGCCGCGTGTCAGCGCGAATCGAGAAGACAAAGGAGCGAGACTTACAGAAAACACCACATCGGCGTCCTTTCTCGGCGCCATGTTGGGTATTAAAGGTATTAGAACGCGACCAGCGGCATCAAGCAAGCGAGTAATGGGAGAAGGAGCGACAAGAAGTAGTACGAAAAGGTCGAGGAGCTGAGCGGCGCGTGAGAGGAAGCTGAGCGTGAATTGAACTGAACTGAACTGAATTAATTCGAATTAAACCCCCTGATGATCCGCAGCCTCGGCAGAACTGCGGCCAAATGTGTCTGTCTTCTCCGCAGCCTGGAAGAAAATGTTTCCCATTTCTTCATCTTCGGGACAATGGCTGCCGCCAGCGACAAGGCACGCTTCTTCCTTGAGCAGTCGGTTCCTGAGCTCAAGGAGTACGAGCGCAAAGGCATTTTCAACGCCGAGGAGATCACCAGCATCGCGCGCAAACGGTCCGACTTCGAACACAAAATCAACGCCAGAGGCTCAACCCCCACCGACTATGCTCGCTATGCGGAATTCGAGATCAATGTCGATGCTTTGAGACGCAAAAGGGTCAAAAGACTTGGGATCAAGTCTACAGCCCATAATGGCAAGCGCCGCGTCTTCTTTGTCTTTGACCGCGGCACCCGAAAGCATTCCGGGGATGTCGGCCTGTGGATGGAGGCTATAAACTACGCACAGAAGCAAAAGGCGTACAAAAAGTTACAAGAGATGTTCACACAGGTACTCCGGCTACATCCCACCAAAGCCGATTTGTGGATCCACGCGGCGCAATATTCGTTTGAAGAAAATGGTGACATGACAGAAGCGCGAAGCTACATGCAGAGAGGGCTTCGATTTTGCAAAGGATCAAGAGCAATGTGGCTGGAATATGCGAGACTGGAGATGTTGTACATCGCCAAGATCCATACAAGGCGAGAGGTCTTGGGCATTACCACCGCCAAACGAGAATCACCACAGCCCGACGAGGAGAATGAGGACGTTTTGCGGCTACCCAGACTGACGGCAATGGACGTCAACCCCGAAGGCGAAGAACACGAGGTAGACACGTCTGCTCTAAAGACGCTCGAGTCTACTCCTGCTCTGAGTGGCGCCATTCCCATCGCAATCTTCGATGCTGCCATGGCCCAATTTGAAGACCCACAATTCGGACTCGAGTTTTTCAACATGCTGCTCAACTTCGAGGATATTCCAGCCTGCGGCAAAGTTGCAAGCCACCTGGAGGCGGCCATACTGAAAGATCATCCGCAACATTGGGCGGCCCAAGCCTGCCATATCCAAATACCTGTGGTCTCGATCACTCCCTCCTCACCTGATTTTCCTCCGGCTTTCAGGCAGGTACTGGCACGCTTGAAGGAAGCGCGCAGAAAGGCGAACAGCCCCGAGCTGCTGGTCTGGGCCAGACTTTGGCTAGCTAAGCTCATGAAGACAGAGGATCTTGACCCAGGTCTCAAGATGGTGGGGGAGTCGGTCGCCAAGTCTCTCGGTGCCACGGACACATCTTTGTAAGGCTTCAATCAGAATCTCTCTTGGATGACCTCGACTGCTTCTTGCTCGAATGCAGTTTCTTCCACCGCAGTCTCGACTCATTTTCCGCCTTCTGAAGCCTTTTGACCTTCTCTTTCTGCTCGTCCGTTGTCTCGCCGGGTACGGTATGCTTGAACACATCCACGATCAGCTCGTTGAGCTTGCGGTAGCACGCGTCCTTGTTCGCTTGAGCCTTGCGGCTCTCATCTGCCTGGATCAAAAGGCTCGACGTGTTCTCGGCATAATAACGTGATGTCAGGATGGGTTTGTGCAAGGCGGCAGGAAGCAGCGGGAGTAGCTGGCCGATGGGCACGCGCAACTGCGCCTTGGAATTGACTCTGTCAGGCTGTCAGGCTTGTCCAGTAACCAAGCACCAATACAGCGTACTTGTTCACATTCTGACCGCCGGGGCCACTGGACCGGGCGAAGGTCACCTCTCCAACATCACGTAACGACTCCAGAGGGTTGAAGCTCTTGTACCACTCTCTTGCTGCAGCGTAGTCCAACTCAGGATGCTTATTCTGCGAGGCAAAGGATCTCCAGAGAGTCACTGTCGCGCAGAGACTTCTTGACCATGGAAGCATGAGGCTCGCTCATTTGGCCCTGGGTTCTCTCAGTGAGGAGGAAAGCCCTCATTCAGGCCTCGGACATGGACGCCGCAGACTCCGGCAGGTTATCCGACCGTGAGCAGCCCAAAACGGATTAGTGCATCTTCGACGAAAATTGGCGGCGTGGTGTCGCAGAGTTCTGCCTTTCCTGCGCCCTGCTCAGTTTCTCGAAAGCTTTCGCAGTCAGTCGCATCACTTCGTCGTCCTTTAAACATCAATTTCATCACGATCCTGAATCTCAGACCCACTGTATTCTGCCCTCTCTTCTCTCTTTTTGGCGCGTCGGTGTCGCTGAACTGCCCTTGACTGTTCGACCTCTCCAGCGTTTGCCCCGCCTCGCCAGTCTTTCCAGGCAGCTCTCTTCTTCACTTTGCTCTAACATGACTTGCATCGCGTCCTGCGCCTCGTCATGACTGATGCAGACCCCCCGCCCGAGGCTCAGCGCTTTGGTAGAGATCAAACGCCCGAATCTCCACGTCCGGTCCATTTGCCTGAACCTTCCACCATCCCAGTCCTGCTGAACCAGATGGATCCGGTCTTCAATGATACCGAGACGTACAATATTCCGCATAACCAGAATTTCTCTCCTTACTCAGACTCTGCTCGCGCCATGAATGAGAATGATCCCAATGATCCGAATGCGAACGAGCAGGACGCTGTCCAGAACTTCCTGAGAGGCGCCGAGGAGGAAAATGCTCGTCTGGATGATCCTGCTCAGCTCCCGTCCACACACGGCCAAATGACCCAGAATGATCCCAGCGTCGAAGCACATCTCCTTTCGGCACTTGCAAATGCTCCTGCTCATCCACAATCATCTGATGCCCATGCAAATTCACCCCAAGATCAACCCAACAAAGCCGGAGATGAATCGCAAACAAGCAATGAAATGAACCCAGCTCCTGAACCCACTACCAATCCGGATGCCAACAACGATACGCAGAACGCCCTTGCAGCGAGCTCGTCTGACTCAGAGCCCATACCCACCGTGAAGCTTGAACCTCAGTCGAACCCAGGTGGTGTAGATTACCAGTCACTTCTGGACACTATTTCTCAGTCTGCTTCTACTGCTCCCACTGCGGACTCTGTCTCTGCCCCTACTACTGCCGCTTCGTTGACTTATCAAGGAGCGCAATCAGTGTTGCCAGTTCCAGGTCTACCGCCAAAGCCACCGACGCAAGCCCCATCTTCGGACCCTTCCAATGTTTATGCTTTTCCTACTGTCAGCACCGACCAACGACTACCATTCCAGCAGGTAGCGCAAGAGGGACAGTCCCAGCTTGTCAACCAAGAGGCGCAGCACCAATCTGTGAGCCATGATGTCTTCACTCACGCTAATGGCGTTGGCTCGTCTGGATCCTATCCAGCCTCATTTCTCCCACACTCCGTTCCTTTGCAAGCCCCTGGCACGGGTGCATGGCCTCCACCGGGCAACCAAGTATCCCCCATCTCTCCTGCTCAATCTCTACAACCTCCGGAATCGACAAGATCGGCAGAACCGGTGGAAAGACCATGGACGCCACGTACCCAAGCACTCTACGATTCTTTCCTCGAAGATGAAAGACGATATGTGACTGAAGGGATATGGGACAAATTTCCGTCAGGTTCTCGTCTCTTTGTGGGTAACTTACCAAGTGAGAAGGTGACCAAGCGTGATATTTTCCACATCTTTCACAGGCATGGGAGACTTGCTCAGATTTCAATCAAACAGGCCTACGGTTTTGTTCAATACCTGGAGGCCTCGTCCTGCCATGCAGCTCTGCAGGCGGAACAAGGTGTGGAGATACGAGGCAGAAAAGTACATTTAGAGGTATCGAAGCCTCAAAAGAACACCAGAAATCAACAAGGACAGCAAGGGAACAAGAGGCGTCGATCTCGCTCACCCGAGCGTAGAGGTCAACGCCAGAACGATCGATTTGACCGTCCAAACTACAGTGACTTTCGGGACGAGCGCAGTCGGCAAAGCGACTACAGACGGTCGCCTTCTCCGGCAAGAGGCTACCGCTCCAGGGAAGACCACCGGGCCGCTGCTCAAAGTCCTAACTTTGGTCCAGGTGGAAGACCGAACTCGCCCTATACTACTGCTTTCCCGTATCCGGCGCCTCCAGGGAGCTACGACGAGGAAGCTACTCTGCCTCTGCCGCGTCGAGATCCACGAGATGCTCCGGATGTGCAAATCCTCATCCTTGAACCCTCGGTCGCGCAGAGTTTCATCAACTGGGTTGAGCAAGGGTTCCGCAACAAGGGACTGCGTGCGTCCACGATATGGCTCAGCGCTCGGTTGCCTCTTTCTGCCGTTGTGAAACGTCAAATCATCGAGGGTGTCCAAGGTGTTGTGAAACTCGTGCAAGCGAATCAGTATAACAGTAAGATCCCGTTACAAGTTTTTGACAGGAGTCAGGGGACAACGAACGTTAGCTTCAACGAGTACGTTGACCTTGATGTTACCGTTGCCGCCGACATTGTCCTCAGTGCCCGACAGAAGGAACGAGGGGGTTTGCAGCAAAGCCCACAATCATACCATCCGCCACAAGGTTATCCGCCACAGAACCATTATGGATACGCCCCGCCACCTCAGTACCCCCCAACAGCTTACCCTACACAACCGCAGCAACACAACCAATACCAGTACAGCCAGAATGCTCAATATCAGAACCAGGCTCAGACCCCGGTAACCCCCGGTTCGGCCACAGCTGCTCCAAATCTGCAGCAGCTTCTGGCAAACCTGCGACAGCCTGGTGACTCCCAGCCGAATAGTGCCTCCCCCAGTGGAAAGCCGACGCCTGACCTTGCCGGACTTCTAAGCAATGTCGCTCGCCACCAGCAGCTTCCCCCTCACCAACAACAGTCGCCTACACAGCATGGTTATGGGCCTGCTGCGCCCGCTTATGGGGTCGGTCAACAGCAGTCGCAACAGAATGTGCAGAACATCATGGATACCCTCGCTAGGTACAACAGGTGACGGGGCGCAGATGAGACTGGTGGCGGCTTTTCCGAGGAGAGCTGCTGACTGGGTCGAGGCCGGACACGTGTGGCTCTCTGCTGTTAGGGCGGGCAAAGGGACTCTCAAGTTTCCTGGGTGCAGTGGCACTTCTACGAAAGGCTTGCGGGATAGATAGCAGCTAATCTGTCCGTTGGGGCGGTTGGAGGCTTCCTCAGGCATTCGGCATAGGAGCACTGCTTTTGCACCATGAAAGCAATAGACACGCACCGGGCAGACTTCTAGGCAGCCTGACGTGCTCAAATGGTTGTAGTCTGCAGTCTGTGTAGTTGTTGAGCCGATATTGTCGCAACGACGCATCAAACACTTGAGGTTATGTTCCCATATACTACGTACCGCGTACTTTCTGGCAACACTCGGCACCCTCACCGTTATCGCCGGCCTCGGCGAAAATACAGGTGAACGATTCTCCGCATACCGGGCCGGAAAAGAACAACCGCGGCACATCTTCAATGCTTCAGTCTCGACTCGAAGACTTCCCTCCCAAGCCTCTCTGATTTCTTCCACCTTGCTGCTACTCCCATCGCCGTCGTCTCAGTATGTCAAAGGCCACGCTGAACCCTGTGGAATACACGTACGGCTCGCAGCCCACGAAGAGCGGAGGCTCAACTGCCCATTCAATCCCCCATCCGGAACCGGTGTCATCATGCATCCACCATATCGCCGGAATCTTGGTGACAGTCTTCGGCCTCGATGACATACCATCAGGTGTCACCGACGTCTCCGTATTATGGCTCCTTCATCCGCGACTTCAAACGCAAGCGAGCATGGCTCCGTTCGCTGCGCATATCATTGCGGAGTGGAACAAGCAGCAAAAGTCGAGCACGGGGAAGAAGAGGAAGGCACTGATAGCCGTCTCTTTTGACCAGAGAAACCACGGATCCCGCCTCGTCTCGGCGATCGCGAATGAGGCGTGGCGGTCAGGCAATGAGCATCACGCATCAGATATGTTCTCTTGCTACACCGGCACAGCGCAGGATACCTCTCTGCTTCTTGACTTCCTGCCCGGATATATCTTCCCCGAACCAAGCGACCCACGACGGATCGTGCAGAACCTCGTCCTGGGCATTTCACTTGGTGGCCATGCTGCATGGCACGTCATCATGCACGACGCCCGCTTCTCTGCCGCCGTCGTCACGATAGGATGTCCAGACTACACACGGTTGATGTCAGACCGGGCACGCCTGTCGAAGCGGAAGACTTGGACGTCGTCGTCGCCTCCGGGACGAGATTTTCTGGGCTCGAGCGACTTCCCTCCATCGCTGATCGAGGCGGTCAAGAAATCTGATCCGGCCGGGCTGATTTGGTCGTTACCCGGCCTGCAGTGGCGGAACGACCAGGAGCATCTCCACACGAGTTTGACCGAGGAGGAGAGGCAGACCCTGTTGCCCGTGATGACGAGGTGTTTCGGGAACAAGCGAATTTTAAATCTCTCCGGCGGCGCAGACAAGCTTGTACCCTATGCCCACTCGAAACCGTTCATCGACTGGCTCAAGACGGTGAGTGGGAAGGGAGGCTGGTTCGAGGGCTCGGGTCTCGTACTTGAGGATGTTGTCTTTGACGGCGTCGGCCACGAGGTGCCGAGTCGGATGGTGGATGAAATGGTCAGCTTCGTGACGGACAGTCTGAAGGACGAGAGGGTCAGTGGAATGGACACGGCGCCAGGAGGGGGCGCCACTAGGCTGGGGAGCAAGATATGAGTACTTCGGCAAGGCAGCGGCAAGGAAGCATGTAGACGGCTAGATGTTGCGCAGCACTTTGCACACAGATTGGAGTACTCGTCCATACGTATTGTACACACTTGAGTACGGCGCAGCTCAAGTCCGATTCAGATCCCCTCGTCTGGTCAAGCCAGGTTCGCACCACGCGGTTGGCGCAGGACTTCGCTCTTCCGCGATTTTTCTTTGCTGCCCTCATAGCTACTCACGGACACCTCATTTCTACACGCACGCGTTTCATTCCGAAGAGCTACCCTTACACTGCAGCATCACACCAAATTCCTTCGAGACAGCAGGGCTACATAGTCAGACTTCATTCTGCGAGGAAGACAGAGAACGAAGTCAATGCATTCGGGATTGGAGACACTGTCCTAATTCGTAGACTTGAACCGGCACCATCGTATGATTTCTTACTACAGACAGATGATCGGACCTCCTTGTGTATCTCATCACGATGTCTCGTCACACTCTTCGCCATGGCCATTTGGATTGTCATTTGTTGACCAAAACACGCCGCACCGAGTAGTCCCATCAACATCTCGTACACCGCTTCTCCGCCATATCCAGCAAGGCCGGAGACACAGTTTCAATACCGGCTAGGGTCGGGTTCACCTCAAGCCATACCAGCTAAGCATCTGGGAAGGCACCTCCGATGCCAGATACGGCAAAGACGTCTCCCACGCGATCGTCTCCTCTCAGGAAGCAGCCAAACTGACATATCCTCGGAGCGCTGTCGCCGCGTCAATCACCTAGGAGCACGTGGAACTCGAGGCCGAAATTCATTGGCGTTTTATTTCTGTGAAGGTACCGTGTCAACGGCTGAGTGGCTGATCCACTAAGTTGGTATGAGTGCTTGGAGCAGGGTCTTAAAAGAGTGCCTGCAGTCTTCCTGACTGTCCACTTGCTGGAAGGCGCCAGCAATTGTTCAGCGTTCAGTCGTTTTCGGGCATGGTCCATCACATCGCGCTCATCGAAGCCGGACGGAGCCTTTCAAGCGATTCCACAAGTTTGTTAACCACGATCGATCCGGTGCTTCATCCAGCTCCTTGATCAAATCATCATAGTGCGATGCACTGCTCCTGGGGTGGCGAACTCGCTGCGGGATAGGGTATTCTTTCTCGAATCGGTTTTCCAACAGCGCGTAGAGGGCATTGACTTGTCTTAACTCCGTCTGTTCATTGAATGGCTCGACGGGGATCGCGTGAGCATCGTTGGACTTGCTATTAGTCGCAGCAGCAGCAGCAGGATTCTGAAGCTTTTGCACCCGCGATTGCATGACCCTTTGGAAATGGACGTGTGCCGGGCGGACTCGATCGACGGGCCATTGTTTGATAATGCGCGCCCAGTGCTTGAGGACGACCTGATGGAGAGTTAGTGGACATGCTTCAGGTTTAGTGTGCTTGACCGTGCTCACGGAGTTATTGGCAGCCATTGCGAAGCTCTATTCGAGCTTGCTGAGGGATCTGGAGCGCACAAAGTATGGTACTGTACTCCAGCACTTCGTGTTTCTACTCATCCCAGAATCAGAATCACCAGAATCACCAGAATGACGTTCACGATGCCAAATCAGGGCTAGTCCGAAAGTGGCCTAGTCGGTGGCGCTGGAGGACGTCTGGCCCAAACACAACGAGGCCGAGGGCAGCTGAGGCTGTGTCACTCACGCCCTCCCTTCACTTCCACCCCATTCCTTCCTCACGCATCATCCACCACCTTGGGTCCCTATCTCCCTCACTCGCCTCATATACCCCATCTAACTCTCCTCCTTGCGGCCATTCTTACACGCTCCGGCAGGATTGCACTCTAGTTGGGAGACACCCACAGAAGCGCCTGGCCTGCGATGGCCCCTCAGCGATATGAAGCAGTGCGTGCTCGTCTGTCCCCAATATATCGCTTCCGTTAACTAACAAGTGTGCCACAGTTGAACTCACACGATCACGATGAAGACTCTCCTATCTCTCCCGACTCGCCTCACCCAATTCCATCCTCACCGCCTCCGTCATTTCGATCCCGAGCCTCCTCACCCACTTCCCGGCGCCTACTAAGCCAAGACCCATTGTCACCGGAAACCGACCGGGACCATCTGGAAGACACGTTTGACGACGGGGAGGCATCCGACGCAGAAAATGACGGCGACGACAGACAACGTTTGATGAGAGCCGATACGGGACTCAGCAGACAGGATGCCGCCCCTTCGACTACTTCTACTCCCGCTACTCTCCCGGCACCTGTGATTGAGCGCCGAGTCACCGAACTGCCTGCTTTCCGGCCCATGCCAGAGTCTATGAGAGCCACAGACGGCGTTTTCGCAAATCTGTCCGCGAAGCCGGAACGGGGTGAACAATTAGAGGAAAAGCCTCCCGTAAGTACTCGCGTGCCACTTCGCTATTTCGGTACTAACTGCTTCCTAGACCTACGAACAGGCAGCCGCAGACGCAACACCGCCGTACTGGGAAACCACCATCCTCGCGCCCGGTATGTCCTCGGACGAAGTCTATGTCGATGGCCTCCCTGTCGGCTCCGTTTTCTCCTTCGTTTGGAACGGCATGATCTCCATGTCATTCCAACTCGTCGGTTTCCTGCTTACTTATCTGCTCCACACTACACATGCCGCGAAACACGGTAGTCGGGCTGGTCTTGGCTTAACGCTGGTTCAATACGGCTTCTACATGAGTGGCTCTGGCGACGGGTCATCTGACACAGGAAACCCTGGCCAGTTCAGCAACTCAGGACCACCAGATCCAAATAGTCACAATTTCGATCCCAACACTGTGAATGGACAGGCGGACTCCTCCGGAGAAGGTGGCGGTATGGGTGGCTTCACGAGTGCAGATTGGATATCATACGTGCTCATGATTATTGGCTGGTTCATACTGATAAGAGCGGTGTCTGATTTCCTGCGCGCGAGGAGGCACGAGGCGCTGGTTCTACAGTCGCCTTCGAGAGGATTGTCTGTCCCCGTTGTCGCCGAGGGCGAGACACCTGAGCAGGCTGCTTGAAATTGTTCATGTCCCCCGAGTATTTTTGTCCGGTTAGAGAATGCGACCAATTCTGGATGTTCGTTGTAGAGATGTAAATTTCAGGACTTTCCAATTGGGCTCTTTCGTACACACCGTGATTTGCTCGTTGTACGGCATTGAAGGTGGAACTGAGCGGATTCCATATCTCTTTAAATGTTAAGAGGTGATTTTGCCGGATTGAAAACGCCGTCAAAGCACTCGTGATGATGATAGGATGTTTCTGCATTTCTACAAGCCATGCTTGTCAGTCTTCCGACAGGAATACGCTATGCCTATTCATATGCCTCGCTTCTTCCACCATTTTCGAAACCCCTAGGTCACAACCGCGCATCTCATATCCCCTTGGTGTCTACCTCCAAGAGAACTTCCAACCCCCCCCCCCTTCCTTTTCTGGCCCACAAAGCCTCCGAAATTTCCCAACACGCTTCTTTGTACCATTCTTTCAGGGCCCCTACGACGCTTGGTGTCTGCGCATTTCGACGGTCGAGATGCTGCCCCAAACCCGCGGCTCGATTCGCGCGTCTGGCGGCGGCCCGATTTGGCGAGTCCTACTCACTCATGTCGATCTTGTTCTCGAGCCGCCTCTCGTCCCTCAGCTTGGTCAGTCGGTCGAGGGCCTTTTCCAGCGGGATGAGTTCGCCCATCTTCTGCGTGGCTTGGTCGTCGCGGTTGCGGATGTTGACCGTGCGGGTTTCTTGTTCTTTGGCCCCGACGACTGTTTTTTTCGCCAGTGTTAGTTAGGCTAGGCTATGCTGGGCTAGGCCAGGCCAGGCCAGGCTACGAGAGAGAAGAAAAAAGAAAAGGCCGTCGAATAAGTAAAGTGGCAAGGCAGGATGTCGGGGAGGTGAGGGCTAATACGTACCGAAAATGAAATTATACTGCGCGAGCTGCCCGTTCCGAACCTTCTTTTGCAGCGTGTTCCCGCTGACGTCGATGTCGACGTACATGCGCGCCTTGTGGAAGATGGCCTGGATCTCGCGCACGTAGTCCTCCGCCGCCTTGATGACGGGGATGACTAGGATTTGACGCGGCGAGAGCCAGAACGGCCACTTGCCCGCGAAATGCTCGCACAGAATGGCGATGAAGCGCTCGAAGCTGCCGATGATGGCGCGGTGGATCATGACCGGTCGCGCCATGCCGACGCCGGGGGCTTTGGGGTCGCGGTCGCCGGTTTTCTGGTCGGCTTGGTTGCTGGCGTCGCCGCCCTCGGACGTGCGGTACTCGAGGCGGAAGTTCTGCGGGCCTTGGAAGTCGAGCTGGATGGTCGCGCATTGGTATTCCCGGCCGAGGGCGTCTGAGATGGTCACGTCGATCTTGGGGCCGTAGAAGGCGCCGTCCCCTTCGTTCATCTCCCAGTCGTCGCCGCGGAAGTTCTGGAGGGCTTGCTTCAGGCGCGCTTCGGCCGCGTTCCACTCCTCCAAGGTGCCCATGTACCCCTCCGGTCGGGTGGAGAATTTGAGCTTGAACGGGAACCCGAACAGGCTGTAGACGTGGGACATGAAGTCGAAGAGGGCTTCAATTTCACCCTGGACTTGCTCGTTCGTGCAGAAGATGTGCGTGTCGTCTTGCTGGAACTTGCGGACGCGTGTGAGGCCAGAGAGAGCACCTGAGGCTTCGTTTCTGTGGAGGACACCAAAGTCGGCCACCCGCCACGGTAGGTCCCGGTAGCTGCGATCGTCGTCGCGGAACATGATGCAGTGGCCTGGACAGTTCATGGGTTTGAGAGCAAAGACACCTTTGTCTTTGTCCTTGATCTCCGCGAGGGGCGTCTTGCCGTCGGGTTTCTTGTCGGACAGCGGCATGGGGTCAGCCGAGTCGTCCTTCACTTGCACCCGGAACATGTCGTCTTGGTAGTGTTGCCAGTGGCCGGATGTTTTCCACAACTCGACGTCGTACATGTTGGGGGATTGGACTTCTTGGTAGCCTCTCTCCCAGTACTGGTCGCGGAGCATGGCTTGGAGGGCGTTGAAGATGCGGGTGCCGTGAGGCAGAAGGAATGGTGAACCCGGAGACATTTTGCTGAACATGAACAGTTTCTGCTGTTGGCCGATGAGTTGGTGGTCGCGCTTCTTGGCTTCCTCGAGGAAGTTCTCCCATTCTTTGAGTTGCTGTTTCGAGGGGAAGGCGACGCCGTGGATGCGCTGGAGGGAGTCGTTGCTCTGGTCACTCAGGAAGTAGGCGGAACTGTTCTTCATGATCTTGAAAGACTCGATCTTGCGCGTGTTTTGGATGTGTGGACCCTGGCATAAGTCGACGAGCGTGCCGTTGCGGTAGACCGTAGAGGACTCGCCATCGGGCACAAACTTCTCAATGTAGTGCATCTTGTACTTGCTGTAACCGAACATCTTGCGCAGGTTATCCTTGGAGACTTCAAGCCGCTCAAATGCTTGTTTATCCTTGGTGAACTTCTTCGCGCGGTTCTCCAGGCTGGGCCACTCGGCTTCGCGGACGGCTTGGCCTGGCTCAAGTGCCATATCGTAGAAGAAACCCATTGCTGTGGGAGGGCCGTGGGACAGACGACACCCGTACTCGTGTTCGGCGCATTCACCGAGAACGTGAGCGGAGGAATGCCAGAAGACGTCTCGGCCTTCGGAGTCGCTGAAGGTGAGGTAAGAGACTTTGCTGTCCTTTTCGAGTGGTCGGTCCAAATCCCATAGTTGGTCGTCAACTTTAGCGACCACAATTTGGCCAGCTCGATCTTTGGGGACGTTTTTCAACAGCTGGCCAGGCGTGGTCTCCCACGCTTTGCCCTCGACCGTCGTCTCTTGACCGGGCGCGGGAATGAGCTTGATCTGAATTGCGGGTTTGTCCCTGCTGGCGAGTTCTTGGTCATACTCCTTCTTCAGTTGGTCGAAGAACTCGTTTCGTTGCAGCACGAAATCAGGTAATGACTTGGGGGCTTGATGAGCCGCAGGGGCTGCTTGAGACGACATTTCTTTTGGTCGACTCGGGACTTTCTTGTTGGCAGTTGGGCTCACGGGTCTTTTTGATGTCTGTGATGGAGGGGAGGATGAGTCAGGGCCGGCGGCGGTACCGTTTTGACTCATATTGTCGCCTTTCAGGACCCCCCAGAGATCGTGAGGATTGAGACTGACTTTCTTCTGGTGGCTCATGCTGAAGCGTCTGAGTGGGGAATTGAGGTTCTTGAATATTATGGCAGTGGCCGGGTGGGTAATGGCGGTATCAATGGTATTGGTTGTGAGCCACCTGGTCGCAGCGTATAAAGTCACGTGCCGTCGAACAAGCCCGCGCCCGCGCATCGAGTTGGAGGTGCTTAAAATTATTTTCCCCCAGACGCTGGCACCGCCGACCGCAACCACTCCTTTCCGCTGCAACAATGTCGTTCCGAGGCGATTCGCGAGGGCGTGGCGGGTTCCGAGGTGGTGATAGAGGACGAGGATCGTTTGGTGGAAGGGGTGGAGGTAAATTAGATTCCCAAAATCTTCTCCGCGCACATTTTGGCGGCGGCCGTGAAAATGGCACTGACAAGGGACGATGACCAGGACGCGGGGGTTTCCAACCACAGAGCTTCGGACCGCCTGCACAGGTGCTCGGTGAGATATTCTGTACGGATGCTACTGGGCTGCGACTAACTTGGGCTAGAAATGGGCACCTTCATGCACGCCACCGAGGGAGAGATGGTTTGCGAATCCATCAACCCCAAGGTCCCCTACTTCAACGCCCCGATATACCTCGAGAACAAGGTGCGACTGTGTGACCGAGTGCACTGTGACCTCTCTGACCAAAGCAGACAACAATAGGAAAAGTGGACGAGATCCTGGGGCCGATCAACCAGGTCTACTTCACGATCAAGCCGCAGGAAGGGATTCAGGCTACATCATTCAAGAAGGGTGACAAGTTCTATATCGGAGGGGACAAGCTATTACCTCTGGAGAAGTAAGGAATTCCGATGCAGTGGGAACAGAATACAATGCTAAGACCGTCGCAGGTTCCTGCCCAAGCCCAAGCCCCCGCCAGGTAAGTTACTGCCCTGCTCAGGCACCTGACATACGCTCACAGTTTCGAAGGTGCCGCAAGAGTCAAAAAGCCAGCCGGGGCGCGAGGAGGTATGAGAGGTGGAAGAGGTGCCCCGAGAGGACGAGGCGCTCCAGGGAGGGGCGCACCCAGAGGCCGAGGGTCGTTTGGCGGAGGTTCATTTGGCGGCGGTCGGGGTGCTCCCAGAGGTGGAGGCCGTGGAGGTTTCTCCGGTGGACGAGGCGGCGGCTCCAGGGGCGGCGGCTTCGGCTCAAGAGGTCGGGGCAGAGGTTGAGTTGCAGCAGCCCCGTCTTTTGACTGTCGATTGTGCTGGGTTCTGCATGCTATATGCACTGGCGTTCGGGCGGGATACCCATCATGGAGATGTGCTCAGATGGATCTGTACTGGGTCGGTGTCTTACGGCGGAGATGGATATGGAAAAGCCAGGCCGCTCTTGCACTTTTACAGGGACCAGTGTGAGCAGTCTATCTCAAAAGATCACAGACACTTCCACACGCTTCGCCATAACACGTGATTGCATTTAAATGTGACGGCGGTTTCACGTGACCAGTCACACTCTTCCTTTTCAGGCTGTGACGGCTGCTGCATGATGACGACACACGGCAAAGCGGCCGGCGCCCACCCAGCGGCTCATCATCGAGTGCTGTCACTCACTCGCGCATTGCAGCGGTCTACCCAGTTGCCGCAATTGATCGCGCCTTGTTTTCGCAGCAGCACGAGGACGTAGCCTGCTCTTAAGGGGTATATCTTTCTGCAAATTCTCTGTTCTCGTCCTACCAACCTGTCCTTGAATAACATCGTTTCCTGACTGCCTCTGGACCCTTCACCTCGTTGATCGCAGACATGTCGAGGCGCGCGGGCACAACCAACACAGGCCACAAAGAGTCTGCCAGCCAGCCCGAGGACAAGACTCAATCGAAGCAGGTAATGCTGCTATCGGAAGATGCGGGGCACTTTAGTTTGATCAGGTACAATAGACACAGGTCTTGCTTTGAGTCAGACAGAGCTGAATGTTGTACAGGGCGCTACATCTCGCCGACCTGATCACTGAACTCAATGGTAAGTTGCTCATATGTTGAGTCAATGGAGGAATGCTAATTGAGCCCAGGATTCTGCGGGTGTACGTCCCATACACTTGTTAACTGACATACCATTGACGTCCGGCCGCAGTCATGTCTGTCCTGTCTTCGATGCGATACTGTCTGTCTGACCCTGGCGACCTTACGAACCTATGGCTGGCATTCGCCTTTATGCCATTTGGCTTGTTCTTCGATTTCTTCGATGGCAAAATCGCTCGATGGAGGAAGAAGTCATCTCTAATGGGTCAAGAGCTGGACTCGTTGGCTGATTTGGTAGGCGCAACGCAAAACGTCGGAAGTTTATACTTCAGGCTCTGACAGGTGAATCCCAGGTGACATTCGGTGTGGCTACCGCAGCCGCCGGCTTCGCGATTGGTTTTCGCACCTCTGTCGACCAGATACTCTTGAGTTTCTACGTGCTCTGTGGATTGACGAGATTGGCACGATTCAACGTAACCGTTGCAATGCTACCCAAGGACCAATCCGGAAAGTCCAAGTATTTTGAGGGCACCCCGATCCCGTTTGCTTGCTTGACGAGTTCGAGCATCATGGCTACCTTCACCTTTCTGGGGTTGATACACGACTCCCTTCCGTTGGGCACTTGGTTTACGGGGACCGCGTTGGAGTTCCATCCAGCAGCGGCGATGTTTATCGTCAATGGCTGTTTGATGACGAGCAGAACTCTACATGTTCCAAAGCCATAACGAACCTGGTCACGATAGAGCAGTTACCCAGCCGGAGCAAATACATCTTAGACACAAGGAAGGGTCATGGGGATTGACCTGCGCACGGGAATGATCGACGGGTAGCAAAATGGGACCGCAGACAGCGGATCAAAGGCACATGATAGGCACTGCGCCTCCCCGGCAAGGTACATTGTTCTGTGGATCTGCAGCTGGCTGCAATACACGAACTGCCACAAGCATCGACGACAGGGAGTCTGGAGATGCCGGCTGATAGCAAAGACATAGCTACCTCTGCAAATTCTTTACCGTTCCGTCGTAGAGGCGTCTGCTCCTTATTCTTCTGAGACGTTCTGGCCCTTTGCCGTCTTCCCCCGATTCGAGTCCTCTAGACTGTCCAAGAGGTGCCAAATTCCACAGGCGGAATCATCTGCCAATCACTCCTCCCTCTCCCTCTCTCCCACTCCCAAGCCTGTCTTGATTTGACCATTGCATGCTCAATTGCTACAGTCCCTACCAGCAGCTCCACGACGCGGTGCCTGGGAATGTCTCACCACGCCGAGCGTGGGTTGATTCGGCTACTGTAGCGGGTCGTTTACAAGGAGTATCCTACTACATAGCCAGTCGTGCCTTGTGGCAGTGTATACAGTAGGTTAATTTCCTTAAGGTCCTGATAATGATTTCAGCTCACCCACCGACGCCGACCAAGACCACCGACTTTGGACCGCTGGATGCCCTTCAGACTCTGGATGCGCCAATAACTCCGCATGCCGTACATGGAGAACAGCGAGCTCAGCACGATACACACGCCCGTGATGTAGAAGAAGCCGTAGGGGGCCTCCTCGAGGTAATTCACCAAGTTCATGCCGAACAGGCCGGCGACCATGGTGCCCGCGGCGAGGCCCAGCGTGTGGATGGCAATCCTCGCCTCGAGGAACATGATTTGATTGCGCTGCACGGCCAAGGACGAGCGGAACGTGTTTTCCTTCTTGCGCAGAATGTCAATCACCGCCTGCGCCGCCTCGACCAAGGTGTCGGCCGCCTTGTGGTACGCCTCGAGCATGTACTCGGCCTCTTGGTGGTCCGAGACGTCGTGCGGCTTCCCCGCCAGCCGATCCGTCAGGTACATGCCCGCGAGGTCGTCGTCGGCGTCGAGGACGTCGCGGATCGTGTCGCGCACCAGGCGGGCCTTCTGTTCGATCTTGGAGAGCGCCCGAGTCCGCTCGAAGACGCGGTCCAGCCCGATGGAGCCGGCGCCCGAGTCGAGACGCAGGCTGCGCGCCGCCTCTTCGGCCTGGTGGCGTGCGGTGACGAAGTCCCCGCGCAGCGAAGTGAGCACGGCCACGAGCGCCGCCTCGACGGCACGCAACTCGTACGGCAGTTCGGGAATGTCGGCCGTCTCGGCCGTCGGGGCGGACATGCGTTGCTCGAAGTCGTTGTAGAACTGCTGTTGCTGGCGGGCTTGGGCTTGGTCACGGTCAGAGTCGTCTTTCCTGTCCGTCGTGACGGTGTCAATGTCGGCGGCGAGGCCATCGTCATCTTCGTTCGGATCTGCCTTCGACCCTACCGCAGCAGCAGCATTGTTGATGAGAAGCGCTTCGTCCGCCTGCACGATCATGCAGAGTTGGAAAAACTGCAGCAGGATGGTCGACGGGCGGACGAGGATGCGCGTGACTCCCTCGCTCCGCAGGTCAATATCGCGGAGGTCGCGGTGGCGGAGCTCGAACTGGGCCGCGATCTCCGCCTTTGTAAGCTGTAGGGGTTTCTGTTTGTGCTCGCGGTCCACGCGGCCAGACTTGTCGAAATAGACACATGTGATCTTGCCGTTCTTGGCGTCGAGCGCCGAGTCTACCAGGCGCGTGTCCTGGTTGGTGGTGAGTCTCTGCGTGGATGTTGCACGACTCCATGACAGCGACGATGGCCATCGTGGCGTAAGGATTTTCGCGGATGGAGGCCGTCGTGTATTCTCACGGATCGGTCCAGGGCCGGCCTGAATCCAGGTCGACGATAGGAAACGGGTGCAAGTCCGCTGAACCTGGGCTTGGGTCCTTGAAGGTCTGGAGCACCAGGAGTAGTTATTGACCAGAGGCAGGGGCAGAGGCAGGGACCGGGTCGAGCGCGGGCTCCAGTTTAAGCCCGAAACACTGAGCGTCGACACAGCAATCTTCATGGCGTCGTGGCGCAGGCATTATCAGTTATCGCCTGTGTCTCATGGTGCTGATTCGAACTTGGGCTGGTCAGATGCGATAGTCTTGATGAAAGGACAGACCGAAGTGAGGTCAAGGTAAAGGTCCGCCTTCTTCTCCCGTGTGCTGTCTACTCCTGGCCCGTCGATTGATGAGCTGCTAGGTGGTCCGCGTTACTATACAGGCGGAGAGAGGTTTGACTTAGCCATTGCTTGATACTCCGTATTAAGAGAGGCAATCTCTGGGCATTGAGTGGTCGTCTCGCCAGCTGCGTATGACATCATCGGGCGTGGGCTGTCTATCACCAGTCACCCACCAGTCACTTCACTTTCATATTCCACTCGCCTCCCACTCAATGAACACCTACGCCCATATTGCTTCGGACAAGTTTCTCCTTCCAATTAACCACCTTTATTAACTGGGTAGAGAAGAGTGGGCACATAATATGAAGACTTGTCTTGGATAGTATTCTTCCATAGGTGAGATACATGTCGTACGAGCGCGCACTCTTCTTTTGATACTCGAACATTTACATGTCAACCTGGATAGCCTGTGATCCCTCCCTCCATGGCCCACCGAGCACCTCCTTCATGATTGATGGCTCGTCCCTCTGAAACTCACCAATTTCGGCAGATCTTTCTCCTGCAGGCGTGGACAATTAGGTAATTCTCGCGGGACAGCGACAACCAATATATCATGGACATGGCAGAGGGCGATCTTGAGGTAGAGAGTGGCAAGGTGTGAATGAAGACCAGATGTGTTCGACAACGAGGCCAAGCGTCGCTCCTTGGATCAGCCACGACGACTCCGGTGAGTAGCTGGTGAGGCATGACGTGGCTGAGCCATTTCAGTGGAGGAGGAGAGGCTCTGGGTGGCTCTACCCTGACCATAACAAAGTGCTTATTCCGTGGCGTCCTGGAGATCGTGGAAGGTGTGGGCGCCACATCATGCTCGAACGAGGTGGTCTTCAGATCTGTTTGTGGAGCAGTCGTCTGTCCTGTAAAACACACCTTTGGTGAGACTACCCACCCGGGGTTCGGTCAGTAATATAGGGGTTGAAACAATGTCGGTTACGGCACATCATTCTGAGTGACTGGGAGTGGGAGGGATATAATGGCCGACCCGCCGCCGATCGGAGACGCTGATTTCACTCAGCATCATACCATTCGTGTGTACTATCGTTCCCATCCAACAAGGTTGTCTAAGCATCTGAAGAATTGACGCTCAGTGGGAGGCACATCCTCGCGCCATCAAGCCTTGAACCACTGACCAAAGAACTCCCTACAGTCCCTCAAAATGACGTCGGGCCGTTCGAGCGCAGCAAAATGGCCGCCGTCGTCGCACTCTGCGGCAAAACGAATGAGGTTAGTGAATCGTGTCGCCAAACTGCCACCCAGCAAGGACTCACCGTTGTAAAATACCATGTTCCCCGTTTGCTTGACACTCCTCTCCGTCCCGGGCCTCGTATCATACAGAAAGCTTGTGTATCCCATCGGGACGCTGACATAATTCTCCTTCTTGAGGAAGAAATTCCCGAAATCAGCGTGCTTTATGCCCTCAAAGTATGGTAACGATGAAGTCATGATACAGTCCGTGAAGTAGTACAAGCTGCACGTCGTAAGAATTGCCCGGTCCCAGGCCGGGTCGGGAGGATCGAGCTTTGATGGGTGGACGGCTTCGATGTATTTCTCACCGACCCACGCAAGGATGCCGACTGGGTTGTCGGTTAGGGCTACGCCTATGGTGTGTGGACGAGTGCGCATAACGACCGCATAGCCCAGGTGGTTGTCCAGCCAATCTTGCTGTCTCTGCTTGATCACCTTCTCGCGAGGCGTCAGGTCCGTGATTCCCTCGTCCAACTCGACGGGACAAAAGTTGAAATGCACAGCTTTGCATTCTTTGAAGTTGGCGCCCAACTCGCGAGCAACAAAGGAGCCCCAGTCGCCGGCCTGGACCACATAGGTGTTATATCCAAGCTGATTCATGAGCTTGTTGAACACTCGGGCGGTATCTTTCATGGTCCAGCCTCGTCGCGGAGGGGGAGAAGACCAGCAGAAGCCTGGCAAACTGGGAATGACGACGTGAAATGCCTGGTGCTGGGGGTCCTCTGGATTGGCGAATGCGTCAACCACGCGATCAAACTCGTGAAAGGAGCCAGGCCAGCCGTGGATGAGAATCAGTGGGATGGCATCATCTCTGGAAGATCTGGTGTGTGTGAAATGGATCCTAAGGCTGAAAGTCTCGTCGTCAATGTCGGCAATGAAATGGTCGTGTCGGTTAAGATGCGTCTGAACAGAGAACCAGTCGAACTCATGCAGCCATGTCTTGTAGAGGCGCTGAAACCAATCTATAGAAGGCCCTGTACGCGATGTAAACGGTTAGCAATGAAGAGTAGTTGCTAACCACATGGCACACCATAATCGCTGCCTGCCTCAGGAACAATCGGCCGGTTTGGTAGCCTCGTGTCCTGCAGCTTCCTTTTGAGCCGGTCGACTTCGTGTTCGGGTATGTCGATCTTGAAGGGCGATATACCCATTGGGAGCGTTTCTCTGGCAGATCGCGGTACTTGTAAAGATGGATATCGCAATGTCACAGCGCCCACGAGTGCACCGAATTGCCAATGATGATTAATGAAGGATGGTCAATGCTAGTTCGCTTCTCGATATGCGGAGAAGTCTTGCGGGGATTGAACACTGAGAGCAACGGTCAAAGGGCGTACGAGGTAGCAGAGACTGAGGAGAAGAATTTCGCAACACGTTGACACTCCGATATCCAGGTACAACAGAAGCTTGACACTGATTAGTGGCAGAGAGTTAGCTAGACAATTTCCTCAGCCTGCATCTGTGGAATCCTGCGGGCGCATTCACGTGCATATGCTGTTGCAGTGAGCCACGAGGGTAACCAGTGCTGAGAATGCTCTATTCGGCCGCTGCGCAACCAATAATCGACGCTCACCATGTGTGAAGGCTGCCGGGCTGCCATCATAATCCAGTGCGTCGCATGGTGCTCGGTAAAGATCCGGTCACCGCTGAAGGTCAGGGGGCAACTGCTCGCTGAAGGCTGTCCTGCCCAAGAACGCCGAAAGCACATAATGTACCGAGATTAACGCTCTTCGACGCATCGGATCTCACGCCAGAACCTTTGCTCTTCGTTCACGAAGACAAAGCCGACCAAGATACACAGGCTTGACAGTGATATGAACGAGTTGGCGGGTTGAGAAATCGTGCTGAGTGGTACTCCGTACTGTTAGCGCGAAACCCGTACCATCAAGATACGGTATCGTTACAACGCCGAACATGAAGCCATGGAAACTCCGATGCAGATTGTCCTCTACTTCTCTTCTGACACCTGATGATATATTTGTGTTAACAGACGTGACGGCACCCTCTTAAGATTGCTTACCGGTATTGCGGACGATATACGACCAGAATATATTACCCAGAAGGCGGGCCTGCTGCGGGTGAAACGACAACAAGGTACTCAGAGCTCTCGCAGAACAACTCCATGGCGGTAAGATTAGCGGAGAAAGCCTCGTCAACAGCGAGCACACCGAATGACAGACTTCGCGGGGCAGCAGGACGTCCATCGCGCGTCTTCCACCATGGAGGGATGGGTGAGGGTTCTCAGTCCGCTCAGACAGGTGCGAAGCTCGACCTGCCATCTGGAGGCAACCAATCCATGCATTTCTCTCTCCCACCACGGTCGCCCATCTGCCCGTGGTTCACTAAATCGAGATACTCTGTACAAAGACGACCTAGCCATCGAGCATCCAGGGTCCCGTGTACTACCCGATCTTACACGCCTCTCTACGTGTCGTCCGGAAGATTCTCGCTCTCAACAGGGGTAGGGCCCATCCCTCCCCCAGCGCAGAAGGCTCCGACAATTGAGGCCTTCTCAGCGACACGAACCCGACATTTCCATCCCAAGAGGGCTTCCGCCGCGGGTTGTAAAGTCGGAAAGTCAGCTCCACAAGCTTCAGCACCCCGAGTTCTCCCTCGCACTAGTTGCTGCACCCCGGACTGCCAGTCGCCGGCAATACCTTTACGCTGCGTGAAGGCCGGCACGGCTGACGGGCGAAGCGAGACGCCTTACATCAACGGATGAAAGATGCCTCTGGAGCATCTCGAGCACCTCGAGGACCGGGCTCGACTGAGGTATCGGGTGTCTAGAGTGTATGTAGATATGCGAGGTATCTCCGTACTGCGTCCGACTTTAGGCAGCCCGAAAACATCCGCGATGAATGCCCGAAGGTCCTATTCCTGAAACCACCTTCCACTGTCTTGACCAATGGTGATCAGCATGGTTGAACCGCCCGGACCGGTTTTATCTACCGTAGTACTATCTGTTGGAAACGTTGAGGGTATCTCTGAAGTCGTCTGTTGTTGAAAGGTCGTAAAACACCATGCATTAACCATTTCCCGTTATGACACCACCCTCCATTTAGAACAACCCGTCTATCTCCCCGGTCTCCGGGTCCACATCCACATTCAGATATCCCGGCGCCGTGGGCAGACCGGGAATGGTTTGAATGTCTGCAGCCAAGGCATACAGATAGCCAGCCCCGACAGCCAATCTGACGTCCCGGATCGGGACGGTGAAGCCAGAGGGCGCGCCTTTCAGCGCCGGATCATGGCTCAGCGAGTACTGCGTCTTTGCAATGCAAATGGGCAGGTTCCCAAAGCCCTGTTTAGTGTACATGTCCACCTTCTGCTGCGCCAATTCGCTGAACTCGACCTTGTCCGCGCCGTACATTTGTTTGCCGATTTTCTCGATGCGCTCGTGCACACTGCCCTCGAGGCCGTAGAGGAATTTGAAGTCCTTCGGCTTCGACGAAGCCTCAATTACAGCCTTGGCGAGATCCACGGCCCCAGCACCTCCTTCAGCCCAGTGGTTAGCAGGCACAGCCGCTTCGGCGCCCGCAGCAAGAGCTTCCTCTTCTATGACTTTGAGTTCGGCCTCAGTGTCAGTTTCGAATTTGTTGATGGCCACGACAACGGGAATGCCGTAGGACTTGGCGTTGGCGATATGCTTCTTGAGATTGACGCATCCGGCGCGTAGCATTTCGATATTCTCGGTGCGATATGCCTCTGGCAGAGAGGCTCCGGCCGAAATCTCGGGACCTCCGCCATGGACTTTTAGTGCTCGGATCGTAGCAACGACAACGACGACATCGGGCACAAGACCAGAGGCTCGGGATTTGATGTTAAAGAATCTCTCGCCTCCCATGGTGAAGTCGAAACCGGCTTCGGTGACGACAAATCCGGCTTTTGCTTCATGGTCTTCATCGGGCTCGGTCCCCGCCAGCTTTAGTGCCACCTTGTCGGCTAAGACAGAGCTATTGCCGATGCTGATGTTTGCGAACGGCCCCGCGTGGACAAAGACAGGAGTACCCTCTAAAGTCTGCATCAGGTTGGGTTTGATAGCATCCTTCATGAGTGCGGTGAGAGCACCGCCAGCTCCAATATCGTCGCAAGTGACAGGCTCTCCGGCTCTGGATGAGCCGATCACCATACGGCCAAGACGCTCCCGCATGTCCCTGAGGTCGGTGCTCAAGGCAAGGATCGCCATGCACTCACTTGCCACGGAGATGTCAAAGCCGGTCTCACGAGTATGACCTTTCTCTGTAGGTGCTTGGCCGATCGTGATGCCTCGCAAGTGTCTGTCATTGACGTCAAGCACTCTTCGCCATGTGATTGTCTCAGGATCGATATCGAGGCGTGCGAACCGACTGATCTCGTCTTCTGTGAGGTCGTTCGGGTCGGTCTTGTCGATTCCCAATTTCTTGAGTCTTCGAAGCATGACTGGGGCGAACTCTCGTTTGCCTTTTTTGCTAGGCACCAGCCTCTTATAGAGAGCACCATCCTTCTGTGTGGATTCGTGGAACATGCGTGTATCGATCGCAGCCGCCAACAGATTGTTAGCAGCAGTAATTGCGTGGATGTCGCCCGTCAGATGGAGGTTGAACTCATCCATAGGGATGACTTGACTGTACCCACCACCGGCCGCACCACCTTTGATGCCAAAGGTCGGGCCCATACTGGGCTGTCGCACATTTGCAAAGGTCACTCTGCCCAGATGCGCACCCAATGCTTGCGTGAGACCCATCGTGGTGGTGGACTTGCCTTCGCCCAGAGGTGTAGGAGTAATACCAGTAACCAGGATATACTTGCCGTTCTTTCGGTGCTCAAGCCTTGAAAGCACCGACAGGTCAACTTTGGCTTTGTAAGCACCATACGGCTCTAGCTCGTGAGGTGCAATGCCAATGTCAGCAGCTATTTGTGTAATCTGCCTCGGGTGCTGTGAGCGAGAAATCGCAATGTCGGATGGCACAGGTGTCTGGAGCTTGATCGGCAATGGAGTTACGTGCCTCGACTTCAGTCTCTCGAAATAGGCTGAAGCCGAGTCGACCACGTTCTGCATGAGCATCGCCACTGTCATAGGGCCAACACCCCCCGGAACAGGAGTGATCTGAGAGGCGACCTCCGCCGCCGACTCAAAATCAACATCACCGACAAGGCGCTGACCTGAACTCTTGGACGGATCAGGGATGTAATTTGTCCCGACGTCAATGACGACCGCGCCCGGCTTCAGCCAGTCTCCTTTTACGAAGCCTGGCTGACCGATAGCAGCAACCACGACATCAGCTTGCTTAACCACGTCCTTGATATTCTGTGTTTTCGAATGGCAGACTGTCACAGTGGCGTCGGCGTCCTTCAAGAGGTAGCTGACCGGGCTGCCCACGATGTCACTACGACCGAGGACGACAGCGTTCTTGCCTTTGAGCTCAACGCCACTCTCTTGTAGCAACACCATAACGCCTTTGGGTGTGCAAGGGACGAAGTAGGGCTTCCCGCCTCGCTTCGCAAGCTCGCCAATATTTGTGGTTCCAAACCCGTCAACATCCTTCTCATCCACGACGGCAGATGTGATTGCAGGTTCCGAGAGATGCTTGGGAATGGGCAATTGAACGAGTATGCCATGCACAGCAGGGTCGTTGTTGAAGTCAATGATTTGCTGCAGAAGCTCGGGCTCCGATATGGTCTCGGGCAAATGGATCAAAGCGCAATCAATACCGGCTTCTTGGGCCGCCTTCAACTTCATTCGCACGTAGGTAGACGAGTCTGGTCGGTCGCCGACTTGAATGATCTTCAAGCATGGCCTGTAGCGGGGGTTCTTCTTCTGTTTCTCCTTGATCTCCTCGGCCAGCCGCTCCCTAATCTTCTGAGCAACCACCTTGCCGTCAATTTTGGTAGCCACCATCTTGACTGCTGTACGGGAAAAAGATCGTGACCGTGGCGACAGTAAGAAGCGGAGCAGTCCTACTCGTGTGACTCCTTCCGGTGAGGGACGAGTCGGCGGGGTGAGGGCCTGGAAATAAGATGACTTCGGACCAGCAGGTCCCCTCCTGTACGAAGATAGGCCCCTAGAGGTCAAGCTGACCGGAGAGACAGCTCGACGAGTGGTCAGGCTTATGAGAGGGTGAAGTGAAGAGGGAGAAGTCGGAGCGCGGAGACGAATTTTGGAGATCGATGCGAGCTTGAGAGGAACGCGACTTGCCAATATATCATTGAGATGCGTCGCACTAGATAATCTGCTGGCCATATCAGAGCTCACAGCTCCGTAGAAATATCGTTCCAGATGACCAAGGACAGAGTATTCCTGGCACTTGAACCGCATCCATCGTCCAGCAGGCCGGGTAAAGGTTGTGACGATGGTTTCAAGGTCCCCGTCAAGGAATTTTTTTTTTGGGCCTGACTCGTGCAACATCTACATCCCAGATTGTACGACTCGTGAAATCTACGTTCGAGCAGGGCCCATTTGATTCTCCGTAGCCACCGCAGTCTTGGCTTGAATTTGCCCACATCTTTCGCCAGTGACTACTCGATCCAAGGCAGCCACCACACATTCAACCTGATATTCTGAGCATTTGGGTCCTAGAAGAGTCTCCTCTACGCACTGCCGAATATTTCAAACAGGAATAAACTCCATTATGAGGCCCATCCTATTGCAAGGCCATGTGAGTGGGGTGTAAGGAACATCCGCTAGAAAACTTACTGACAAACTTCTTCAGGAGCGATCGCTCAACCAAATCAAATACAACAAGGACGGCGATCTTCTCTTCTCGGTCGCAAAAGACAAAGTCATCTGCGCGTGGTACACTAGCAACGGAGAGCGGCTAGGAACGTACAGCGGCCACCAAGGCGCCATCTGGACGGTGGATGTATCTCCAAATACCGAACTTCTCGCTTCTGGGGCGGCGGACAATACGATAAAGTTGTGGGATATTCGGACAGGAGAATGTGTGAAGACGTGGGAGTTCCCCACCGCTGTCAAGAGGGTTCAATTCAGTGAAGACGGAAAGCAACTGCTCGCAGTCACGGAGAAAAGAATGGGATACCTAGGGACTATCGTGGTCTACGACGTTCGATATGGTACTGATTTGACGGACCAAACAGACGAGCACAGCTTAAAAATCACCTGCGAAGAAAGCAAAGCTACAGTGGCAGGATGGAGTTACCTGGACAAATATATCATCTCGGGACACGAGGACGGAACCGTTACACAGTGGGACGCAAAGACTGGCGAGCTTTTGATGAGCATGGAGGTCCACGAGTTCGACACAACCATCAATGACCTGCAATTCTCTCCTGACCGCACCTACTTCATCACCGCCGGAAAAGACAAGACCGCTAAGATTTTGTCTACGCGAGATCTGAGCATTCTCAAGACTTACGTTGCCGACACACCGCTGAACACTGCCGCCATCACGCCAAAGAAAGACTTTGTCATTCTAGGAGGTGGCCAAGCAGCCATGGATGTTACCACCACTTCAGCCAGGCAAGGCAAATTCGAGGCTCGGTTCTACCACAAAATCTTTGAGGACGAGATTGGCCGTGTGAGAGGTCACTTCGGCCCGCTGAACACCGTTGCGGTCCATCCGCAAGGGATTTCATATGCGAGCGGAGGCGAAGACGGGTATGTCAGAATGCACGCTTTCGACAAATCCTACTTTGACTTTATGTACGAGGTCGAGAGGGAGCAAGCACGGAAATAGTGCTGACGTGTCCGGATCTTCTGCATGATACCCGCAATGGTGAGAGTGTATGATCACGAGGAACTAAAAGTTACCATGAATTTTGACGGTCAGGATCATGAGTCAAAACTCTGTTGCCTCGGTGCGGGCAGTGTATCTCCTACTGGACACCCGACCTGAGTGGAATTCATTACGTCTTTGGCCCGCCATGCAGCCATCAGACAACGCCAGACTACCGCCCACGACATATTCTTTACTAGGTCATGCGTTTCAGCTGCCTGCGACCTGATATTGGCTTAGGCGCAAGCGACCAAAATATTCCCCGAGTCGATATCTCAAAGTCAGAACCAAGAGTGAAATTCTTGGGAATCTTGAAGCAGTACAGCAACTCCTGCGGGGTGCTCAAGCTGGATACCCCATGGAAAACCGGGCAAGCACATCTAGCTCCAGACTCGGGCACGACACTTCACTGTCGTCACTTTGTCTGGTCACCTGTCAACAGCTTGTCCAGGAGTCGCGTCTGCTCTGGTTATCAAATGACCAGCGAGCCTTGACACGCTCCACGGTCACTGACGGTTTGATTGGTTGATTGCTTCCGATTTCAAACCGGATGAAAGAAGGCGATACTCCGTTGAGTGACGACGCTCCTGGCTCATAATGTCCACGATGGTGCGTGCACCCCTGAGTAGGTAGTAGGTCATGAAAGTGGGACCTTGCTCTCGGCGTTAGCGGTCCAGCAGACGAGCAATTTACTGGGCAATTCGGAGGAACAGATGAGAGGAACGCCAGCCCACAATCATGCCAGTCTCCTTATGAGTGGCGAACCATCTAGCGATACTCCGAGAAGCACTTCTGGCACCCATTCCCTTTTACCATTTTCAACGTCTTTCATCCTGTTATTTTGCTGTCAAGCTTCATCCCACTCCAGACGCGAAACATTCAGAGATGCCAGATGATATTGAGCTCATCAGATGCGCCTACACGTGACGAGGCTGTGACGAGGCTGTGACAAGGCTGTGACAAGGCTGTGACAAGGCTGTGATAAGGCTGAAGATTGCATTGCAACCAGCACAACCTTCATCACCGTGTCATTTTGCTACAGAGGCATTTCGTCCTTATCTCGTTGTGCTAGACAGTAGTGGGTTTGAATGTAGACGACCGAGTGACCGTCACCGACGCAGCCGCCATGAGCCCTCCATTCTGCCGCCACAACCTGTATCCCGGAGGAATTTACTATATCAGCAGAACTGCCTGGATTGTTCTTTTTCCACAGCCAGCCAGAAGCTAGCTTCGACCACCAACTCGAGGTGAAGAATCTCCGCGTAAGTCCCGAACCCTCTCTAGAAATCTTAGACTTGTCCTCGTCTTGCAAATCCTGCGCTCCCACAATGGCACACCCCCAAACCGCCTCCATCTCGCAACTGATAGCAAACGTAAAAGCCAACCTCAAAAGACTTTATGCAGCACGAGACTGCCAAAGCCCAAATAGCTTCAGCAATCGTCTACCACTCTTGCTCTCACCTTCCACGATCGTCAAGACCATGGCTTCCGCCACTGTCCCTTCCATCTCCAAATACACCACCCGCACACTGGACCAAGAGATCGACGCTGTGGCCATCTGCCCGGACCATCCCGACTACATGATCGTGGGGACCTACAGCCTCGTCAAGAAGGACGCGCCCACCTCGTACGCGGGCCAAACGCGGCAGGGCAGCCTGCGCATCATGACCGTGTCGTCGACCTTTGCGCCAACCTACACGGGCATGCTGCCACCAGGCCTCGACAGAGTGGACCTCCCCTGCGCGGTGCTGGACGTGCATTTCCACCCGGCGGACCCGACGCTCCTGGGCGTGGCGACGAGCAACGCGTCCGTGAACCTCTACCGGTTCGTCGTCCGAGGGGACGTGCTCGGGCGGAGGGTGACGACGCGGCTTATCCCGCTGGGGAGTGTGCGCGTCAGCGAGGACGACGAGCACGGCCTCACGCCTCTGACCACGCAATTCAGTTGGTTCGAGGAGATTCGCCGCAAGGGGACGCGAGATGTGGACGACGTGCTCACCGTGACGTTGGCCGCCGTGACGAGCTTCGGCGAGACGAGCGTCGTGAGCCTGAGCATCCCTGCGGTGCGGGACGTGAGTGACCACCGCGTCGCTGGGGATGTTGTCGCGATACGAACCTCATGTGACATCGTGCACAGGCACGATCTCGAGGCGTGGACGGTGGCGAGCATCAACCTGCAGTTCCACACCTCCAACGACAACACGGAGGCACATCACCATGATGGCGTCGTCGGCGGCAAGCGCTTGATCCTCAGTGGCGGGGACGACAGTGCACTCATCGCGAGTTGTATTTCACCGTCACCGGCAGCGCCATTCCGCTCGGATGAAGGGGCCTTCGAAGCCACGCAGATGTGGAAGGACCGGAGGAATCATACCGCCGGCGTGGTCGCCATACTACCGCTTAGACCACCACCGCTACCTCCTCCTCCTCCTCCTCCTCCTCCTCCTCCTCCTCCTCCTCCTCGTCGTGGTGCATTAGGAACAGAGAAAGACCCGATGCTGCCGCGACCCATCCCCCTCCTCACCGGCAGCTATGACGAGTTCCTGCGCGTCTTCGAGATGGACCCGCACAGCTACCGAGCAAGTTTGAAAACCGAACTGCGCCTGGACGGCGGGGTGTGGCGCTTGAAGGTCCTTGACCAGTACACCACCGACGCGGACATCAACACCGCCGACGACGCGAAAGGCGGCCGCGCATACCAGCAGCAGCAGCAGCGGCAGCAGCGCCACCACTACCACTACCTGGTCCTCGCATCTCTGATGCACGCGGGTGCTACAATCATCCGCATCACCTACGCTGCAGGGAGTGGCGCGCCCAGCTCAGAGCCGCACGGCCAAGGAACCTGGACGGTCACGCCTGTCGCGACCTTCTCGGCAGGCCACGAGAGTATGGTCTACTGCTGTGATGCGCGGGTCGAAAACACAAGTCAAACCGAGGGTATTCGCAATGACACGTCCTTGGGAATCGGAACCAGGAGCGAAAACGAAGACAGCAACATGGTAATGGATGGAGCCACGAAGGTGACAGAGCCGCCTACTTACACTGTTGTGAGCACCAGCTTTTACGACATGAAGATATGTACCTGGACTTTTGTGGATGAGTTCAAGCTTCAAGCCCGGGCATATTCATGAGCAAAGACGTCTACGGATGATGCGAATATGTGTGGTTGGCTCTCTGTTTTGGGTATGTGCTGTACAGCAAATGGGTGGGAAAGTGTTCGCATGTTGGATGGCACCGACGCAGTTTTGATACCCCGGCAGAAGACACGAGGAAGGCATGCTGAGCATGATACCACAGCAGAACGAGACCTGGCACGAAAGAAGAACATACTTCTCGTTTTGCACCCATCTGTGCCTCTGTTTCCGTGCCGACATGGCCCACAATGTCCCGGGCCCGGCAGTCCAGCCTACGCGGTTGAATAGGATTACATGTCTCTTCTGGCTCCGTGCGCTTCAGGTCCCTTTTGGTACGCCTCCGAAAAGATCTCAGACAATACTCTCCAACTCCCGCGCATACCCGACCATGTGACTAATCACCTCCTTCTGATCACCGTCTTGTGCCTTCTTCGCATCCTCCAACCCAGGGAAGTGTATCCTGCCGTCCTCGAGACTCCATCCCTGATCACTTGCGAACTCCATGACTGCACCTTCGGAGTCCAGGAAGAGGAGGTTCTTTGCCGAGGCGATCGGGAGGGATGGGTATGACCGGGCTGCGCATGAGGCGATTTCGATGCGGATAGTATTGATGAGGATCTGGTAAAACCCAGCGGTCAGCATTGTGTGCGAGGACTGTTTTAAATAAGAAGGCCCGGGGAACGTACATCGGAGAACAAGCCAAACTCTTCACCCGGCACATCTCTTCCATTCGTCTTCCTCCACACCTGGTCGTAGCTGCCCTCCATAAGACTACGCTCCAGCTCGATGGGGTATTTGATGAATGGATCCCCTTCCACGGCTGCTGATCCATTTGCTCCTGCCGCCACGATCAAGCTCTCCAACAGCGTGTGAAAGCCGGCATAATCGCCTTGACTGAGCAGAAGTAGGAGATAGAGTCCCGTGATCTTTGAGCGGTCCCTTGACGGATGCTGTTGTAGGCCGGGGAAGTCGTAGAAGGGCTGTAGCTGGGAGTAGTATCTGATGAAGGATTGAGGATCTCTCGATCGGATGGAGAGCAGGGCGCCAGCTTCTAGTATCGAGCGAGCCGTGGCTAGAGTCTGGACGGGCGTTTGCGGTGAAGGTATTAATGCGTTCTGTTGTAGGAGGGCAATCTTGGCTTTTTGTAACTGTTGCTGTGCTTGCGATGCGTCGCCATGGCTGAGAGATTGCTGGAGGCTATGGAGGATCGAGTCGAGAGAGGGAGACTGTGAGGACATGGCTGCAGGCATCGCTGCGCTGCTTCGGAGGCGCGTATACTCGGGCAATGAGTTCCCCAGATGTGGGTGACGGTGGGAGGAAAATGAGTTAGGCGTGGACGTTTGATGCCGATCCTCGGAGGACAAGGAAGTCGACAGAAGAAGAGGTCACAATCCCAAATAGTGCAGCTGTTTGGTTTACGGCGGCCAGAATCAGAAGCAGACCTGAAGGCAGAGCCCGCTTGCGAATTGAAGTCCAGCCTGCTCGGTAATGACTAACCTGATTAGGAAAAGCACAGCCTTGTGGATCGTGTCGCTACTTCATACGAGTAACTCGTACCGTCAAGGCTTGTAACCATTTTGCAGTCTTTTCGTCCAGTGTCCATAAGCGCCATGGCATGCAATATCTGCCTTTGGTTCTAGTCTTACACATCCGGTGCTATGCACTCTCTCCAATCCGTAGTCTCGCAGGACTGATGAGACGAGCCGTCTTTCTTGGTTTGCTCAAGCCAACAGCCTGGCAGAGTTTACCACCTCAATCGTCGTCACACTGTGATCACGTGCGTCTTCCCATGTAACTCCGGTAGAAGTCTTGCACAGCTGCGCCATTGCTCTCATTCAAGGATGATCCGTTTAAGTAACCAAGTTGACTGGCAGCCTTCTGTGCCGCCGCGACCTTCTCCTGCAATGCCTGGGTGCCCTGGTCGATAGCCTGGAGCTGAACCAGGTGTGAATTGAGGATCTTGACGATTTGCGTGATCTAATGACTTGTTAGTCTCGGACCTGACCGGCGAACAGGTAGCAATCTTACCGGCTCGTCTCCTTTGCCATTCTTGCTTAAGCTTGCATTTGCAGCGTTGACTTCCTCGACCATACTGCCCAAGTCTCTCTCCATTTCATCCAGTCTCTCACCTAACTTCTCAGCAAGCTTATACGTACGCTCCCGTTCTTGATCCGGTCCACCCAATTCGGAAGGAGCAGCAGAGTCCTTGGCCAGCATCTCGTCCACATCATTCTCATACTTTGTCAACCATGCCTCTAGCTCAGATTGGGAGTTCTCAACCGCCGTCAGTTGCATGTCCACGCTCACGGTCTGACGCTCGGCTGTACGTGTGCGGACGTAGAGTTTGTCGATCTTAGAGGAGTTGTCCACGATCAGTTGGTCCCAACGAGCAATCGTCTCTGCATGTTCCTTGAACTCCTTCGAATAGCGCGACATGTCTGTTGCCCAGCGCGTGAGGATCTCGTCCATGGTTTTGTTGCGGAGTCGAGACTGCGCCGGAGGAGCTGGACCGGTGGTCGATGCTTGGAACGGAGTGGAGCCGGGGGCTGCAGCCGTGGTAGCAGGTTGCGAGCCTGAAGTGGTCGTTGTCGTGCCTAAGGCAGAGAATGGGGTCGAGCCCGGCGCGGCGGCGGTCGAAGCGGGTTGAGAAGGAGCCGTGGTGGTCGGTTTAGTGAAGTTGAAAGGACTTGGCGCTGGAGCCGAAGTGGTTGTGGGCTGAGAAGTCGTGGTCGTTGGGAGAGAAAAGGGAGATGGTGCCGCGGCGGAGGTCGTGGTGGGTTGAGCTCCGGTGGTGGGAGGGAAGGAAAACACATTCGCAGCAGCAGCAGGAGCAGGTGCGGCAGTACTTGCGGTGGTAGCAGTGCTTGCTGGCGCAGACGCCCCCATTCCCGAAAAGATACTCTTCGAAGCTGTCATTGCTGGGGTGGATGATCCTGACGATGGCTGCGTCGTGGCGGGCTGCGAGAAGTTGAAGGGCGACTTTGAAGCTTCAGTTGTGGCCGGCTTCGCAAACAGATTTTGTCCCTCTGGCGGCTTTGACGACGCGCCGAAACCGAATTGTGGAGCAGCGGCTGGCTGCGAGGTTGTTGGCGCTGAGGCGGGGGGCATCGAGAAAGCAGACTTCTGCTCTGAGCCTGAGGTGGCGGGCACCGAGGGTGCGGTAGTTGATGTGGATTCTGCCGGTTTGAAAGGACTGTTGCCTGGTCCTCCCCCAAAATTGAATGACGGTGCTTTAGGTTCTGCGGGTTTGAAGGGGGCTTGTCCTGCTGCTCCCCCGAAACTGAATCCAGAGGATTTGGGCTGCTCGGCTGGCTTGAATGGAGTCTGTCCCGCCTTGTCTCCAAAGCTGAAGCCACCACCAAAGGTAGGGGTCGGTTTTGCTCCATCATCAGCCGGTTTGCTGCCAAAGAGGTTCGTTGTAGGACCACCAGTGCTCGTGCCAAATGCTGACGTGGCTGGAGGAGGGCCGGCGGGAGTGGTCGAATTGCCAAAGCTGAAAGCTTTGGTGGTTGCAGGAGTAGTAGAGCCAAACAGCGGAGGCGCAGATGTTGTTGCTGGATTGCCGGCAGCCGACTTGTCTGGGGTGCCAAATCCTCCCGTGAAGATACTAGGTGTTGCGGCAGTCGACCCAGCGGTGGCAGTCGTGTTCTGTGCTTCGGAGCCAGTGGTCGCCGCCGGCTTTCCAAAGTTTCCAAAGCTGAAGGTTCCTCCTCCTCCTCCTCCTGCTCCTCCTGCTGTTGATGTTGATGGGTTCCCAAACAGACTAGGCTGGGAGGGTTTGTTGGTGCTTGAGCCAAATAAACCGCCACTACTTGTTCCGCTGGAAGAAGGGGTGTTGTTGCTGTTGTTGCTATTTGAACCAAAGAGACCCCCTCCGCCTGAGGAGCTGAAGTTGAATGCCATGCTGGGCAAGAGAGGTGCACGGAGGTGTCTTAGGCAAAGTGTTCGTCACGGTCTAAGTCGGCGATCGCATCGCAGTTTGGATCGGAAGGATTGGACGTGGTCTGGAGATGGGACAAAGAGATTGTTGGAGCGCAGTGACGGGGATTGTATTGACTGCGACGCGTCACAAAATATCAAAATATCAAAATATCGTGAAGCCTGCGCCGCGAACCTGCAGTGACTGTGATGAATGCGCCCGAAGATGAACCGGTGCCGATGCTGCTGCCAAGCTGCTGCCCCTGGCGCCCCTAGAGCCCCTGGAGCCCCTGGAGCCCCTAGAGCCTCCATATGGTGCCGTACCCAAAGATACAGGTACACAGTACGTCGTCAGGATGCGTTAATATTGCTATGTACATTCCAGGAGAGGCTGCGGCGAATGCTTCACTCTGGCTGTATTTACGAGGAAGGGGTCCCAACCACGCCTAAGAACTACTACCATTTCTCTCCACAATGACTGCCTCTGAAGCAAGCAACTCGACTAGCCCGTTGGACGCATGTTCCGTCATCAATTTGGCCACAGCGTTTCCTGAGGCATCCACCGATTGCCCGGCCCACGTGATACCTGTCCTAGCAGTAGTCTCTGAGGCAGTGAGACGTCTAAACTTGACGTTCGGACCCAGGACAGAGCTGACGTTCACAAACTTCGACGGCCGTTCTTCGCTAGTGTCGTTGTAGTAATGGGTGTTGAGAATGACAAGCTTCTGGAGCCTATTCCGCTCGAAGATCGCGTACTGTGCCGTGTCGAACGTATCGAGCTTCACGATTCGAGAAATGGTGGGTTGAGACAGGCCAGCAACCATGTCGGCAACAAAGAGCATGCTGTAGTACCTGTTTCGATACATGTCGTCAGCCAAAGTCTTTCAACCACCGGCATTACTCACGTCGGGTTGATATGGGCGGGTGTTGTAGAGTTGACCGGCAGAGGTTCCCACATTGCGTAGTAAAACCCCCCAACACCATTGTGGAAGAAGAGGCGATCTACCCCTGCTGCGGCCGTAGTTGCATGGTCCAGAAGATCTTGGATCAATACTCAATGGATAGCCTGATCAATTGCGGGTTCAATGGCTGCGTAGCCTCGGCTGTCTGCGCGACATCGAAATTGATGCTCGAGTTGTCGAGTGTAAGGGTGAGCGGCACAATTGCCCCAGCATTTCTTGGAGCTGGGACCGCTTGGACAGTGGCAAGCACTGCGGAAAGGGTAGCTAAGGTAAAACATCTGTATCAGACTCTGCATCGTGGGATCCAATAGTCCATGCCACAGTTGGTTTCGGGGCAGCTGTCATGCTTTATGTTGTTTCTGCCCAGTATTTCACGTCCCGAGCCCGACAGCATTCTTCCCGTGTCTGATGGCTCAGTAGCCTATTCCTGCCAAACCGGAAACTCGGCGTCAACATGTCTGGGGTAAGTAGGTGGCATTGATCGCTTTCAACGGCAGCATTAGTTTCTTGCTGTGTCCCATTGTGAATGTTTAGGCGAGAACAAGAGCCGATTCTCGTGGAGCCAGGAACACAGCATGGGCCAAATGACGTTTCTGTGCGTCCGCCTTTGGACGGATGCGTGACTATGTTAGCGTCGTCAAGCAGGCTGGACCTGTCTAGCCGACAGATCAGGTCAACCTAATGTTGGGGAACAACTTGAACGCGGTACGAGCACCTTAGATCAAGCTGTCCTGTACTCGGAATACTCGGGTGGGGCGGAGATTCCCCATGGGGAGGTCTGGCACGTGGATCTGCTCCTTCTTCACAGGCGTACTGGGTACTGGGTACGGAGTAGAAGCGCGAGTAATCGGAGATGCCTTCGCTCGAGAGCCTGGCTGTGGTACTCCGTAGGGTGGATGGCAACCCAAGAAGACGCTCTTTCCACCGCCTTTCCAACTTCGAAAGCAGGACAGCCCACCGCCAGCAGAAACGCGGCCAAGTACAGGCTGAGAGTCTCCCTCGTTCAGACACGCTGCTCTTCTGGCGCCGCTGGCTTATATGGGTCGTTGCCGTTAGCGTGCAAGTAGTAGCCGTTGGACAAGTGCATGTTGAGGTGGGAGAGAAGCTACCACTACTTTTGCACTCCAGTGCTTTGCCAAGGCGAGATAAACCGTGATGCTTATAGAAATCGGTATTTGGTTGTCCTAGTTGGCGAAAGCTTCACGGGTGGCTAGCGTCGTCGGACTTCGACTGCCGTCTATATCTATCGCACCCGGGCTCTGGAGCTGAACAGAGGTGGTCCTCTGTGATGAATGACATGCTAGTGTACTGTGGCACGTGCGACTCAAAGCAGGATGAGAGCCGTCAGCGACGTGGAAGGGTTTGTGGTGACATTTCTTGATTCATCATCGAAGGAAAACGGTGGGCCGGGGTAGGTGGGGACTAGGAGATACAGTGGAGGGAGGACTAGGAAGCCTCTAGAGAGCTGACTGTCGCCCTCCTGGTAGGTACCACTGCCGGGGACTCGGATCACGGTAAGGCATCAGTCAAAGTGGGTAGCCTTCCCTGTTGTCGGTTTCTGAAGAACAATATCCGTGTGGATAACCATCATGCATGCTTTAAGCATGCTGTTTAAGAATCTAGCGCCACACTAATACTACCGTTAAGATGAGTAGCGTGCCAAGGTGCGGGGAGGAAAGACGACTTTAGAAAGGTGCAGGGCTGTAAACGAGTATTCGCTTCGCAGCCTCTAAATGAACAGTTAAGTCGCCGAGTCCCTCCTTCGCATGCCACACGCATGTCTCTTAAGCAGTGGGGCAGGAGGTTTGCTCCCAGAATTGCTGGATCTGCCTCAGTCTGGAGGCTGTGGCTAATGGGAAAGACTTTCTGAAAGGTACATTCAGCTATGGGGAGACCTCTACCTACTGATAGGCGCAAATGCCTGATGGATCTTGGAAGTCCGTTTACAAATCGCTATCGGCCTTGTATGCTTGCACCTGTGTTGTATATTGAACTCCACGCTCAGAGCTTGCTACACTCTATTACATCTGACGCGACTTCGGCCGGCTTTCACTCTCGTACCGCACGCGTCTCTTCAAACATCCGTGCCCTCCGGAGACCATATTTCTCAATGACTCCATGGGCAGGCTCAGCATACAGCATTGCACCTCGCCCACGCGGTTTGGACGCTGGCAAGGTGCGCCATGGCGTGCACTTGTTCACCCCCACAGTTGCACCCCCGCTTCATATTTTTCATAGTGAATACAAACATTCAGAATGAGTCCAAGAAACAGTGTCCAGATGAGGCTGCCACAATCAAAAACTCATTGCGATCCTAATGCTTGAGAGTATCTTTCCATGCTCGAAAGGGAGTTGCCAGATTCTCGGATCACTGTTAGGACCTAACCTCGTTCAGATCCAGATGAGGTTGGTAAGGATGACTGTCTAAAGGAGGAACACCGTCCAGCTAGGCGAAGGGCAAGCCTTGGAGGCGAGGCTACGGTCATGTGATGCACCCTGATGAACGAATCAGGACCGATAGTATCACGTGCTCACCATCTCGCGTCCTCGGCTGTCCTTCCTTTCTTTGTCGCGTGGACTTTCCTTCCTGACTCCGCGTGGATTCATGACCAGGGCGGAACAGTGACCTCCAAGCCAATTCTGAGCCGCCAATGCCTCAGCTGCACTTCGGTTCTTTTTGACCTGGGCTCAGCCTCTATTCCTCTCAGCTCGTTGTTCCCGGCACGCACCAGAGTCCGCAAGCGAAGCGTACCACGAACACATCCCTAACAATGTCGAGGCCGTCTTCGTCCAGGAGCAGTCTACATCTTGAGCCACCTAGGAAGAGCATCGAGTTGGAAGACCCCGGGGCTCATGAGTGTGAGACGAGCATAACACACCAGTACAATGCAGACCACTGATACCTTTGCTAGTGTCCTCAGAGGGCGAGGATGACGAACACTTCTCGGACGCCTCCGAAGGGCAGAAGCGACCCTCACGACCAGTGACCCCTGCCTCACCAGTTCCCAGAACCCGCATAGAAAAGGTGGACGACCAGCCAAGCTATGGCGAGGTGCCAGGTACCCCGGCTTACGAGAAGCGAATGGTCGACGCTGTCCCCGACGAGGTCGAGATTCTCCCCGAAAGCCAGGGCCGCCTCAGTAAACGATCGTCACAGTACCTCGAACCACCCACAACCCCCGGCGGCACGTTGATTCCACGCACTGTGGTCGAGAAGATCGACCCCGAATCCCCGAGCTACGGCGAAGTACCCAAGACTTCTGGCTATCTGCAACGACAAATGGATGCAGTGCCAGATGTCATATTGAAGACACCCGAGCCGGGCAGGAAACCCTTCTTTAGCGAAGAAAGCGAAGAAAGCCAAGGCAGATCTCGCTCCAATTCAGACATTCCAGTCCCGGAAACCATCATCACGCGGGTCGATAGTTTTCCAGCGCATGGCGAGGTTCCTGGGACAGAGGCGGCAAAAAAGCGGAAGCTAGACGCAGCACCGGATATCATAGAGAAGAAGGCGGACGTGGGAGCACAAGCAGGTAATTTCAGCGACTGATGTACGACTCAGGAGGACCATTGACCTGATTCAGGGTCACCCACGCTCGACAGATCTTTGAAACCATCGCGGCGGAAGACCGCTTTGGTTGATGATGATGACGACCATGATGATGAAGATGACCAAAACGACGAGAATGACTTCGGCGATGACTTCGATGATTTTGAACAGGGCGCGCAGGCCGGAGCGGATGATGACTTCGGGGACTTTGACGATGGATTTCAAGAACCTGAAGCTGTCGCGGAGTCACCTCCTGTACCTATCGCTCAAGCAAATACCATACCTGTTGACCCGTTCGTGAGTCCTGCCCTTTCCTCCTGTTGCGGCCATCGCGCTGATATGTCATGACCTCCAGCCATTGGTAGACTTCGCGGCCGTGTCCTCAATAACCGACCTCCTCGCGGCCACGGAAGCACACCTGGATGCCATGTTCCCGCAATCGACACCCTCAGCACTCTCTTCGATCCCGCGACAAGAACCCATACCAGACTCGTCACCCATTTTCCCTTCCGACCGCTCCCGCTCGCTGTGGAATCAACTCATCACTCCGCCTCCTCTCCAGCCCCCTAATTGGACGCAATCCCGCATCCGACGCCTCTTCCTTGTGAGCCTCGGCGTGCCCGTCGACCTGGACGAGATCCTCCCCCCTTCGAAGCAGAAGAAGCTCGTCCTCCCAGACATCAACCTGGAACCCTCGTCGCGGAAGTCCGAAGGCGACAAGCCGGTCGGGTCGCTGGCGAGGCTGAAAGCTCAAGGCGGACTCAACGACTCTTCCGCCTCAGTCGACAGCACACAGTCCGGAACCGCGAAAGAGCGGCATGCCCGGTCAAGGAAGCCGAAAGGCCCGCCGCCCCCACCCGAACTAGATCTAGCCGCCGTGAAGCGGCTGTGTGCGACGACGAAAGAAAAACTCGACGGCTTCACGGACGACGAGTTACAGGCGCACGTCAAGGAGTTGAACGACTTGACGAGCCGGACGAGTGAAGTGTTGGAGTATTGGTTGAAATTGAGGGATGGACTGGTGAAGGAGAAGGAGGCGTTCGAGGGCGTCATCGAGAATCTGGTGCGGCATGCGAGGCGAGTCCGGAAATAGAAAGGCGAGTGTCTACAAAGAGTGATTTCGACGCAACAATGCAAGCGCTTCTTTTCTGTTTCTAAATCAAGACTCTATCAGAGGAGTGGAATGTCGCTTGCTTCGTTGTACACCAAGTGAGACCCTTTGACTCGCGTGTCGCAAGCATGATCCCCTTCCGTTCAAAACCTTGAATCTAGGTGGGAGAAGAGACTGTCCCATCCCGGGATGCCCATGTTTGGCCCTAGCTCGACGTACTCCTGCCAAATTGCATCAAAGTCGGACAGATCGTGCTGTGAGGCATCTTGGACGGGCATGGCGTTGGCGTTACTGTCGCTGTCGCCGAGTGTCTGCGCTTGTGTTTCTAGCGCTGGCGCCGGTCGATTGAGGTCTTCACCGACAGCGCTGTGGAGAGGTTGCGGCGACCAGCTAGATACCACAGGAAGACTTTGCTCTTCGAGGACGGCACTGGGGGGTACAGCCCACGCGACAGGTGGGCGTGCATTGTTATTGTTGTTGTTGTGTAGCCGCACCTTATGCTTCCTCAGCACGTCCATGAGCGAGTCCAAGAAGTTACTGGCCATGGCAGATTCGGACTTTGCATCTTCTAGCATCTTGCATGCGGCGACGACTTCGGCTTTGCGGGCGGCATCGTCTTCGCCCTCGGCGACGCGGTTGAAGCACAGATCCATCACCAGCACGATTGTCGCCATGAAGATGTGATAGACAATGCCCGTGTGTCTTGCGCTCATGGTCACAAAGCCCCCTTCTTCTGCCTCGGGGTCGGGGTGGAGAAGGTCCTTCATGCGGATCACCGATCGGGCCGACTCGAGCGATATTCGGCGCGAGTAGTCGTAGTGACGTTCCACCGAACGGCGGATCAGAAAGGGCTGGTGCAGCTTACACCGGCGAGTCTGGGCGATCATGCCCAGGGCGTACCGTTGGATTTGCATGTGCGGGCGCTGACGCATGATGTGCTCGCTTTGGCGGATATGGCGCTCGTCGATCTTCAAGAATGGAGGCAAGTCTCGGAAAAAGGCTTCGAACTTGCGGTCGAGATTGATCACATCTTGGTAGTCGACCGTGCCGAGCTCGAAGCTGGTCAAGGGCATCACGTCGATAACTTCGCGGCAGATGGCGGCAAGCTTGACGCGCTGGATGTAGTATGACATGGCTGTGGGTTCGGAAAGGGGTCTGTCGACAGGTGGACCGTCGCGGACTAGGTCGTCGTCGTCGACGTTCCGTAGCATGTTCACCCGCATGTGGCGAGGTTGGACGCAGTACGTGCCTTCTTGCGGACCTCCGCTGAGGCCCAGCAGCCTGGGGTTATGGTCAACGTGGAGGAAAAGAGTTGTGGGATGAAATGGGGACGTACCAATCTGTGGCGACCGTGTGCCACCAGACCCTGCGCTTGATTTCTGTCTCCAAGGCATTTTGATTGTTGGGCCAGCCCGATGCTGGGTTGCCGGGTGCGTCAATCTTATGCAGCGATAACTCACGAGCCATGGCGACGCCGCTGGCAAAGAGGCAGCGCGCCCGCGTCGAAAATCCTTCGTTGTGAAACAGCAGGAAGCCGAGGATGATACTGGCCTGAATGTCTGCCAGCTGTCTCGCCACCATGCGCTGAGTGAACTCCAATACTTCCAGAGCAGAGTTCGCCCAGAACATAGATGCTTGCAGCGCATCTGTAGAAGACATGAAAGCCCGAGTCTCTCCTGGGAAGTAAGTGCAAAGCCCAGCAGCACTCGCAAAGATGGCCAGTAACAGGACCACTTCAGAAGGAACAACCGGAAGCCCGCTTTCCAGACTGGCATAAACGGTCTGCAGCGACGCTCGCACGGTCGGCGCATGGACGACATCCTGCAGAAGGTCGACGTATTTAAAATAGTGGTCGAATAGTGCTCTCGCTTCTGCTTTTGGCGGCAAGCACAGGCACCTCGAAGCCGTCTGGAGGTTGAACAACTTGTCTTGATCAACCGCAATCTGATGGGTGGACATGAGCCGGATGTCGAGGCCTCGATATGACGATGGCGCATCGCGAGTGCCTGTCTCCTCCAGACTGTGTATCGCCTCTTGGTATTCCGACGCGGGTGAGACGCAGGCCAAGCTGGGCGACGATGTGGCCTTTGTGGGAAGGCCATGAGACACGCTCGCACTGATGCCATCAAGCTTCGACTCGGACGGCGGCCCCAGCACAACGTCCTCGAGTCGCTTCAATCGTGCCAGTATAGATAGCTCGCCAGCATCTCCTGTTGCCTCCAGAGGGCGACGTGCATGTGAAGCGGAATTGCCATCGCAAGGAAGGCCCCTCGAAGAGCAATTAGAACACGGGCTTTGGCGATTGCATTTGAGCTTCTTGGATCGGCAGAACTGACATGAGACTGGATCTTGCCGTGGTCGCTTCAGAGGATTCAGAGCCGGACGAGTCTCAATCGCGCCCGAGGACATCTTGACGAACCTGACAGTGGGAGAGGCTCAGAATCTCAGCAATCGTCGACTCGAGCTTACTCCATGGACATTCCGGAGCCAGAAATCTCGACGAGAGAAATGCGGCGCAACCAGTTCCCGTCCGGGGGTCTACGTGGTGACAGAGACTTTGAAGGAGAGAGAATCGATTGGTTAGTAGGGGGCCTGAGGCGCTGGTGGGGCCCGATTTAGAGATGCCCAGATGCCCAGACGCCCAGACGCCCAACCATAATTGGTCAGGAAGCCCCGAGCACTTCCCGGGCACCGCTAATTCCATAGCTAAAGAAGCGTAAATTGGGCACAAGCCGCGCCTCCTGCGTGCTCGCTGCTCTTTGGCTCTTGGTTTCTCTATCATGCTCCCGCATTTGATCGATCGAGCACTTGGATACGTACCAGCTTGTCAAAGGACGACATGATACCACCTCTAGCCAGGGACTTTTTTTTTTTTCACTTTGCTCTGGCGCTCAAACGATCTCGGACTTAGTCTACCACTGATCGGAGAGGTACGGGCAGTCGGAAGGCTATGCGGTAGGTACAAGCAGGCAGGGTTGTGTTGACTTGGAGCCTTCGCTAGTATAGTAGGTTCCGCGGACAGTCCATTGCGCCCACGCATCCTGATGACATTAATACCGCCCTGTCTGCGACTCAATCTTCAAGATGGAGCGAACAGCTAACCGCATATTCTCGCCTCCATCACCATGTCCCAGGGGGAAAAGCCACTCCCAGCCTCGATCAACGGCGAGCCTCGAAAGAGTGGCAGCGAACAGCAGCCAAGCGAGTTCAAGTTGGTGACTGCCCCAGCGACGAGTACTAAGAGCTGACTTTGTCCAGTACGAGATCGGTCCTGACGCTCATCGGTTCTGCATTGTCGACCTTCTGCACCGTTGGCTTCCTGAACGCATTCGGAGTCTTCATTGAATACTATCAAAGACATCTGCTGACCGACAAATCGTCGTTCGACTTGTCATGGATTGGATCATTCTCGACCTTTGTGTTCTTTCTTGCTGCTGCTCCGGTAGGTCTACTTGTTGATCGTATCGGACCTACGGTAAGCATCTTCTAGACGGGCACAAGAGCGGTCAGGCTGAGGTGATTAACAGATCCTTCTCGTCGTTGGTGGCGCAGTCACCCTCCTTTCCATGTTCATGATCTCTCTTTGTCGAGAGTACTACCAGTTCTTTCTGGCACAAGGCTTCCTCCTCGGTGTGGGTCAGGCGTTCCTGGCGTGTCCAGTGTTTGCCATGACGAGCCGGCATTTCAACAAGCACCGCGGCTTAGCAACAGGCTTCACCATCGCCGGCTCCTCTCTTGGTGGAGTCGTGTGGCCGATCATGGTGAATCAGCTTCTCAACAAGGAGGGCATCAGTTTTGGCTGGACAATCCGCATCGTTGCGTTTACCATGCTTCCACTCGTGGTCATCACATGTGCGACCGTGCGTCCTCCTGCCCCAGACAAGGCCGGCGAGGGAGAGGCTGCCACTACGTCTCCAACAGACAGACCCAAGAAGAAGACAGATCTGTCTATCGTCAAGAACCGGGTATTTCAAACCTTCTGTGCCGGGATAGGACTATTCTATCTGGGCATGTTCTCGCCCTTCTTCTTTACCACCTCGTACGCTGTCGGCATCGGCTTCTCGACCAGTTTCGCTTTCTACCTGGTTTCCATCCTGAACGCCGCGTCTCTTTTCGGCAGGATCTCTGCGGGGTGGCTTGCAGATCGGTATGGGCATTTCAATTTGTGCGCGATAAGTGCCCTTCTATCGGCGGCTGTTGCCTTCTGCTGGACAACAGCTACCAGTTCCGCGGGAATTGTGTTGTGGGCTCTGGCTTATGGGTTCTGCTCAGGCGTAGGTTGCCTCTTCGACGCATGGTCTGGTCCCCAGCTAACTTGTCTTCTCCCAGTCGATCTTGGCTCTACAAGTGTCGTGTGGGACGAAGTTGGCAACGCCCGAGACCTATGGTACCGCGGTCGGCATGATCATGGGAATTGTGTCCTTGACGTAGGTCCGCTCCAGCGTTGCGTTTTCCCAGAAATCCCTCACATTGGTCAACGTCACTTGCTAACAAAGTCTTCGGACACAGCGGCCTGTTCGGGTCTCCCATCAGTGGTGAGCTGATAAAGTACGGCTACCTCGCTCTTTCGATGTATGTGGGTGCAGTGACTGTGGTGGGAGGCGCGTTGATCTGCCTTGCCCGGTTCCAGCTTTCGCCGAAGTTGTTGGATATTGCCTAAAGTCAAGAGGGCTGTGATATGAGCGTTCGCGGATCTCGGCTGTCGCACATCGACTCGTGGGCTGTGGCCGCTGCTGGGGTGGTATCTTGTACGTTTGTAGAACAACACACTCTGCTCTCGCATACCAACAAAAGCAAGGGAGTCGTCATCGTGATTTGAGTCACTCGCGATAGTGGCCGGAATCTGCTCCCATCTGCCCGCATCATTGTTGAAGTAGATTCTCCTGTCATATAGTGCTAATTGCTGCCCTTGAGGCGGAAGGGGAAGCACTCAGCACCTCTTAGCCACGCGCATCGCACATTCAACTGAAGCCTGCACACCCAGTCTTAAGAGTCAAGCTTCAGCGTATTTGGCGTGCACTTTCTTCTGTATGCACGGAGTCGACACGAAGCAGATGCTGCACATCCTATGTTCCTCGGACTGCGTAATGGAGAATGGATGCTGCAAGAGCGAAACATTAAGGTGAAAGGCTTGGAATCAGGGGATCCAACGTCCACCATTGCCTCAGCTGCCATGACCTTGGTGCACAACATAATTCAGGCCGAATTGAATCTGGCCTGATCACTAGAGAATCCACGCCAGTAGAGTCGGAGACCCCAAGGTAATTCAAGAGCGGAGAGAAGACTTTTGGTATTGACAGGCTGTCTGGACTTCTGTACAGTGAGGATGTTATTGAAGCACTACCACCACCTGGCTACAGGTGAAGCTGACCCATATGCCGGCCTCTCCACCGAAGTCCTTCTCTCACACAGGTCCAGTCCCATTTCTGCCCACTGAGCCCCAGGCCGCGAGGGCAGTGTCAACTGAGGGACTGACCACATTTTGCCCTCTTCTACTTCTCACGAATGTGCTGCGGGTCTTCGCCGGCATCTCCCTCCAGCTCTTGGATGTGCTTGTCCAGCTCGTCGAGGTGCTTTCGTTGTTGGGCGAGCTTCTCCTTCAGCTTTCTCAAGCTGTAGATTCAGAGAATCATACGCGTTAGTGACCCGTACTAATCAGTACCATAAGGGTTGTGCCGGGCGTACCTTTCCATTTCCTTCTCTCTGATGAACTTGGTCTCGCTGGCTTGCTCGCGCTTGGTCCAGCTATCACTAATTGTGAGAAATGAAATGTCAGCGCTCTGTATGTGATAGGAGACAAGAATGTCCTCTTCAGACTCCATTGGACACGACATTCAGCTGGTGATGGCCGTACCCTGAAGCAACTCCGCCAGATCTGATGGCTCCGGTATCTCCCTCAGCGGCTTGAATGGCAGAGATGGAGAAGGATCGGCGGATTGAGGGAGCAGCACCAGCTCTTGCGAGCTTGACGACTTGCGTTCGTAGCATCTTAAGTGGTCAATGGGTTGTTGTTCAAGATGTTGATAGTCAAGTTTACTCCGGTGCAGTTGAAGTTCAGCCTGCGGGATGAGGATCGATCGAAGCTCGCCTGCAATCGCCGCAGTGACGACTACCGGTACAAAAGACGTCTAATGCTCCACCCTACTCCTTGATAGCTGCTACGGGCGACGGAGTACACAGCCATGAGCAATTTGGAGCACGTGACGTCTGTCCATCAATGCTGAACGTACACAATGCTGCATCGGAGGCAGGAATCATGATGGCAGAGGCAGATCACCAGCATCCAAGAACACGCACTGAGCCTCGACACAATCTAATCAAATGGACAGCTGGTCGATGAAACGAAGTGAGGCTGTAAGGGAAATTGAAGAAAGGTAAAAGCAGCCGCGTGGAAGCCCCTGCCTTCTTTCTCAGGCGTGTCAGGGTCCAGCTGATGGACCTTCCTTGCTTGTGATCCCCCCTTCCGTTGGGTGCTGCTGCTTTCTGTTTGGGCCTTCCACCTCCCACTTATCGAGCCAGTCTGCGTCGCTCCTCCCACTTCCTGCGGCTACCTGGAACTTGACTAGGCGACGCCTGCAGACTTGCGCACACTCTCATCTTCGTCTTTCTTTCTCCCATACTAACAACACCTTGCAATCACCACCACCTCGTCGCAAACACATCTAATCCCGCTCCATCTCTCGAGTCCCCTCCCGTGCGAGTCTCGTTGACGTTCCAGTCCTCTTTAGACGGTAAGCTACACCCCAACAATCGCTGCATCTCTCCTCCAGGGGGATACCATACCCCACGTATCGAGTCGTCGACGGTCCCAGGATCAGTCGCGCTCTTGGTCCCTTGAGTGTCACTTGTGTCGACACCGGGTCGACAGGGCTTCACGACGGTCGACAGCGACGCCTGATCAATCTGCCTCACCCTTGACCGGGCTCTCCAGGAGCGATCCCAAACCCAAGTGCCCTGATTGACGTCAATTGCCGCACCCTACCCACTATCGACAATCTCAGCTTTAGATTGTCGCCATCGCTGCGGAATCTGGTGGAAAGCGCCGGCAGCGTTTCCACGTGGTCGCAACATTCAAGTCGACGCTCTGTCCTGCTTTTGTTGTTGTCCGAACCGTTTGTTGACATTGTTGACATGTTTTGTCTTGGATGACTCGGCTAACCAAATCTACAACAACAGGTCTCTTTTCCTTTGACAAATATCAGAAAACACAATCAAGATGGGTGTGGAAGAGTCAGTCTATCTCGCAAAGCTCGCTGAGCAGGCCGAGCGATATGAGGGTAATCTTCTTCTGCTTCCGGCACCCAGTTCCAGCTAACCTTTGCTGCAGAAATGGTCGAGAACATGAAGGTCGTTGCATCTGCAGACCAAGAGCTCTCCGTCGAAGAACGAAATCTCCTCTCTGTCGCCTACAAGAACGTCATCGGCGCTCGTCGCGCTTCTTGGAGAATCGTCACTTCGATCGAGCAAAAGGAAGAGTCGAAAGGCAACGAAGCTCAGGTCAAGCTCATCAAGGAATACCGCCAGACAATTGAGAAGGAGCTCGGAAAGATCTGCGAAGACATCCTCGAGGTTCTCGACAAGCACCTGATTGCCTCTGCTCAGACCGGTGAATCCAAGGTGTTCTACCACAAGATGTAAGCCTATCGCATCGTCCACTTTTACTCCATGTTCTCATGCTATTCTAGGAAGGGCGACTACCACCGCTACCTCGCTGAGTTCGCTACTGCCGACAAGCGCAAGGAATCCGCGGACAAGTCTCTCGAGGCCTACAAGGCTGCTACAGAAGTCGCTCAAACCGACCTTGCTCCCACTCACCCCATCCGACTTGGTCTCGCGCTGAACTTCTCTGTCTTCTACTACGAGATCTTGAACTCCCCTGACCAGGCGTGTCATCTCGCCAAGCAGGCATTCGACGACGCCATTGCCGAGCTTGACACTCTCAGCGAAGAGAGCTACAAGGACTCAACATTGATCATGCAGTTGCTGAGAGACAACTTGGTAAGTTGCCACAGGCTCTTTCTTTGTCGACCACAGCTAATACCGTGCAGACCCTCTGGACTTCTTCCGAGGCTGAACCTCAGGAGGCCCCTGCCGCCCAGTCAAGTGAGGCTCCCAAGGAGACCGAAGCCGCCCCTGCACCAGAGCCTGCTGCGGAGAAGACTGAGTAGAGTCAGCGTGTCTTTGCTCGCGATGGTGCCGGTCGGTAGAGATACCCCAGTCATGGCGGGGAGGAGGCGACTGAACGGCTGGACTACTAGCGGTTGAACAATCTTTCCCAATTACCTTTCTCCACCGATATTCCCATACTCTACCAAAGCAGATTCCCTTGCAACGGATCACAGCAGACGGTGACCTGGGCGGCGGTTGCGAGTGCACATGATTCGATTGATGGGTAGCTACTCTAGGTCCGTCTTAGACAAAACACAGCCAGGCAGGAAGAAATAGCAATATGAGACCGGATCCAAGATGCTTGAGCAGAAAATCAATCACCGTTCGCCCTTGTTCCACTGTCACGTCTGCCAGGAGACGGATGCCGGCTTGAGAAGCGTAGCTACCTTGCTGGCGCGGGGGACAGCAGCACTTACTAACCAGACAGACAGAGACTGACAAGATATAGTTCTGAGCAGTCATGACCTTGGATACAATACCTAACCCCAGAGAGAGATCGGTCCCACCGGATGAAACTGCGTCTCGACCGAAGTTCGAAGCCGATCCTGCAGTCTATCCACTCCCAAGTCCCTTCGAGCTGTACTGTTCAATCAGGTGAGCTGTATCCTGTGTCACCTGCCTGAACCACGATAGTTCGACCACAAGGAACAGGTAGGCAATAGTGCGCATCACAGGAGACGGATGTGGTCCTTGTGACCCGACTGGCTTTCAACGGTCTCTACGGAGTAATCTCATCACGCATCTGCGGCTATAGTTGTTAGGTGTGTATCCAGATCTTCTCGGCGTCCTTCCAAGAGGCCGGGTGCCACAGACAGACCACAGACACAGCACATCACAGCACATCAGACCTCGATCCGTCTTCCCCGGCCGCCCCCCCGCTCGGTAGAGTATCGAGCCCTTCCCACCGCTCATGCGTGTGGGGTGAGATGAGAGGTTCATGCACGTCGCTTTTAGTTTTTTCCGTGCCGTACGAGCGGATCATGGCAATATGGGGACTTGGCTTTCAACAGTACGAGTAGGTACATGATGAGATGGGACAGCACACAATTGAGTTGCGGAGGACGCGCGATGTCTCATCGATGTCACTATCCTATAGTAACTATGCCACACTCACGCGCGGACCTGGTACAGTGGTGTGGACGTCGCTCTCCTGCAGTACATCACACCCATGCGCCGACCTGGTACAGTGGAGTGCTGTGATCGTGCGATTCCAGACCCGGGGGACGATATGTAACTTGTAGACTCGATAAGCCTTAGCTACTGTGGTACGAGGTACATGCTGTGTGTGCTTGCAGAAGAGGAGGCAGAGGCGTCGCGCGACGAATATATGTACAACATTCCCCGTCGTGACCTGTTGAAAACCGACGAATAATGAAGAATATCTACGGTTCATCCCAGAAACCTTGCCTTGCCTTGACTTGCCTTTCCTTCCCCTCCAGTCTAATGGTCATTTTCGGGCTTGTTGCTTTTCCAGATTGTGTAACTCGAAATGCGTCGCGACACCTCCAGTCTATCAGTGCCGACTTGGTGACCTGTGTTCATTTCAAGCCTATTGCCTTTCCAAAGACTCGAAATGCATTGAGGCACCTCTAGTCTATCAGTGTCGACTTGGTGTCCTGAGTTCCATTTGCACGCCATATGTTCTTTTCTTGTGCTGAAACCGTTCACTGTCGGCTGTCTTCTGATAGCTGGGAAAAGACACGCGTTCCAAGATCACTGGCATATGAAGCATTCTTCCTTGAACGCTCTCGTTTCCTGATCCAAATCAAAGTCGCCTGATCACGTTGTCCAGTTCTTCTTCATCTTCTACAACCCTCGGCATTGGCCCCTTACGCCGCACGTGCTCCATCTCCGCTGACGACGCCCCGGTTTGCCTTCACCTCTTCCTCGTGGGCTTTGGCCTGCTTCTTCACGAGCCGATTATATCCCCAGCTCGTGAGGGCCAAGTCTGTTTCGCTGACCTGGCCGATCCGCACCAACTCTTCCCTCGCCATGAGCATGCATGTTCGGTATTCGAACCGCGGGGAGAACACAAGGTTGTGGCGGTTCAGATCGGCAAGACAGCCTTTGGAGACCTGCTTCGTAAGCGACAACGATGGGGACGACGATGATGAATCGAGCTTTGAGGCGTAGTCGCCCAGGGAGAGCAAGTCTGCAGGGTCGATCACCGCGTAGCCGGAGCTGGCGAGTGAGGTGTCCGTATCGATGTCGACTTGAAAGCCGTCGCCGCCGCCGCCGCCGGAGTTGGCATTGCACTCGACGACGTTCGGAGTCGTGCTATTGGACACGGACGTGGCGGTTGTCGACGGCGTGAGGTCGCTGTTGTTGATGTATGTGTTGATTGTCGTATTCAATGTCAACGCCGTGAATGTGCTCAATACGGATTTCTCGTCTCGGTTGTCGTTCTCGTTCTCGTCCTCGTCATGACACTGTCGGAGCGGTGGATCGGTCTTGGTATTGGCCTCTGCCTCCGGCCCGGCCTCAATCTCCTCCTGTCTGTGTCCGTCATCTAGGAGAACGCCGCCCAACGCACTGACCCATTGACGATTACAGCGTTTGAAGTAGACGGCCTTGGCGAGGGAGCTGGTCGCGAGACATTCTTCCAATCGCTTCTTAATACCTCGAAGCCGCGACCGCGCTTTGTTCTCTCTAGCCCATGCCATGCGTCGTTCTTCCTCTGCTTCCTCGAGTGACAGTTCTTCATCTGACTCTGGAGATGCCGCCGCGCTGACGAACATGGTCGGTGGTGATCCTGGGTGGTCTGGCGCCACAGCTCCCTCGCCGTCGACGCTACGAGTTGAACCCCCCGCCACCGAGACACTGGCCGTAGACTCGCCGTCGGAGTAGGCACTCAAGTCATGATCAACCCCGGCACCTAGAAGGGCGTTGATGCGCGCCAGCGTCTCCTTCGCGTCCTCGTCCATGCGGCGCACATCGGCCCTGGACTTGAGCACCACGGCCGGTTCGTCCGAGTGGATACATCCCTTGGCGTGCGCGTACGTGAACGTCGGGAGCGGCGTCAGGTCGAATTCCGAATATATAACCTTGCGCGGCCCGCGCTGGTGGTCCATGTAATTGACCGTTTCTTTGACTTTCTTTCTGAGCTCCTGTACACAGGTCGCGGTCTCGCCGGCCGCATTGACGGGGAAGTTCTGCACCGGGGAGTGGAGTGGGTGGGTGAGTGTGCGGATTTCATTGAGCATGCTGTCGTCGAAGAAGGGGTCTTTGGCTCTAGAGAAGGCAAGTCAGTATAGGTTTTCCTTGGGCATCTCAATCAAATAGTGAAAATGTGCGCGGTCGATGTCTGGAGATGTGAATGTGATGGATATGTGTAATCCTTCTCGCGAAAACCGATCATCTCGGCTTTTGTGTTTAGTCAGTGGGGATCATATTGGCGTTGTCACCCACACCATCACCGTCATCATCGCGATTATAATCTCACCTAATTAGCCTCTCGCGACATTCATGGTGTAGAGAGGCTGAAGGTGGTAACACTCCCCACCAGTGTGACCGTGAAGCATCACGTGCACAATATTTACAAAGCGAGAACAAAACCCGGCTGAACTTACGCATCCTCATGCTTCTGACAGATCTCAAAGCGGACCGCGGTCTCTCCGTCGCATGTTCTCAGCTCGTGTGCGCGAACGCAGCTTGGACATGCCTCGAACAAGTCGCTGCCCCAGTTGTGGTAGAGAGGGACATGCAGGGTGCAGTCGAAGAGGATGACGAAGACCATTTTGGCGGTCGTGTCGGGATGAGAGAATATGGAAGGAAAAAGGAAAGGAAAGGTGGGAGGATGAGAGACAGATACTTATACCTTTGTGCGAGAGTGAGGGAGCAGGCGGTGCCAAGGAGTGTCACTAGTTAGTGACACTCTGGTATAGTGATGGAGGGTGATGATAAGAGACGGGGAGGTTGTCACGAGTATGACGCCTTATTGCTGCTGGAAGGATGGGAGGTCGACGTTGGTGTTGGGTGAAAGACACACCCTTCGTCACCTGTATCAGGGCTCCTTGAGTTAGCATCGTCACCTGTATCATGACGCCGTGAGTTAGCATCGTCACCTGTATCATGGCGCCTTGAGTTAGCAGGTTGTCATCAGCAGCAGACTCATTCTTGAATGTGGATGTAGGACTTCGACGGCGTCACAGGTGTCAACTCCATTGTCATTACCATTGTCGACGTGGTTGTCGACAGCGACACTGGTCGCTCTCATCATCTTGTCTCCCCAGACCACGCCGCGAGCATCCTTTCCAACCCCCATCCACTCATTGTCTCTCAGGTTGCGACCCCCCCGGTCGTGCCAACCTGGCCGGCCTTGACGCCACGGCCTCCTATCCCACACTTGAAGCTATCACCTCCACCGGTGATGCGACACCTCACCGTGTCCTTCAGCGCCTCGTCGTCACCCATGCCCCATGCATTGAGGACGGCATTGGCATACCGAACCTCAAAGGGGGCCTCCTCGGGCACAATGGCAGGTATGCCAGCACGAACCACCGGGACCCTCTTCATATCACCCACTTTTGCACGTCGGATGCTCTTCCCGACGGTGATTGCTTGTCCGATAGAGTTGACGTAAGTGCCCGTGCACCGCAAGAAGTAGACTGATTGAGCAAGGCCATTGTTGGCTGAAATGATTGGCGTGTTGTTGACGATGCAGCTGCCGACGTGGTGGGTCTTGGTGTGAGCTGGGCTGGGGAACATGATAGGCAGCATGGGGTGGTCTTTCGCGCTGGTCAAGCCTGAGTCGGGTCTATGGTTTGTGAGCTCGCGGACAAGACAGTGACATGAGAGCAGACTCACGCGTAGCGATGGAAGCGACATGTCCGGTTGATGATTTCCCAGTTTCCGTCGCAATACTCTGTGACTTTCACTGGTCTCTCACAGTCCAAACAGATGCGCAGTGGGTGGAAGCTGAAGTCGAGGTTGGGTGCCAGCACTTCTCGAGGCCGGTTCTGCCATCCACGTCTCATCGCATAGGTCCAGAGGTGCCACATTTCCGGTATGTCACGACCAACGTAGCGGCGGCGATAGGGTTGTGCTCGATCTATGCGAGTAGGCATCTGTCTCTTGACAATCACTCGTCCCATGGTGGCGGCAGTAGTAGAAAATGGTTGCTAGAGAAGAGGGTGGTTGAGTAGGACGATTGACTGAGATTGGAAGAGACGATGCACGTTTCGAGGATGGAAGTGAACGCGACAGAGGCTGTTCTGTTACTTTGTTGTTTTGACATCGCGTGGTGAAGCAACAGCTCTGCTGCCCGTACCAGACCCGGCGTGAAGGTGAAGGCTGTGGGTGAAGAGGCTGAACAAAGACAAACCCAGGACGACAAGGTCAATGACATGGACCGCCCACCACATCTTGATGTCCAGACCACACATTCGGATTTCATACTTCCACTCTCCCTCTCCCTGATCAAACCAAGCACTTAGGAGTCCTGCGTTGCCGCCATAATCTCCCATCATACTTCGAAGGGTGACTTCGCGCACTCCAGTGTGAGATGTGGCTTGGTTGGCGTGCTCCCATTTGGACACATCCCAGAGTGTCTCTCTTTTATCCTCGTGTTGGTCCTCGGATGTTGACCAAGCAGAATCTGCAGGGACAAAGTGCCAGGTATCACAACCTTCATGATCATGACCGGTCACAATTAAGCCGTTTCTTCCCTTGCCTTGAGCTGGCGCGTCACGGTCACCAGTCATACCGAACAAAGCCTGCAGGGTGCCTCGATGGCTTGCTTCCTCGCTCAGATGGTTCTGCTCCCTCATGCCGTGAGGCTTGTACACCCCGCCACCATCGTCGTCCGGCCAGTAGTCGAAGAATGGAGCATCAACACAAGTCCCCTCCTTCTTGTGCAGGGGAAGGTGCGTCAGCAGAAGAGTGAAAGACGATCGATCCTCTACAGGGCGCAAACGGTGGTTGATGAGGCCGTTCAGATAATCAAACGTTTCCGAACGGAGATCGTCTGACAACGCAGGGCCGTCCAGGATGAGACTGTTGAGGACAATAAGATGCAGCGACGGATGTGAAGTTGCCCCTACCTCTGGTGTAACAAGTGTGGCGTTGGACCTCGGATACTGAAAGCGAACATCCCAGTTGGCTTTGCCAAAGACTCTCTCAAACCTGTCCATCCTGGTTCGAGAGATGTCCCCCGCATAGCCAATATCGTGATTGCCAGCGATGTTTATGGTTCGGGTTGTCCAGCTTGCGTCCCCCAGCTCAAAGATCCTTTCTTGTTCCTCGCCGTCCAAAAGGGTGATATCGTCTTCAACTCTGTGGCCCTTCGCAAAGACCCTATTCCAAAACCTCCATCCTCTCCACTCGAACTCAGCGTCAGTGACCCATTGACTGCCAATGAGATCTCCAAGCACGGCGACGTGGGTAGGCTGTGTCCACCAGTGCAGTGTGCGATATATGTGGCCCAAGTAGTAGTCATTGCCGAAGAGGTCAATACGCTTGCGCAGCGCCCCCAGTGCTTCCGGAACGTCTTGAAAGACCACCTCTCGAGCTAGCTCCAGAAAAGGCGATATGTTGTGGAGCCCGGTGGTGGGCAGGTGCGCCCAGCGTCGTCTGAGGGTAGGTATGAAGGCATCGTCGGGTTTGGGAAGGGAACTGTCTCCCTCAAGCTGAGGATCAGCAAGGGCCAGCAGCCGGAATGGCGCGGTCAGAGAGTTACTGCTGGTGTCGATGGCGTGGTCGATGGGGAGGTGTCGCCTGACTGTGTCGATAAGGGACGACGTCGTCGACCCATCCGTCGCTGGAAAGACACATCCGTGAAAGAGTGGATATAGATACAGATAGATCGTCAAACAAAGAGCGACTGGGAGTAGAAAGCGTAGCGACCTGTCTGCAACGCCATATTTATACATTGAGCCATGAAGAACAGACAAACGAGGAACGAAGAATCAAAAACAAACAATGATGGCTTGTCAGTCGGGCGTCGAGGTCGAGACGAAGACGGCGACGCCGTCCAGTTCAGGTTGCGCAGTCACGTGCTCGCCCACTGGACGCGACGTCGACGCTTGATTGGCCGATCATCGGCGCCTATTCTAGGCCGAACACGTGGTGCCCCTTTTCCTTCAATGCGCCCACAGACTAGCGCCACACGCGAAGTTTGTTACCCTATTATGGAGTGGTCGAAAGCCAAATAGCGACTATTAGGATGGAAAAGCCAGTGATCAGTATTATGTATTACCCCAAGACCGATTATATAGTGTCAGAAGGGGGTCTCTTTCCCCGAGGTCGTCACGTCTTTGGTGTCCCGCTCTGTATCATCCTGAAAAACCCTGGTGTTTACATCCGCGGACCCAGTCCCCAGTTGCAGATTCATATCCGAGTCGTTGAATTCCAGGCCCTGGATGTTCAAGCCTGTCTCTTGCTCGCTCTTCTCCAGTTGAGGCGTTCGCTGTTCCGGAAGCTCTGCCAGCTTGCCCATCTCGTCTTGGTCTTCCGTGCCCTTCAGGGCTGGGGGCCTTTCTTTCCGCGCCCGGGCCTTGGCTAAGCTGATCGTCTTTTGCCGGTTGGTGGTCTCGAAGCTAGTTAGGTCGTGCTCAATGGTGGCTTTCAGGATCTCGGCCATCCATTTCCGTCCCTGGGTGATGTTGTCCACTTGAAAAACGTGGACTGTCGGTTTCGTGAATTGGACAGCTCTGGAGGACCCTGCTTTGGGAGGCACAAGCTTGAAATAGAAAGGTGCGCCGCTTGGGGAACCCCGTGCAGCGTTTGGAGAGGTCTCGCTGGACGTTGCGGCGGATTTGTTGGACGGGGTGGATTTTCCCGTCATGACGGTAGAGAGCGAAGTAATCGGGTCAGCGGCCGTACCCAGCACTTTATGCCCGGAGATGTCGATGATGCCTTTCTCCTCGGTGTCAGTCTCCGAGTAATAGTATGACAAGCGGCGTCCTCGGAGGACGAACAGCCTGGGCTTCCATTGTGCCACGATACCCGACGATCTTTTCTTCATCCAGCCAGAATAATCGCAGGTTTTGCGCGCTTCGGTAGGTGATATTTGCAACAGCCCTTTAGTGTAGGCACTCGTTTGTCGTTTGGTCTTAGGATTCGTCCGTACTGGTGTCTTGGTATGCAGTAGTGGCCCGAGCTGTTCGGTTGTGCCTTTCGAGGACGTATCTGTATGGTCCATATCAAAGCTTCGCGATGTCATTGAAGGAGTCTGGGATCCTGATGGTGAAGCAACCGGGCTTTCTTTGAGATTGTCGGATATTATGTTCGTTGAACTCGCTGCGGCGTCTTTCTCATTTCCTGTCACGGCCTCGGATGCTGCCCGGATACCCAGCAGTTTCCGGGCCTTTGATGAGGAAGTCAAAGTAGCTGGGTTTGCCACAACTGGAGACGTTGATCCATTTACAAGCTTTGGCGAAGATAGCGCCGACAAGCTATCCTCTTCGAGATTGGTGACGGTAGGGGACTGTGGTATAGGAGATCTGATGGGGGTCAAGTTCCGGGCACTTGCAGAGCGGAATCGACCCTTGTAGGAGCGGCTGTGATAGGCTTTCGCCGCTGGGGAGATGGCCACGAGTGCTCTCTCTCTGATGGAATCAACGCTGCTGAGTCGGGTATGTCGTTTCATTCCGAGGCTAATCCTGGACGAGTCGTCCACCGCGCTTGATTGGCGGGAGTGGCCAGCACTCTCTGCTCCAGCTCGCTTCCTCAGCAGATTACGGGCTTTTCTGTTGTCGAGCTCGTTACCACTGAAATAGCCACGATCAAGCTCGGCGGTCGAATTCTCGCCATCATCCATAGACAAATCAATGCTCGGTGGCTGATTGCTGATGTTCAGCTTCAGTGATGGGGCGCTGCCACTGGTGTTGGCGGTGGTAGCGTTGCTCATGGACCAGTCCCTGTCAAATGACGCATTCTTCTTGTGTGCTGTGGATGGCTCCTGGACGCCGGGTTTTGCATACTCGACTGATGAATGGCGGCGGGAATGGTGTGCATCTCGGATTGAGGAAGCGGACGGTCGAGTCGGACTATCGGTGGCCAGGGAAGCTCTCCAAGGTGAAGGAGGTGTGCTTCCCCGGAGCTGAGATCGAGCGAAAGAGGACGGAGACTTCGGATGTTCCATGACAGGAGAGGTTGACTGTACGTGAACGTAAGGGTGAGTGTGCTGTGACGGTCGAATTGAAAGCCCGGGCTCTTCCATCAGGCTGGGTATCCGGGGCAGGAGAGCGGTGCCCCGGACTTGACTTCGGGTAACATCTTCATTTGACCCATTATTCTTCAGGCTGCTCTTTCTCGAATCCTTTCCACCTCGAAGCTGATTCTGGAAGTCTCTGATCTTGTGCCACGTCTTCAGGCGGCGACCCATGAGGCCAAAATCAAACTCTTTCATGTGAATGAACGACTGGTCCATATCCAACAAGACATCGCCCGTAATCTCCTGCTCTTCGAAGATGTCGCAATGCTTTGGATCGATACCAAGGCCTCTCAAATACTCGGCAGTCTCTTTCGCGTCCCATGACCTGACATCTGCTTCGGTGAGTTGAGAGTTCTCCTCACTGTCGGTTTCCGGGCCGGCGATATATGGACTCCTATCAAGGTGGCTGCTGTACTCGCTCTCCGTGTCCTCGGCTAGATGGTCGGGCGGAGCCAGGCTTTGACGTGGCGTGCTCAAATCTGTGATGTGTTCATTTATCACGCTCAATGTCTCGTTCATTACTGGACTCTCTTCCCCGTTTCCTCTGCTTGAAAGAGCTTGGCCAATGCTGCGGTGGACATGGGTAGTTTGGGAGGGTGGTACAGAACTTCGCAAAGGCAAGCCAGTATGTTGATGTGGAGATGAGGTGACTGTCCGGTGGGTTGAGCTGTCCATCGTTGGACTTGTGGGCGTGGCAGGTTCGACTGACTCGGGTGTTTGTGCTGTGTAAGCGGCCAGGTTTGGAGAGAGTTGAGGGCTTCTGACAGCTGTCGCGCCCACAGGGCTGAAGTGCGGTGGGAGTTTTGCGGTATAGACTGTTATGAGTGTAAGAGGCAGCTGGTGGAATCGTGGACAGACAAACGACCTACCCCCGGGAAAGAGACCCATCGTGCCTTGACCAAGATGTTTTCCCAGATACCAGCCGTCTCCAAAGCCTTCGTCCATTTCGACCAGCTCGATTTGATCCGTCTTGCGAAGCGTCAATTCATCTGCACTTCTCGCGTCGAAGTCATCTAAAGCCAGTCAGTGTCAGGATATCCACAGGCCAGGGGACGGCGGAGTGAACACACGGATGGCAACCAAGATATCACCCGGCTGTGGAGCAGCCTTTGGCCGCTGTTGTGAAGAGACCGACATCTTCATTCGCCTCTTCGCAGACCCAAGCGCGACAAGCGACTAGCCCAGCAAGTGCAACTGTTTCGTCGGCAGATCGACTGGACGCGCCGTGACAGAAACCTGCATGATCAAGAGGGCCCCCTTTTGTAGAGTGACAGGGTGAAGGACATGGGGGAGGTTGAAATATGATGCAAAGGTCGGTCAACACTGTCGCACAAGAGGAGGAAGGTTGCTGCTCGGGAGTATCACTGTCAGAAGCGGAGTCGAGGTGTCATGACAAGCGACGCGACGGTGACATGGAAATTTGGTAATTTCACTCTCTCATTCCACAGCACACGCCCGACTGCTTCATGAACGAGTGTGTTTCCTACTTGTCCTCATACCCAGAGACGCCATGGAAAGAGACAGAGAAAGCGAGATGCCTCAGGCGCAGGCGCAGGCGGACCTCAACGGTCGACTCCTGGCTGACCACGTGCAAAGCCTATTACTGGCCCGAGCGGTGCCTTCTGGGCGCTCATCTTCCCCGCAAGCCATGACCCTTGCGCTCCGTGGCTCCTCCAGGCGCTTGAGCCGCTACGCTGCGCTGCACTCCACAATGTGATGATACTAGACTGAGAGACTGCATCAAAGTACGTTTGGTTCCTTTGACTCTGTTATCCACCCAGTTCGTCTCTGCCGCTGCGAATTGAACACAACTACTGTCGCAGACAACCGTGTCGCTGCGTGCACGCAGGCCCCAAGAAGCCATGCCATGGTACATCTCGGCGTGAGTCAGTCAACATCTGTTCCTCACCGTTCGATGTGCGTGTCTCTAACCGTGGTGAAGGAATTCCTGGGATACTCCACACACCCATTTCAACCGCTACCGCCTCTGCCACGCTGGGATCCGAGCATGAATTGAGCACTGTCAAGCATGCCAGACCACAGTGCAGATTTTCCCTTGAGCGCCGCTGCAGTTCAGTCCTCCAATGCCACGAGCAACTTGTTCTTGGGCACTGCCCCCAGGTCGTGGATGGTCAATGGCAGTGCAGCCGCCAATCGAGTGACCGTGCAGCCTCAACCAGCCCGTCGGTACAGCAATCCAGCACGCAAGAGACCAAAGCCCCAGAGACTCAAGACCACTCTGCCAGCAGAAATTCCAGATGAATATTCCACCATCGTGGTTGCGTCCCCGTCATATGCTTTGCCCACCTTCACAAGAGAATCGCGACTTGCGCCGTCTGCGGCTGAGAATGAAAATGCACGGCAGCAGGACACACTACACTCTCTGACGATATCGTCAACAGCCGATGCACACCATCAACAACCAGTGCCTGCTTCCAACACTGTTATCCTCGATTGGCCTACAGTTAGCAACGCCGAGATTGAGGACATGTCAAGAGTGCCTGGGTTAAATGAACACAGCGCGGTAGCAGTACAGCCATCAGCCGTGAATTCAAACACAACTACAGCTGTAGATGGGGAAGGCAACGTCCAGGCAGAGGTAGTGACGCTTGTTGGTGACGACGCCGAGCATTTGGTCACCTTGCCGTCTTCAGAAGTCAACTTGCTTCCAGACCTACCTCCGACGAATGCATCTCACGAAGAGATCGACCTCTTCAGACAGAGCAGCACTCAAGGCGCCTCCCCGAGCGACAGAGCAGCCCTGTTGGATACCTCTACCGGAAGCCACTTCGCTCCTGTTGGCGGTACCCCTCCCGCCGACGGAGGGCATTCTGAGAGCCGCCGAAAGCGTGTGGTTGATATGAGGCTATCTGAAGACCGAAGAACACGCGGGAGACTAAATGCGGATGTGGACGATCTTCAATTGCAGCTGCCAACGCCTCAAGACTCTCCAATAACCTCCAAGATGGCTACTCTCAGCGAAAAGTTCGAATCGGTGCTAGGAGAGATTGTAGCTGGTCCGATCACAATCAACCCCCAGTTGGTCATTGATAGCCGTCGCGTGGAGATGATTCGTGACGCCTGCCGTCTGAATGATCGTTTCTTTCTCCTGGCTCATCACCTCTACTGTCTCTGGTCAGACACCCAACAGGACATCCTTGATCAGCTTCATCTCACCGAGATGCATTTCAAAGGCATGCAAGTTCTGGAACAGGTTTTCGGTGCCAAACGGTATTTGACTGCAGGAGTGTTTCAAGTGTTCTTGACGTTTCCTCAATCCGCCGAGGCATTGCTTCAAGACAGGAGCTATGAATTCGCGGTGCTGCTGGAGGAGGTCCGCTGTTTTCTCTTCCATTTGGGTACCGGCTTCTTTACTCTACGCGATTCCGCATTGAACAGAAAATGCCCGCCTTGTCCGGCCGAGTTCAAGTTCTCTTTGAAGCTGCCGTCACCCGTCCTGCAAAAGGCGCTCTTTCGTTCAATTCTGCGTCAGACTCATGACGACCAGGCGTGGCTGCCGCAGGCTTTGTCGCTGTTTTCAAACGAAATGGACAATCCGACCGGTTCAGCCATAAGTATTGCTGAGCTGAATGCTTACCATGGTGCTCAGCTGGCTCCAATCGTCAGTCGTTGGACTCATGTCTATGCTCAGCAGCTAAAGGAGTACGAGGCTGCGAGGAATGCAGGCGTGACGTTGCCGCCAGCGAGTGCCCAGCTATCAATGGACGTCGATCAAGGTCCCAGCTCTGCTCAAATGTACAACTCAGCTGGCCTTGTCGCTGGATCCCCGGACGCGCCTGCCCATATCCAGGGCCTCCCTCAACCGCCTCATTCAGTGCCTGTTGCGCCTACTCAGTTTGTCTCTCGAGCTTCAGATTCCACCTTTCGACCAGGTCATTTCTTCCCGGCCTCCTCTTCGCCCACTCGGTTCAGTACCCAGCCGCCACATTCTCCCAATCCGCTACAACACTCCTACCCAACATCACTCCGCTCACAGCCGGTTGCAAACCCCTGGACGCAAAGCCACGGCAACATATCTTCGAATTTTCCCGCACCACCTCAGACTGCTCACTCAAACCCGCACCCACAGTTTCCGAGTCAGGACTGGAATGGCATCACTCGTGGTCAAGCGCTGCCCAATTACGCTAACCAGATCAATCCGGGCACGCCGGGGATAGCACCCATGGCACCCATGCGCCTTCCACCATCAAGTCGACCGGGTTGGCGTGGCTTAACAATCTTAGAGGAGCGCCAGCGCAATGGAAGGACTGAATTTCGTGTTCGATGGAAAGGCACCAACATACCAGATGGCTCTTGGTTGCCAGAGACTCAATTGCAGAACGCACAAAGAGAAATTGCAGCTTTCCGGGCCCGGGTGGCGGCGTTCGAGATGCGTCGCCTTCAGCAACGTGATTTGGGCATCCCGAGACCTGGCGAGCCAACCACGCAAACCCAGCAGCATATCGCCAGCCCAAACCCAATGAACCCAGCTTTGCTACAGCAGCACCGCGCTCACGGACCACAGCTGGTAAGCAACCTCGCAGGCCCTCAGCCGGCTACCCCCCAGGAAGCCGGACCGGCGGTCAGATATCAGCAATATTCCCCAATGTTACAGTCGCCTCAAGCTACAAATATCCAGCAACGCCCTGCTGTGCGTACGCCAACTAATTCTCGTGGATCTTCGGGGACTCCAGGGATGCAAGTGCCTCCGAGTGCCCAGCAGCTCTCAAGCCCGCCCACATCGACAAATGTAATTGCACCTGCAAGACCAGATTTAATGCGCACGCCTGCGAGTATCCAGTCTCAGCAGAATGCCGGCCCGGAAACTTTGTTCAATGGTTCATCTCAAATGCCCCTCCCGACGTTGCCAGCTGCACGACCTCCGCAGAGTGCAATACCGCAATATGGACAGCCGCAACATCATGCAGCCCCTCAACACGGTCTCCCTTTCTTCCATCCTGATCCAAATTTTGTTTTGGCTCAAATGGCAGTGCCAAATCCAGACCACTTCGCTCTTCATCAAGCTGGGCTTCGCAGCCCCGAGTACCGTAAGATGATCGACTTGGACGGCAATGATTCCGATGCCCGCTACTATCAGTATGTCGAAGATATTATTGAGCTCCCCGAACTCATTACAAGAGATTCTGGTCTGATTCGATGGAACATGCAAATTCCACAACAAGTTTGGTCGAGGAGGACGACGCCTCTGCCTCCCTTTGGGGAATTCTTGATCCCACAACGCAAAGTGGCCAATGGGAATGTGCAGTTCAGGTTGAAGGCAATCGTCATTGCTGAGAAGGAAGGACGGTCTAGGCCTACACTATCAGAGTTCTGTACCCAGCCGACCAAGTGGCCGAAGTGTCTCTCCGTCTCTATCAATGAACACCACGGGGTCGATTTCCGGCGGAAAGCGCACCACGGCGCAGATCTTGCCACAGATATAACAGAGATGGTCAGGGAAGGCGATAACGAGATAGTGGTTGGCGCCATTTTCAGCCCGCAGGAGGCGCAGGTCAAATTCCTGATGGCCGTGGAGATCATCTGCATAGCAGACCATCAGAGGCTACTCAGAATGCCGACTCGGTTGCCTGCCGCAGATGCTCTTGCTGCCATAACAAATTCCTGGACGAACATAGCGGAGGATGACGATGAGTTGGTGATCCGCCGGGCCATGAGCATTGACCTTTTGGATCCCTTTACCTCTGTCATATGTGTAACACCTGTCAGAGGGTCAGAGTGCCGGCATCTACAATGTTTTGACCTCGAAGCTTTTCTGTCAAGTCGCACAGGCCGGACCAAGGACAGCGGTCTGTCGAGTCCTGATAAATGGCTCTGTCCGATCTGCAAAAGCGATTGTCGACCTCCAATGCTGGTCATTGACGAATTCCTCATCGGGGTCCGCAACACTTTGGAGGAGAACGGGCAGCTACTTGCCAAGGTCAAGGCAATTCTAGTCAGAGACGGTGGTACTTGGGAGCCCAGGCTGGAGGAAGCATCGAACGATGAAGGCAGAGGCATGCCAGCCTCGAACCCATCTAACACAGGGACCCCTGCTCCACCTGCCCCAGTGGCGACAGGGCCGATTGCGGCACACGCAGCACCGGCAATTATCGTTCTCGACGACGACGACGAAGAAGACGACTGACCTAGTTCTGATCTGGCTGGCCACAACCACTTCGTCATGGCTGCAAATCGACCTCATGACATTCTACGATCTTTTGCGAGGCCGTTCATGCCACGAGCCAGCTTTTCGCTTCACCGACACAACACTTCTACAGGATCCTGCTCCGCCAGCTCTGTGGCGATCTGCGCGAACACCGCCCACTCGTACGAAGCATCGGGTGAAGCATCGGGTAAGGCAACGTCAGCGGCAGTTTGCACTACCGTACTTCGACTTTTTTTTTTACCAGCCTCTAACGGCTGCTTTCCTGGTATTTGGATTTTGGTTCATCGGTGCTACGAGATACCCCTTTTGCGCTTGTGTTCATGAGCTTATGAGTGCATTGCCGCCTGCTGTTTGAATGCGTGGTGCAACATGGAGCTCTCAGAGAAGGATCCGGGTTCAGGGACTGGAGTTTGGCGCCTGCCGAGCGTCGTATGTCACAGTTGGCGTTAGTGGTTGTACATTTCTCGTCAATTTGGGATTGGTTTGGGGGAGGGTTTCCTATCAAGTTACGGACCAGACGTTGGTAGGATAAGTTTCCGGCAGGCTTACGCGGCGCCACGGTGGAAAATACATATCGAGGGTTTCCTGAGTGGCGGAGTCCAAGATGCGGGAGCGGAACATGGAATGAGGTTCAACATGGCGGCTTCAACCTGGAAGGTCTCAGCTGCAGGGCACTCGACGAGATGCTCAACAATGGACAGAGCGGGAGAATCAGAATATTATGACAAACCGAATAGTGTAGAGTTGTACACATCGGCGCTCGTCCGCTCTGCGACGGTATCCCTTGCCCAAGGACGTACAGGACTATTCCCATTCGTGTCAACATCCACTCACGATCAGCCCGTCTGCCATTTCATGTGTCTATCTTGTGCAAACCAAGATCCTAACTATCGACTGGGTTTCATATTCGTCGGCCTGTTTCCAACTTTTCGATCAACTGTACAGACAGTATGCCCCTAGGTATTTATTTTGCCTGTGTCGTAAATTGCCTCTCATTCACATTTGTCCCATCGCGTCATATCCGTCGAGTAGATACCTATCCGATACCTAGATACCCAGTCTCATGCCACATCATGTCATGTCATGTCACCTGATGCAAGGTTCATGGATCGCCCATCGGGACATACGGTACTTAACAGCACGTCAATCTGCTCATCTGCTCACAGAGCAATAACTCCGTAGAGGCGGGCCAGCCGTCTCGTTAACCCACCACACCTCACCAGCCTGCCTTCGTCACCTATCGCTAATGGAGAAACGCGGCATCGTTGGGTGCTATCGTGTCAGCCCCTTGGATTTTTCACCGTGCTGGCATCCCAGTTTAGGTCTTGCGCGTAGTAGTAGTAGCCGACTTCTTGGCTGTCTTGGCCTTCTTTTGCACACCGTTCTTGCTTCGAGGGTTGCCCTTGGTCGTGGTCGTGGTTGAAGTGGTTGCCTTTCTACTGGCTCTGCTTCTGGTCGTGCCTGTGCCTGTGGCTGTGCCTGCGCCTGTGCCTCTGGCTGACCTGCCAGTGCGGCCACGTCTTCGCCTCGGGGGCGCAGGAGCATTGCCGGACGATACTAGGGCGGACGATGATGCTGCCGGTCTCGGCCTAGGTCGCAGGCGCATGTGGTGAACACTCTCCATTGGAGGGCCCATGCTCCGGGTGTGCGGTCTCGTGCGAGGCTGAACCGGTGGTGCTGGTGGTAGTGGAGCTAGCACGGCTCGGCCGTCGTTGCCTTTCCTCCTCTTGACGCGAGGTCCGGGTTGCTGCTCTTCTTCTTGGGGTGGCTCCACGTCGGCAACTTCGTCTGGTCGCTGGCCATCATCCGCCGCCGGGTCTCCAGTTCCAGCAGCGTCTTCAGTTCCAGCAGCGTCTTCAGTTCCAGCAGCGTCTTCAGTTCCAGCAGCGTCTTCAGTTCCAGCAGCGTCTTCAGTTCCAGCAGCGTGGTCTTGTTCGAGTCGTTCTCGTTCAACCGCCTTGTCGCTCTCTAGCAGTTCACGTTCACGTTCCTGGCGTATAAAATCCCGCATGCTGAGGAGTCGGGCGCGCTCGAATTCGTCCTCCTCTTCTCTACGTTGCATGTCTTCGAGTTCCTGTTTGCGGCGTATTCGTTCCGCTTCTCGTTTATCCTGTCCTTTTGTTAGCTGGAGTTTGTGTCAACGATGGGCGTTTGATGGTTCCACCGGTCTGCCAAAACGTTGATGAGGCAAACGCGGATGGATTGTCAATCGGGACTTGACCTACCAGTTTTTTCGGTTCGCCTTCACCACTGGCTTCTGGTTGGCATTCAAGGTGGGTACCGTCTATTTCAACAAGTCCCTCCTCGTCTGCGCTTTTAGAATTCCATTGCCAATCACGCTGAAGTCGCAGTCGTTCAGCTTCTTCATCTCTTTGCCCTAGCTCGCGCTCCATCATCTCTTGTATATGTGCTGGCATACCCGTATTACGTTCAAGGAGAGCCTGCAGATCGGGGCGAACCGTCGGTGAACGAGTACCCGATATTGAGGCTGGATGTCCTGGAGACCGTCTCGGTGTGGGCTGGGGTTGTGGTGATGTTCCGCCGTTAGCGGAGCCAGATTCGCCTTGAGCCAAGGCCTGTTCTGCATTTGCACTCTGATTGCTTGGGGCATCGTCAAATTCCACAGAAGGAATGGGCTCACTTATGTTCTGCCACGCGTCGTAGACGGCTTGCGCGTCCCAGTCTGCGCGCTCCAAGAGCTGGTCCAACGCATCATCTGGCAGCGCTTCGCAGCCAGCGGAGTGGAACTGGGATCGTAGCTCATCCCGAGCTGCATTTCGTCGAAATGCTTCCAGACGCACCTCGCGGATTGTCTCTAGCAGGTCGGCGACTAGCTCCTGATCATAGATGATGGAACCTTCGAGCAGCGTTTGCCACTGCGCCAGAGAGAACTGAGGCACGGTCCGGTCGTCTCCCCAGCGCCATGCGAATTGAGTACTACGCTGCACTCTTGAAAGAACCAAAAGTCGCCCATGGACTTCAGTCTGAGCGTGCACGTCGAGAACAAATTCCAGCCCTGCGCCATCACCCATGAAAGGCATGTTTCGCTGGACGTTGCGGGTTTCGCCTCCAGCTCGGGCTCGGCCTTCTCGTGCTGTTTCCTGCTGTGAAGGCTGTTGAGCTAGTGCTTGTTGTGTGGCTTCGTACAAGTTTGTTGCTGCGCTCTCTGGGCCGTCTGGACGATCTTGGGGCGAGGCAATAGAGCTTGTTTCGGACTCACCGGAGCTATCGGAAGATCGCCTTTCCTTGCGCCCTTGGCTATCGGAGCAGCCAGATGGCTTTCGTGGCGGTGAAGGGGGTGGCTCTGCACCTCCACCTGTAACTAAGCCCATGGCCTGCGATGCTTCCTGGGTCTCATCAGCTCCCGGCGCTCTTTGGGTGTCCTCAGGCCGGGAGTCAATGGGCTGCGATGCTTCTCCAGAATCAAGGGGCTGCGACATTCCTTCTTGCGGCGACCGCGAGTCGGCTTGAGGCTCGGCTGGTGGTGCAACTGGTTGAAGGAATCCATCGTCCGGACGGTGAAAGAGAAGCCGGTCAACTATACAACTTGGGTGATCGCCGATTTCGTCGTAGTGGTTTTCGAGAAGATCTATGGGCCGCAAGTCGGCATCCACCCAATCTTCGGGCTCATCCCAGCGGTTCATCTAAATTCGGTAAGTCAGCGTCACAAATAGGGACAGTACTGAAAGCCAAAAACCATCGAACTTGTCCGGAATAGGGGAACTTACGATGCCAGTCGGTTTACGTTCTTTCACAGTGAAAGGACTGACAACATCCTGGTCGTCCATGGCATTTTCCCGAGGACTTGTAGGATTCCAATTAGGCATACGAAATGAAGGGTCTCTCCACGGGATCTGGGGCACATGTACGGTGTAATCGTCCATTGGCCGAAACGAGGTGTCTGCGCCAGCGCGAATAATCAATTTGGGTTTGCGCATGATCCGGTTGTTCTTCTCAGCATCGACGTCGTAGTGACCAGCACTGTCGGCGCCACAATAGCGGCATTTGCTCCTGACGTAGACGATTTCGACGATCGGAGTGCATCTGAGGTTGTAAACCTCATTGCCGTCAATATCGTATTGAACCACACCACCCTCATGCTTTGCGCAGACTTGAATGAGGCACGGAGCCTTGAGAACGCGTTGTCCACCACCGTCACAGAGATTTTCAGGGGCGAATTCATCATAATCAGGCCCGGCATCTACAGCTGCACCAAGTCAGTGTCTCTCGAGGCCAGACAAAAAGACAGGACTCGGGGTCTGGAACACTTACTCCTAGGCCTCTTACACCTGGTGTACCTGTATTCGAGAACTTTGCACATTTGCGCTATGAAAGATGTAATTGCACAACAATGTAGATAGAGATACGTGGAACAAGATTCTTACTGGCGAAGACGAAGGAGAAGGGGAGGAACGTAATTGACCGAGTCCAGAGCAAACGCCCATAGCTGGGATGATATGGACCTACTTTCTGATGAGCACATCCCAAAATAACTGACAATAAGCAAAAACATCTTTGTGCTCGTTTGTGAATAGGGATTGTTAGTACAGTGACATCTCTGGGTTGGAGCTTTTAAGAACGGCGAGCGACAATAGAGAGGAGAAAATAGATTCACTGGCGTGACAATAAAGGCATTGTTGACGAGCGAATAGCCATTGGCTCGAAGTGCGAGGTCTCGACAAAGCGACATGGCCCGAATGAGCATTGACTCTGGCGAAAGGGTATCTCGAAGCCGCCTGCCATATTTGATGGCGTTGTGCGAGCCCATGAGGCGCAAGTTGGAACATGTTCGGGAATCACCGTATCTCGGACGACGGCTGGTAGAGGCTGAAGTGAGGTGGAAGTAAGAGAGAGTAAGGAAGGTGATGTGATTCCCAGTCACGTGATCACGCGCCGCTGCCGGTCTGTGCCTCGGCAGGCCTGCGAGTCAGCCGGTCCCCACTGTTGAGCTAGTGAAGGGCAGTCTGCGGCCCATTGGCTAACCATGCGTTCTAACGAGCTTCGCGAACAATTCGGGTAAGATTTTCAGGTGTAGGCGGAGATTTCCATGCAACTCGCCTGGATCAGGAAGAAGTAAACAGCTGCTTCCTGCTTGCGCTCACTCATTACTCACTCTCACGCTTCTCTTCAACTTGGGCTGAGCGGATATAGGCTCTTTCAGTTCTCGCATTCCTTTTGCTCTCTGAGCGCCGCATTGCATCGGATCTCGCAGGACGAGGCTTGGAATGTCTAGATTGCCCAATTTATCCTGAGTGAATATCATTGGCAGCAAGCCTCCCTCACCTGTTCGCCAGCCCGCGTCCCAAGACCAATAGCATGCCTTACCATCCCGTCGGCGTCAGGGTTCCATGACAACATAATTCCTCATGGACGACGCTCACGCCCATCCTCCCTCACCTGCCTACAGCCTCCATTCGCGGTCCCGGTCGATTCCTCCATCCTTACGCGACTTGCAGCCTAACAATACAACTCCGAAGTCGGCTCCACACACCCGTCAACAGCGACTTTTGCAGACTCGTCATGCAAGGTTCTCAGCTCAGTCGCTATCTGTTAACGGCATCAACACCCCATATTTGCAGCTGAACCGGTCCTGCGAGAACGAATCCCCCTACTTTCCTTCTCCCCGCTTTAAAAGGAGGGACGAGAATGACAGGGCTCAGACCAAGCCGGAAGAATTGAGCAATGCTTCTACAGAGTCAGCCATCCTGAACGAGATCTCCAACAGCAATGCATATCGCATACGCGGGCTGAAGAGGCGCGCTGCTATTCCAGTCTTTGAGGACTCACCTGGCAAGCACTCAAACCCACATTCGATTTACCAGGACGTTTCCGGCGACATTCACACACCCTCTCTTTCTGATTCTGCACGAGATAATTCGCCTACCATGGGCCTCAGGGAAGTTTCGCTCAACATCCAGAGACCATCGCCTGGCAAGCGCCGGACACTGAGCCGCAAGTCGTCTCTGGTTCGACCCACATTCAATCCGGACGATTATATTGACCACATCGAAAATGAACTACAGACGGTCAAAGACGCCATGTACTCTCCTACCACCCATCTGCCATGGAAGGACAAGTTAAAGAAGGCTAAAGAAGAGATTCAGCGACTTAAGAAGGAGCTCGAGTCCACCAAAGCTTCTTTCGAGTACGAACTGCACCAAGCCGTCGAACGGTCTGCTGAAACAGAGCTCAAGCTCAAACGGAAGATTAAGGATCTGGAAGACGACGTCGAACTCAAGCAATCCGTTATCCATGATCTCGAATATGACTGTCAAGAAAAGAGGTTGGATCAAACCGCTCTGGACTCCCTGAAAGCCAGGATCGAGAAGTTGGAAGATGAGAAGCTCAGTCTCGAAGCCACCAACCGTGACATGACCAAGCGCAACGAGGTTTTAACCCACCTCCTCGCATTGTCGCCTACCAAAACTCAGCCCGCTATTGAACTTGCCACTCCCAGGAGGCGAAGTGCCCGTCCTATGTCGTTGATCATCCCAAGAGTTCCTTCATCTCCGGGGATACGCACATGTCAACCACACAGCAGACCACAGTCCATACTTGTTTCCCCTGCGATTGGCGCCTCCGACTACTTTGGAGCACAGATTCCTTCATCGCCATTGGCTTCGAGTCCAGTAGGCCTCGACGATGCCCAATCTATTGACTCAGGGCTCGGCGAGTCCTGTGCCCCCATGGCTAGTGGCACCGGTTCAAGGCGGTCAACTATGGCCTCCCACGTCTCAACTAGTCCAAGCATGGATGCCGGGGGTCATGCTCGGGCTGAAAGCAGATCACAAACCGTCTTACGGCATCCATCAAAGCGAAGACCTCGAAAGTTCATGCCTGGATCGACGCAACTCAAGCCTCTCCTACTACCGACATTTACCGCGGATAGTGGCAACCTCCCTTTGACTTCGCCCGTGGCATCACCAACCCACCCCGTCCCCGTCCACTCCAACTTTCAGCAAAATGCGTATCATGTAACACGGATTGAGCAGCCAGCTATTGATGAATATGACGAGGCAACCTGTTCAAGTCCGGATCAGGTCATTGGTCGGCCTGGGCCCGCGTTCCAGAGCCTGGACGAGGTCTTTGCCGAAGACGCGAACAAGTTCCGGTTGGTTGAACTGGAGGAGACTTTGACAAAGCTTTCCATTTCGAATCAATCGAGACAGTACGAAAGTCCAATACAGAATAACGACTTTTTGCCAATTAAGGATGACCAAAGCCCTGTCGGACCTCATTCACATCCTGGAATCGACTCCTGGGTTTGGAAGACAATCTCTTCGTATTCGGAGTTCGCGGAAGGCAACTCAAAAGTTGTCGCACCGGGTCCTCTTGTGCTTAGCGACAATGTTGAAATCCCACAGCCATTGTTCTCGCGGCATCGGACGGGCGTAGATAGATGCTCTTCACATAATGCATTCCCTGACTCTCCATTGCATCTTCGACAGCGACGGAAAACTAGCTCGAGTGTCGAAGCGTACCGAGCAGGCACCGACTGTACAGACGACATGTACACGGGTAGCGAGCGTCGCACTATTGATTGCCAGGACTTAGAGATGGCGACCTCTAGCTCGAAGGAGAAGACCAGCAATCCGCTCAATAGGCAATCTGCCCATCGCGACAGACAGGGCACGGCTCGCGCCCGCAATCCGCTTGAGATACTGCAGCATCGCGGGATTGGGACAAGACCCTTGGCCGCTTTGACTATCCAGACGGTTTATGCGACTGTGTCACGGTACACGTCCTACGTTCAAGGCTTCAAACGGGACCCTCTGGCTCTGGCACGACGTGTGATAGCCAATGCCTGGCGTTCGAACTGGTCGGTGTTTGGGAAATTGAGCTGGTGGGTGCTAGGATTGTTCATTGGCCACCGGAGGCCACCCTCGGGCTACTTGGAATGGAATTGGGAAAGGTATGATGGTGAAAGCATCGCCAATCAGCATTGCTATCCGCATGTCAACGATCCTTCGGTGAGCGAACTCCGCACAAGAGCCTCTCAGGATGCTCCAGCACCAATGACTGAGGCCAGCGGGAAGTCAGGAAGGCGGCCTGGCGAGTCATCTCCTTCAAACTCTACAGCTGCCAAAGAACCAAAGGATGGTTGGGGTCGCTCGCTGTTCCTCTGGGGCAAATTCAGTGTAGCGATCATGCTCGCAGTGGGAGGTGCTATCGTCAAAGGACCAGCGGAGATGTTGCGCGAGGCCGATGAGAGAAGACGGTCGCGGCGAAACAGTCTTGCTACAGACTCGGATATTAGTGACGGTGGCCGACATTTGGAGCTCAGCAATGCGGATAACAAAGATGTCGGCATTCATCCGTTGCCAGAGAAGCCGCCAGACGGGAAACGCAAGGCTCGAAGCTTCAGTTCTCCGCCAACATCGCCAGAGACCCATGATCGAGCAATTTATCCCACCGGTCAGCATTCGTCTGAAGAGCATGGATTCCTGACACGAACACACCAAGCATCTTGCCGGCCGACTTTGCCGGCCGAACCGTCACCCTCAAATGACAACACGTTGAAGCCTGCTAGAAGCGAGCGCAAAGCAGTGGACTCACTTTTCGACTCGCCCGAGGATATCGAGATCGGAGCCAGCAGCAGTCCGGGCAAGCTGTCCATGCTAACAATCAGAGCTGCAGGGTGCTGTGGTGATTAGACAGCTCACAATATGTCAGGTTCCGCTTGGAGTACAACAACTGCTGTACCTAGTGGTCGCCCCTCCGAATCAGTAGCGGAGGACGCGGTGCGAATAACGAAGACGGAGAGGAAGTTAATGCACGGAGATGAAGGATCACTTTTGTACGACTAACGATATTACGAGGTTATCCCTTGACAACACGGCATTGCATAGCGAGTGGATTACATGGCACCACACTGCCTGTATGATTTGTAGTTTTACGATGGCGAGACGTTGGGCATACCACAGATGAGGTGATGAGCGAGACGACTGAAACGAGCGAGACGAGTGTGACGGCCATTGGGGAAAGAGAAGACATAGGCCTGCCCTGACAGGCAGAATACAATCCAGTCCAATGGTGTTGATGAAGCATGTTCTACGCACAAGCGAAGGGAGACTCCAGTGGATCGCTGTCCTAAGCTCATATGTCGTATCCCATGTACCGAGTGGCCCGACAGGTGACCAAGCCAGGCGTCATGCGTAGTGAGGAGAGCCACAAGGAGTGCACACGGTCTTGCACACAGTCTTTTCCATTTCAGCGAGAGCCTTGTGATTAGTCTGGGGCGCTGTATATATGGACAGAACAGAACAGAACAGAACAGAAGAGAGTCTGCCGGCGTAATGTTCTATGTGCGAGTCTGGGGAGAAGAGAACTCGACGAGAGGGCTGTCGATCAGACCAGCCCGCTGCTCTTGTGTGTTGTGTAGTCCACCTATGTATCACCAGGAGCCGGCTGACGTCGACCGTGAGCAGCGACCTCGTTCTGTGCAGGACAAGTTGACAGTGTCCCAGATAAGCGTGCGGATTCGGTGTGTACGCAGTACGCAGTATGTGGTGGTCTTTTGTCCCGTGTACGAGTACGGAGTAGTACACTCCCTTTTCTCAGAAACTTGAGACCACACCAACATCGCAATCGAGATGGTGAGAGATGGACAGTACAGCACAGGACCATTGGGTGCCTTGATCAGCGTATACGTAGGGAGTATACGTAGGGAGTAGGAGTGAGGACAGCACTCTGTAGCTAAGGTTTATACACCACTACCTACCTGATTAAATACCTACTGCGACTAGGCACAATTCTACTACTGTACTCCGTACTGTATACTAAAGACCATTGATTAAGTACCTACTGTAATTAGGCACAATTCTACCGCTGCACTGTTCTGTACTACAGAAGCAGTGGTAGGACCTTCTTTTCTATATATATTAGCAGCAGGGATCTCACTAATTGTTGTGCAGGGGAGATGAGATCTACTGTACAGGAGAGGGAGAAGGGTAAGACGTGGGAATAAGTACAAGGCATACTATAGAGTACATACTGATGCATTTTGGTGGTTGAGATCGCCGCAGTCGTGGTCTTGCACAGCACAGCACGAGCGGCCGGAGATCGGTTCCTCGACTATCAGCACTACTGAACAACGCTGAAGCTTTGTCTGTATGTTATCCAGAATCCCTCGACGTCTGGTTTCGCAAGATCACGGAATAGCAAACCTCCGACAGTGAAGCTTTGACGCGCACATCCTGTACAGTACGGTAAGGCGTATATGTAGTACTGTAGTGTATAGTGGTCCCGCCTGTGGCAGGCAAAGCGTCGATGTCAACGTCTCAGACCCACAAGGTCTCATAATTTGACGCTGCTGGACCAAGTACATGGCCACATGGATGGCAAAGGCGTGAGTTTCGCTGTAGAGAATCCTTGTCGTCACCCCGGGATGCCTTGAGACGGAGTATTTCTATTTCCCTGTTTGGCACTGGATTCCCGAGAGGTCGAGGAGGAGAGATGCACCAGCGAATGTCCTGTTGCTTGAGCAGCAACCAATCTGGGAGTCCGGGATGGGCACCTTTGAGCCCTGTTCGCTGTGGCCCTGGCTCGTGTGAAGCCGGCCGGCCACCCGCGACACTGTCGACGAGGAAACTATCCAGACTGTCCTTCGCCGAAGATACTGCCGAACTTCATGTCTGGATGCTCGTTCCCCCCCCCCCTCGCGCCAAGTTAAGGCTAGCACTGTAGCGATGTGACGAGTTCTGTGCTCTGATCCGGCCGGCACGTTCACATTGCTGGTGGGAGCTGTACCTGATTCTGCTCCGTACGGAGTATTGCCGGCATGGAAAGGTCGCTGCAAGTGTCTCCGGCGCGCTACCAAGCACAGGCACGTATGGTCCGTTTGGGTTTATATAGTACGTCGCTTAGAAACAGCTGGTGTTAAGCGTCTCACCACCAGTCGAGGTATCAGCCTACTACGGATCTGAGCAGGAGAGAGGCGTTTCGGAGTGTTTGAACAGAAGTATACCACTACTGCGTAGTCCGCAGTAGTCGAATGCAGAGTACACCGCGCCGGCGTCTCGACTATTCTCCTAGACGCAAATCCAACCCCGGGTTGATCCTAAAGGCCGTGCAGGAGGACGGAAGCTCGGTTAGATGAAGCCGCATCATGCACACAGATATGCAGGAAGGACCTCCCCGTGGTTTCTCACTGCCCCCGAGCTTGACGATCTAAGCTGTTCGGGGATTTTGCTGCATACCCGTGAACAGGAGGCTAGGCATAACAGCGGCGCCATACGTGAACCTCCAAAGTAAGAGGTTTTGCGCACTTGAGCCGGGGCGAGATTCGTCAAACTTTCTCGCTGTGATCTCCATTGCCGCTGTTAGTCTGAGTTCAACGATGGCACCAAAGAGACTTTGACTCTCTGTGACAGGAATATGGCCGGTATGAGACACACTTCGCTAGAGAGGGTCGACTTGAGTCCAGGCAGGGCCCCCAAAGGGAAAGGTGCTTCCGCCTTTGGTGTTATTGCACATCCCGCACCCGTGGTGGCTTGAACGCCAAAAGTTTGATTCTGAAAGAGTACACAGTACGAAGAAACGGCTGAAGCTTGAAGAGACGTGGGGTATCAATTCGTAAAAAGCAACAAGGGACATGCTTGATACACAAGGTCGTGAAACAGACCGGATATCTCTTGTGTCTATCCGAAAGGGAACCCTCCAAACGGGTTCCCGCCAGTCGAGAACTTGAACTGTCGTTGTCCACCTCCGCCTTGCTGGAAGAAGAACTGCTGGCCGCCGGGGCCGAAGGGACTCCCCTGGAAGGGATTTCCTCCTTGTCGGGCCATGGGATCATTCGGGTCTTCCCCGTTGTCGAACTTGGCTTTCAGCTCGGGATCGCTGAGCACTTCGTATGCCTCGTTGACAGCCGTCATTTTCTTCTCGGCTTCCTCCTTCGAAATCCCTTTGGCAGCAGCCTTGTCGGGATGATAGGTCTTTGTCGCCGTGCGATAGGCCTTCTTGATCGTCGCTTCGTCAGCGTCGCGAGACACTCCCAGGATCTTGTAGTAGTCCTTTGTCTTGCTCCGCTTCAGGGCTACTTGCGCTTCATGCAGCTTGGAGTTGATGGTGTTTTGGCTTTCGGGGTGATTGTCTCTCGCTGTGTTGAGCGTGGCGATGGCCGCATCGTACTCCTCGGCGTCCATCTGTTTTTGTGCTTGGTACAGAAGGCCCTGGAGGGAATTCGAGTCGATGCGGAGCACCTCGGGGCAGTATTTGCCGGCCTTGGCGAGGTTGTTCATCGACATGTAGGCCTCGCAAGTCCTCTCAAGCATGCTGGTGTACAGGTTGGAAGGTGCTTTGGGATGAATATTCCGCGTAGAACGGTGCGACTCAATATTGGTCTTGAGGTCCGACAGTAGACCAGTCTCATCTTCAGTGCCCTTGCCGACCAACAACTTGGCCGCCGAGTTGAACTGCTTCTTTTCAATCAGGGCCTGTACCTCATCGACTTGCTTCAAGATGGTCTTTTCTTCTCGGAAGAGCTTCTTGCACGGCTTCGAGTCCGGATCGGAATGCAAGCATTTCTTGACCTGGTCCAGCCCCAGCTTCGTATCTCCCAGGCTGTAGAACAACATGGCCGATATTTGCAGATGGGGTTCCACTTGACCCGGGTGAATCTGCAGGACATGCTGCAGATCGCTGAGTGCCTCCTGCACTTCACCACGCTCGAGTCGGCATCGTGCACGCAGCTGCCGCAGAGAGAGGGCCGTGCCCGCAGTCATGATAGCTATCCCGGCTTGATTGATGCACGTCTCCCAATCTTGCCTCTTCTCTGCCTCGGCCGCAAGGTACGCGGCACCTTCGGCTTCCTCCAGTTGTATCAGATCCGCCAGACCTCTCTCTCCCAACGCCCTGTAATCCGCCTTGGCCGCAGCCCAATCTGCATTCTTCGCTCTGATCTTCGCTCTCTGCAACAGCGCCCCCTCAAAGCCGGGTTTTAATTGTAATACATGGTCAAAGTCTGCGCTGGCCTGCGCATTCCGTCCCAAGGACAGGTAGGTAATGCCGCGTTGGAAAAGAGAGAGGTAGTCGGAGGAGTCTTTGGAGATGGCCGCATCGAAGTAGACGAGGGCGTCGCTGTTGGCCCCGCGGGCTCGGGCAGCCTTTCCAGACGCAATCAAGGAAGACGCCGACGCATCCGAGGGGATTTCGACGGCGTCGGTGGTACAAAGAGAAGTGAGGCAGAGACCTAATAGGGTCAGGAGGCCGAGGCGCTGGAGCCTAAGAATCATGATTGCATAGCAAAGCAGATAGCAAAGCAGATAGCAAAGCAGTAGTCGTCGCAGGTGTTATACAAAGAGAAAAAGAAATCTACTGCGGTAGTATACAGATGTGAAGAGGAAGAACCAAGGGAACAAAGAACGTGAGGTGAGATTGAGACGCGGGGCGTCGCTGTCACTGTCGTTGCTAAGAATGTGAAATTCCATTCAATTCAACATTCTGGCCTTTTCTGAGCACCGCCACCGCCGACAATGATTGGTTGATTGAAACTGTGCTGCGGTGACTCCATGTCGACAATAGCGACACAGAGACCAGGACTGATTGACTGCTTGACTGCTTGACTGACTGAATTTTGGTCTCAAGGCGAAGTCAACGTGCAACAAGGAGATCAGGACATGGCCATAACGAGTCTTGCCCAAGGATGCGCATCTCCCCTTTGACCATGATTCAATCACAATGCCCTCAGCCATAGACAAAGCAACGACGACGTCCACGGCCGTCCTCCCAGAAGGCTCACCGCACCGTTCTCGCCGCGCCTCATTGAAGGTTCTCAATCGCAACATCCACCAAGTCGTACTGGGAAACTTGCTCTTTGATGCGTGGTATTACTCGCCTTATCCGGACAACATCATCCTTCAGCAACAAGGACTTGGAAATGGCTCCGTCAACTCAGGGTCAGACTCGAGGAACGGCCATAGCCATGGCCACGGGCCACATGGGCTTCACGGACAACACAGTTCGCTCAGAGCAGACGAACCGGTATGCCCTGTCCTCTACGTCTGTCCGTGTTGTTTCCGCTACACGGCAGTCCAGCAACACTTGCCCCCGCACCTCGCTCATCACCGCCTTCTGCGCGCGTCGGGCCAAGAGCCCAACCAACCGGTACCGGGATCGGCTTTCAAGGTCTACGAGTGGGAAGGCTACGCAGTCTGGGAAATCGAAGGCGAAAAGGAGAAATTGTACTGCCAGAACCTGTCGCTGTTTGGCAAATTGTTCCTCGAGCAGAAGAGTGTCTTCTTTGACACGGGCGGCTTCAAATACTACGTCTTGACTTATACCAAGCAGGCGGATGCGCCGTCTCCGGCATCGGCAAAGACGCGTGGGCGGACCCGGAGCTCCTCTACAAACGCAGGCGACGGAGATGACATTCTTTATCAGACTCGCGTGCTTGGTTTCTTCTCAAAGGAGAATCTGTCCTGGGACGCCAACAATCTAGCGTGCATTTTGATCTTCCCGCCCTTCCAGCACCGCCAACTGGGCCAACTGCTGATGGCGGTGTCCTACAAGCTCAGCGGATGGGAGTGGGAAGGCGGCGTGATTGGAGGCCCTGAGAAGCCCTTGAGCACCATGGGCAGGAGATCATACCTGAGGTTCTGGTCCGAACGCATTGCCCGATTCATCATGGGGCAGAGCGCCGACGCCGATGCGAGAAGAGTGTTTGATACCACCAGCGGCAGAGGCAGAAAGACGTTGCAGCCGAGAAAAGAAGAGATGACGGTCAAGGAGATTGGTGATCGAACGGGCATGCTAGGCGAGGATGTTGTTGCTGCCCTGACGGAAATGGGAATCTGTAAATTGATGCCGCCGAGGCGAAAACACACCAAGGCATTGGCGAGTGAGGCGAACGGTACCGTGACAGCGTCTCAGGCTCAAGCCGCCGAAGCCGACTCCGAGGAATTGGCAACGATGATCGTCCATCGCTCCAAAGTGGTGGAATGGGCGGAGAAGAACGGGGTCGACCTGATCAGCCCGGTCAAAGAGGAAGGATTCTTGGGGGAGTGGGCTTTGAGTGACCTCGCCGAGTCAGAGCAAAGCGGAAAAGGCTCCCCTGAAGATGAGAGTGATGCCTGAAGACGTAATCGTTGCTCGCACCACTGTGAACATAGGACACCAAAATGCCGGAAGCGGATTTGCTAGAGGAGCTGGCGGAGGTTTCGAAGCACGATAGCGCTACCTATTTCGTCAGCACCATGGACATTCTGGACGAGCTTATGGATACCCAATATAGGACGAGGGAGTGCGGGAATGGGGGCGATGAATCATCAGCACCGCCGACATCTGGGTAACGAGTTTGAGAACTTGCCGGTTCAGCGACGGCAGCCCGGGGGAGTCTGACGGGAAACGGCCCATGACACGAGGGCTGGATCCCACGCCCAATACGTGGTGGGATCTACGCCGTTTGTGTTGTTTTCAGCACTCGATCAACAAGGCGATCCCCTTTCAGAGTGTAGTGTGACGATGTTGGCAACGGATTAGGCTGGGTCGACGGTTCGTGCGAACCCTGCTCCCTGCTAGGGTTTGGGTAGCAGCACCGTGCGTCCGGGACAACAGTCCCATAATAATTCCAGTTGATCGTAGTTGATCATTAGCAGGGATGCCAAACGGCCGCTAAGGTGCAACGTTCTGATCGTCTCACTTCCGGTTCGACGTGCACGATAACCCAGAAACTGCCAGTGTTATGATTGCTTTCGGGTGAAGCAAGCGGAGAGCTGGACAGGCCGTGGAGCAGTCTGCCGTGTTGAGTGGGAGACATCCCGCCGTGGGTAGCACAAGACTGAATACATGACGCCGAGTCACAAGCCACAAGCCTCGGAATCTCGCCTATTCCATTAACTTCTTGGAATTTCGACGTTGCGAGGTACGAGTATGGAGTGCTAGGTACCTCGTACTCGTACGTACAAGTACTCCGTACTGTGTACCCGTACCCCTCGTGGGTGGGCCGCCTGCATTCTTCAGGTCAGGCTTTTCGATCATGATTCCCGCACAAGTGACCCTCTCGTGCCTACCGTTGCCATCTGCGTTATAGCAATGGTAAGGAGCTTGCTCGGCTGTGGCGAGAGTGTTGCAGCCAGGCTCCTGCAGACGTCACCGAACTTGACACGGTCGTGAAACAAAGGAAGTACAAGCCATGCGTATGTTGGGCTCGGATCAGACTTAGCAAAGCATAGACAGGACGAATTCAGTTGCAGTCCTGCCAAGGGTCGTGCTGGGAGCCCTCGGGTACTGTGTACTGTACTGAGGCATCTGTGAGCCTGAGATGGGACTCCAAAGAACTTACCCGTACCTACCTACTCTCTCCCTTCCCAGATTACAAAACGCGCCAACGTAGCCTGCAATAGTGCACCGCGGCAGTCGGGCGGCGGGCCTCTCGGCGATATTGTTACGCGCAAGGTCGCGATTTGCCTGTTCCTGTACCCCTGCATTCACTGCACGCCTGGAGGATGCAGCGTTCAGGCACCCGGGACCAGGGGTAAGGACTTCCGGGCGAGCCCGAATCCGGGATAGCGCAGCCCAGGAACGTTGAAGCCCCACTGCAAGCGCGGAAGACTTTTACCCAGGACGAGTTGCTAGTTACTGGGTACTGACTCCTTGGTGAAATCCTGCGTGGGAGGTCTCCGCCCTGAGAAGGGCAGGAACTAGAGCCTGGTGCCCCTCAATGCCACCGGACAGCCACGGGGGACGTCATGGTCAGGTGAATCAGGGGACTGAGATCTTCATGCTCGATACCTCAGCCATCTTCGCCTACTCAATATTGCGGATTGCAGTTGTGGCTCATTGGGGGCCATGAGTGACGGGGCACGAGTACACCACAGCCACCCCGAGAGATGGGAAGACCCTTGGTCGCGAAGGTAACTACGTAAACGGACAGCTGTTAAGAAAGTGCTGGTAGACCTGGCAATGAGGACATCATCCCACATGAGTGCCCAGCAGCAAGCAAACAGCTCTGGGTTGGGTAGACTCCTTCTGGCCTAGCCGGGTAGCATTCAATTCGCACCGTGCTGAGCGGAGAGTTGATGAAAGTGATGGTGGTGATGGGACCTGATTCCATTCGTGCTGCACGGGACCGTTGGGCTTTGTGAAGACCAGAGGCTGGTGAGGCTAGACCCGAAGATTGTGCCTGAAGCCGAGTGGACGGCAGAGTGGAAAGGGGGCTTAGGCTAGGAGTCGCGTGTTAGCGAACCAATACTGCGGCTCGTGCTTCGACGGGGACGGCGGAGAGAGTCTTTAGGTCTTTCACTGGCTGGACTCTCGAACGGCCAGGATCTCTCGGCCCTAGTGGGACTCACTCGGACACTGGAAGAGGACCCGAGCACTGGATACGTACTCCGTACTGTGAAGAGCCTGCCTCCAGTATCCGACTGATGGTGCGCTACAAGAGCCAACTAAGACGAAGAGACAGCCCGAACTTGAAGTCAAATGTGAGAATATCGCCAAGGGTGACTTGTATCAGACTCGAACTCTGAAAAAGGCGACCAGGACGATAACAGTGAATTGAGCTTCTGCACGCAACGGGCTTGTGATAATTGGCGGGAGATGCGGGATGGAAAAGGGAGCAAACCCAGCACGACGCGGGTGCCGCCGAGCGTTGAGCGCCGTGCTGCGAGACACAGGCCTGGAGATGCTCACATGCAGCACTCGTGTGGTCCAAGCTCTACGTACAGTCCAGAAGGGGCCCCAAAGCCCTTGGAGTGTGGTCGCGATGATTCGAGTCATGTTCCTTTCCCTTCATCAGTGCAATAATACCAACTTAAGGTGTACGGAGTCCTGAGCAGACACCCAGTACTGTACCAATAGTGCTGCACCAGGTCGCCCGGGCGAGGGCAGAGCTATTGGTGCTATCGGGCACCTATGAGCTAAGCCTGGAGAAAATCACCCCTACCATTTTAGCGGCAGACCCACGCCTAAACCCCTGCCGCCGCAGTCGAATCCGGCCCAGTCACTATCCGGTCCGTCTCCACACCTCCAGCATCTTGCATTTTCACACAGTTCCCGTGGTTAGCGTCTGTTGGCTACTTCACTGACCCAAAGTCCCTGCTGCAGGCTCTTCTCGACACTCAAGAACCAAGGTTCGAGTCTCAAGCCTCGAAGACTCACTCTTTGGCAAACCCCCAGATCGGTCTCAGAGACACCCAAACACCACATCGAGTGGACAAAGTACCGTCGGTCTGCCGGACTACGCCAACCCTCACTCACTTGCACTCTTTGTACCCGTCAATCGTACAGAAGATACTGTCGGCCGTGCCAATCGTCCCTCTTTAGCCTATACCAATTGTCGATCCCTCCCTTCAAGCAGCCTTCATTCAACAATTCTAGGGGACCGCCATTTTAGCCTTCAATCAATCGTGACCTGTCAACATTGTTTTGATTGAGCCAAACTCATCTGGGCAAACTCTCACGATACTTCCCGCCTTGGACGTCGCACGGTACACGACTTTCGCGTCCACTCCCTGGATTCGCGTCCGATTCTTCACCCTCTCACAACACTCGCTCGTTGACAAATCCCGTATGTTATAGACAACTGGACCTGGAGCAGGTGGTACAGACGCATCGGCGCCAACCTCAAGAGAAGGATCTCGAAGGACTGGACACTTGCGGAAATTTCTCTTCATTCCCACGGCCTTCTTGCTGGTACTCGCACGCGTGTAGCTCTTCGCAACTCATCTTGGAGCCTCGCTCGAATTCCTGTTGTCATCCGCCTTGCACGGTCTACGCCAACATGTCATCCGTCGAGGAAGAAGACAAACGAGGTGCCGCTTTTCCATGGGTACTAGAACATCTATTGACCTATCCGGGCACCTATGAGATCCCTTTGCGAACCATGTACACTCTCAACGCCACGACTCAACACCAACAGTGTACACCTCTTCCCTCACCGAGGTCAGTCCCTGGAAATGCCTTCCCCCGAACGCCTGCTGCGGCCGTCGAAGAGCAGCAGAATATGACCACCATGACTGCGGCTGCCCAGTTGAAGGCGACTCTCGTGCAACACATATCACAAATCCCCTCGCAACCAGCATCCTTGCCTCCCAGCTTCATTACAAGTTTTGTCCGACGATGCTTTCCACGCGAACTCGACCAAGTCGACTTCCCTCAAGCGCTAACTGCGATGGACTACCTCAAGGACTTGGAAGTCCGACGCCGGCGGGAGGTGGTGGCGGCTTTGGATAAGCTTGGTATCGACCAAGAAGACATCGGTCATCGCAATAAACTGGCACAGAAGTACCCAGGTGTTCTGCGCTGGGTCATGGACATCGAAGAGAGGGAGCGCAAGGTTGAAGCGCTCTACACCCAAGTCTATCTGGGGCTGCGCCGCTGGACGCTTATCAACGAATTGTCGCTGACCCCCTTCGATAAAGGCAACTGCCTTGCCATGCTCAACACCCTCTACCCTCCCATCAACATGAATGCCGGTCACTTCGTGCAGCCGACGGCACAGCTAACGCCCCAGGTTTTGACTCAGCAGCGCACTCAATTCTTCAAGTACATCACCGCAGTCGAGAAGACGGGCCCGTCGGTCTTGAGCTACCTGATGAATCACGCCAAGAGAAAGGAAGATGCAAATGGCTGGGTCACCTTGAGGGACTCCCTGGACAAGTATATTAGCCTGGCCAACAGTATCATTGAAGAGTGCTATGACATTACTGGTCACGGTCAGTCGCCGACTGCCGCGTCATTCAGCTCCATCGATCATGAGGAGGAAGGCCGGCGCAAAGTCGACTCGGCGATTTCGTTCGGATCCGGCAACTCGTCGAACCGCAACTCGGCTCAGAGCAACAAGTCGACTCACAGCCAAAGAAGCAACACAACCAGACCAAGCACGAGCAGCAGCTTCAGCAATGTGAGCCGTAGCCACAGCCGCCAGGTGTCCCAGGACAAGAATCTGTTGGAGAAGCCATTGCCTCCGCCAAAGGATGACGATGTCACGGTGACGCAGAAGTCCGCCGGATCCACCCTCGAGCGGATTGCCCGTGAACTGCGAAAGATCAAGAGTCGAAACAATGTAAAGGACGATCAGTGTCCTCGCACGCCGACGGCCACTCCGACAGATATGGTCATGAACATGATGTCGATCATTGAAGACGCGGGACGACCTCCGACCGCACCTGGAAAGGATCGTAGCCTGAAGAGCAAATTGAGCATACGAAGGATACGTTCCAACACAGCTCTCTCCGAGAGCAACAGCACGCGTTCTCTCAGAGATCAAGCGTCTCTAGAGATGCCAGCGTTTGACGCAGACGAAATGAACAAGAGCCGCCAGCGATGGGAAACGCAGCAGAAGCTGAGATGAAGGATGGCTGCAGACTGAGACAGCTTGTGTGACATTGTAACAAACAATGTGTACTCTAATGACATGCTTTGGGGTTTTGGGGGCGCAATGGATTGCGGCTACTGCTACCGCACAAGGAGATATGGAGTGGGCTCCAAAGACGTGTAACGATACACCACGAAGACTTACGAGTGCTGAAAACACTATCCAAACTGGATGATGATTGGAGCTTGTGGACATTACTGGTACCAGACATGTGAGGCTCTCACGAGCAAAACGGTTGATTTTGATTCTCTGAAGAAGGTGCAAGAAAAGCGGTGTGTTGTCCTGTAGCCAAGCAACAAATTGTGCTGTGGAAGATTGAATGATGAGAGAGATTTTCACCTTGATACTTCTGTATTCCTGCTTCATCAGAGTGTCGATGTGGACCGTATGACATTCCTCTGGAGGCCTTCGAATGCCCATCGCATGTCAGGTAATGAAGGCCAGGTGTATTCGGCGCACCGTATTCCGACGCAATGTGTGCCTTTGCCCAACAGGAGCCGAGTCAATTTCACCAAGTATCCTGGCCACTGGCCCGACAGGCATGCTGTGTGCTTCGTAACGGCAACCTGATCTCGAGGAGTCGACTGAGCTTTGTCCTGTTCATCCACATCGACGACAGACTACGTCACTCTCCGGCCATTGGAATTCCGGCCTATAGGTACCACATCGAGAAACGAGAGGCTCTTTATCTGCAGATGTTGCTTACCCGTGGGACAATTCTCACCTCAAGGACTGTTGCACCTGCAACTGCCTCGGTTGGCAGTCACGTGGGAGGGGCTGAGCGTTACTTCTTACTCTAGTTTTACTGTAGTTCCAGCTTCGTGATCATCATAGAATATACAGAATCCAAACCACTGCCACCAAGGACGCAGAGCTGCAATTCAGCAGAAACCGCCCTATGGTCCATAAGGTAGGGGGATTTACAGGAAGCTCGCTGCTGGTCCGACAGGTGTACACACATCTCACGAAAACGAGTACAGATACTCTGGGTAACAGATATCTTCGACTATTGAATGGCTAGTGTGGTAAGATCGAGGTCGAGGTGCCTTTATGCGTTGTGCTCGGCGCGGCAGGAATTCGACCGTTGGCTTAAGTCAGCCACTCCTACAGTACGAGTTCGATCCCATATTTCTTCCCTCTCGACATACTTAGAGAACAGGGCACCGTTCTGTCTCTGAGAGCCGGCCAGCGGTCTTCTCTGAAATGACCGCCCCGCCTCGCACCACGGTATTCTGGACTCTGGCTTCAAAGCGCCGTAATGGCTCTCCGTAACACCGCTAGGTCCGGTTGCATTTACGTCCCTAAGCCTTCTCGGTCGGCTGCCGAGAAATACGGCGGTACGTATCGCTCTGGCGGTTATAGGGGCGCTGCCTGTCTGGGGTATACCCGAGACTCTCTGGTTGCTCAACATGAAGATGATTATGGTAGTAGGTGGTGATTCACGAGGAAATAGGACTTAAGCAACCAAAACTCCCTCTGCGCCGCGGGGGGCTGCGAACTTATCCTTGAAATGCACGAACGACATTCATCTGGCTCAAACGGCCTTGACATCCCCGCCGCATGCCTGTGTCTGTACATTGGACAGGAGCACTGTGGCAGCGGGGATTGAGCGGTTCGTCTTGAACGAAAGGCTCATATATCAGTCTTCAGCTTGAGCTCTTCGATCTCTTCAATCAGATCAGTTGTCACCGCGCTTCTTACCAGATCGGCCCGCTTGATACCCTTTCGTTCCAGCCTCGACCGCCCACCATCATGTCTAGCGGCTTTGGCCAAGCGCAGATGCCGGCCTTCGTGCCTTTCGACTTCAAGTCCAAGAACGAGGACTATGCTCGGAGTTTTTCTTCAAGCAGGAGAACATGGCGCCCGGTGGGGCCCGATCGCGCGTGGGAATCATCACCTGCTGCGACGCGCGGTGTAGTCCCGAACATTTCTTCCGGCTGGCCGAGAACGAGGTTTTCGTCCTGAGGAACGGAGGTGGGAGGGCGCTGAGCGACGACATTGTGAGGACGCTTGCGGTTCTGCAGGTTGCGACCGAGATCCGGGAGTTGAAAGTGATTCATCATACAGGTCCGTGTCTCTGGGCTGTTGAGAGGCCGCGTCTTCTGCCTGCACCATTATGGAGACTTTGCTGACGGGCATAAAAGGATGTGGCGGTCTCAAGTACACGGACGAGTGGGTTAAAGCAATGATAATCAAGAACGATCCCGCAGCCAAGAACGGCGCATTCCTCGAAGGCGCAAAACCGTGGGTCGAGTCGATGGTTTACTTGCCATTCACCCCAGCAAAGGAGGGAGCGACAGCGAAAGAGATATTAGAGAGCAGTGTCGTTGAGGACGTGCTGTTTCTGAGAAATCATCCTTTGGTCAAGCCTTCCATACCAATCACAGGGTGGATTTTTAGCCAGGAGACTGGTCTGGTCGAGGAAGTCAACTGCGGTCTTGAAGATGGGTGCGACCCTGCTCAGCTGGAGTTGCTCAAGCAACAGCTGGCTAAGAGAGACCAGTAGGATTGCATTTGGCATTGACGAGGCAGCACAAGTACTCCGTACGGAGAAGTGGTAGTCGAAACATAACCCTGTGATAGTGGTAGCCTCACGATCTCAGCCTTGTGCGGCCGGAGAAATAGATAGTCCGTATGGTTCAGGATGAACTTCCTCTCGACCTTTGCCGAAATTCACACAATCACAACTTTATTAAATATTGTCGGAAGGTAGTACTCTTGGGCTGTCCAAGGGGGAAACACGGCGCTCTCAACCCATTCACACATTCCAAACCCTGTTGCTACCATCAACCTATACGAATTGCATCTGGACCGTCCGCGACAATGGACACTACGACCACCAACCCGCGAGGCATACCCACGTTCCCCTTCATGTCCAATGTGACCGACTACGTCAAGTCAATCGAAGATGTCGAGCCAACCCTTCAGAGATTCCAAGAGATGGTGTCCAAATACACATTCATGCAACAGAATCTGGAGCGAAGAGCGATCGGACTGAAGGAGAAATTGCCCGAGATGAAGAGGACGTTGCAGGTGGTCAAGTTTCTGAAGAAGAAGAGGAAAGACCTTGCCGAAAAGAAGGAAAAAGATGGCGTCGAGGAGCTGAGTCTCGACGAAGATGACGATCTGCTTGGGGAGAAAAAGCCCGGTGGCGACGAGCTTGAGACAACATTCTCCCTCCAGGACACTCTGTACGCCAAAGCCATCATCAAGCCAGCGCAAATCGATGAAGTATACCTCTGGCTCGGGGCGAACGTCATGGTCGCCTACCCTCTCGACGAAGCTGAAGAGCTCCTGCAAGCCAAGTGGGACAAGGCGAAGGAGAGCCTGACTGCCTGTGACGAAGACCTCGAGTTTCTGAGGGTTCAGATCACGACATTAGAGGTTGCGATTGCGAGAGTGCACAACTGGGACGTCGGCGAGAAGAGGAAGCTACGGGCACAAGGGAGATTGCCGGAAAGCGTAGGCGGCAAGGGCAAAGAAAAGGACTGAGGTCAGGAACACCTTTGCCACAGTGGTTCGGAGTGGACTCCACAATTCAACATGGCCATCTTGAGAAGGCCAACAGTGTGTGTGCTTCCAACTTGGTCTGACACTCCCAGACGTAACTGTGCTATCATCTTATCTCCCTGCGAGGGCGCCGTTGACTGAAAGGCCACAGCGCGAGGTCCCATTCGTCAGTAATTTTTCTGACCATCTCTCGGAGCAAAGCTCGATCCTCTGGACTGCGTACGCTAGGACACAGCAGGCACGGCTCTGCGCTCTCGCCATACTGCTTCGTCGCCAGCTTCTCATCGAATCTGCCACAACCACAGCGAGCCACGACACCACCGTGTTGCACATTCAGCTCCTCACTCCACAGACCGTTGAATTGTTTACAAGCTGAGAAGTACGGAAGAATTTCCTTGACATTGGTCGTGGGATCACAGTCGTCATTGACGTAGTCGGTGTCGTACGCATCCCCAGTCAAGACGAACAGAGGCTCCTGTAGCTCTTCGGGCACTGGGTGGCCAGTCATTCCAATATGCGTTGGTCTATGGCGAAATGCAGCTCTTGGCTTGCGCAAGGCTTCCTCCCGGTCAATGCCGCCTTCGAACATACAAGCTATAACCCTGCCGCCATGGTCCTTGTTTACGTCGAGTGGTTGTCCCTTCCCAGCGTCTCGATATGCCTCCAAAACTTCACCGCTGCCCTTGAATTCGATGTGAGCAGTAAGCTGATTGGGAGTCAGCCATTCTGACCAGGGGTCGGATATGACCTTGCCGGTTTTCTCGCTTGCTCTCTCTACGGCATCGCAGTAGCACGCGCCACAGAGTCTGTCGTACGAGTGGATTTCGGCACGCAAGACATTGTGATCGCCATTCTCCAGTCCTATCCGGTTGGTGGCAGGGGTCCAGCACGAGCGGAATTGGGCGTTTGTATGCTTGCAATGGATATAGTGCTGAAGGTTGAGGTAACACATTACGGCGTGTGACTTTTCCGGAGCCTCTATCCTACTCGTTTTCTCCTTGTTCGCGGACGATTGGACTATACCGGGGGTGTTGTCCAGCGATTGTTATGGCTTCGGCGCAAAAAGATTGGGACTACCCACCCTTGGCCCTTTGTCAAATGGTCTGCAAGACAGCAAGATTCAGACGGACTGCTAAGACTCATACATACCTGGGGCCCGTTGTCGATTCTGGTGATATGGCACTCCATGCTGTTTGTCGCAGGCGTTCGACCGTGAGATACTCAATGCGAACGCCATGTTCCTGGACCATTGCAGTGGGTGCATGTCGCGCCCAGACAGCAGGCTTGGGGGCAACCTTTTCACATAACAGCTGTTCCAAATGCGAAACGCCTCGCTCCCGAACCGGGGCTACTCTTTTCAGACATCTGGGCACTTCTGTGTACACGCACGGCTGGACAAGATCAGAGCCTCGTCCGCAGTGCAAAGGACGGTATAGCGCAGCCTCGCAACCTCGCAGCCTTGTATCCACCAACCAGCGCACGCTAGTTCGACTCTGCAGGAAACTTTGCCGAACGATATTCAAGGTGCAATATTGGCGCGTCGTGATTGGCTGGAACTCGATCTTCCACCCTGATTGTCGACTCCAGGACTGTCAAGGCCATGGCCAACTCTTTTCTTCACTGGTATTCCGGCTGTGTCTTCATTATCCTTTCGAACTCATCTCTTTGCTGCTTATACAGTCTGACTCTCCCGCCGTCTTCGGGTATAGCCTTGGTGGCGTTGCGCTTTTCACCTGGGATTGCTAGCATCTTCCAGCCTGATGCCCCTACTAGAGGCTTAGACCCATCTATAGCTTATTCGGGGACTCCAAGTCAGATCCTACCTTTCACGACCCCTTGCGACCACGCAACAGACCTTTTGTTGGGCCCGGCCTGCGGAAGAACGTGCATTTTATCGTAGTGATAATCTAACACGGCATCTTCGTGGCTTCCACAAGGCGACAAATGACTCAATAGCCATGCAGAAGCCCGAGCTCTTCGAGCAGGAGGTAGCGCAACCCTGTCCAAAATCAACTCCACTGCTTCTCGGGCCCCTGCCAGCTCCTCCGATCCCGCCAGATGGAGGAAACGACTCCATCCACCCGTCCCTGGACGTACAGCAAGCCGCAATTTTCTCCCGAGGAAGAAAGGCGGATTCACAATCCTACGGCATCGGCGCGCTTCCATGCACGTAGGAAAGTGCTGGAGGCAGAGGACTCTGCATGCTTCATGACCAAACTGAAGGCTGAGCTTTGCACCCTGGTTCGAGAACGTTACACTTGTCGTGCGCCCACGCGACTACTATCGTGAAATTGGCTCTGAGGCATGGCCTTGTTTCTGAAAGCCAACCTCTACCAATTCTGCCCGCGCTCGAGGGAGCGGTGCCCTATGTATTCCAGGCGCGCCAGGCGCGCCAGGCGCGTTCTATAATTCGGAAGGCATTAGGCCTGAAGAGATACAATGGCCTCGCAACATTCTACGACAGGATGAATAGGATACCAGACGGAGATGAATTAATTACCTTTCGGGGTTGGCCATCATCCCCCCGATGCCAACCACCATCAGTGATCCCATGCCGAGCTAGATAGATCTTTGAAATGGATACCGCGCTCAGTTTGTCTGGCCCATACTATGTCTCCATGGAATTTTGCGTGATCTGGAGGCCTGGAAATGAGATAGATCCCATGGCTGAAACCGATTTATTTACTTCGGCAGCCCGGGTGCCTTGAAGGAATTTCTCCTGCCTATAGTGCGATCGCCGAGCAGTCTGTACCTACTCAATCAGTATGAACCGTGCATGACCGTGACCAGGACAACGACAGCGACAATGGTTCTGGCCGTGCAGAGATAGTACTGTCAACATCACAGTCACATCACAGTCACATCACAGTCACATCACGATCATGATCACTTCCCTCCAGAAAGGCAGCAGCTCAACCACGTCACTGTAGTACATCTCCATGTCCATGTGCATACATGTACGTTATTCGTCTTTCTTGCGCTTGCTAGTTCCGCCCACTACACTACAACCACCACAGCATCGACGTACCCCGGCAGGGAAGGAGAAATATAGACAGGTGGACACGAGACAGTCGATGTACGCGTGCAGCTCACCATGACCTCCGTTACTTCCCGAGAGGACGCCGACTCGGTCGCCCGTGACCTCTTGTCCGCATGTTTCAAATGCCAATGATCAGGGCCGCGGAACCCGCTTCGAATGTCTCTACTGCTGGGACGTGACAAGTTGACCATACAATTTCGCCACGGTGAAGTTGGTGGCGAGTAAAGAGGCCATCGTAGAGTCTTGCTACACCGACGACTGCGGCAACACTCGCCGTGTTTGTACACGTCGGATTTGGAGCGGATGGCACAAACACAACGAGAGAAAAGTGATACTACTAAACTCAGTTCTCCGTCTCTCTCATTATCGACGTAACGATCTGATTTGATCTCCTGGATTCCATTACAACAGCTCTCCTAGAAACCCTTTGTGCTGGTTGGTATGCTCTTCAATCTCGTATCAGTACTGTTGCGAGTCCCATGTGTCATTGAATCATGTTCACCTCAGAGCTCAAGATACTCCAAGCATCTCCATGCATCTCTGTAAGAGCAATGAAGGGAAACACATCCTAGCTCTCTTCCACGCCAATATGAGCCAGCCATACCGATCTGTGGCCATACCATTCCTCAGCTCTACCACTGACGCTCGATACGAGCCAGGCCTGCTTCACAGCTATTGTCGTACCAGTTCATGTTGATGCTGTCTACCCAGAACTTGCTGAGCTGCCCTTGGACGTTGGCATAGAACTGTAGTGTGGACAATTTGTAAAACAGGTAGTTGAAGTTGACCATAGTGAGCTGACAATTGACGAGGTCCGGGCATGGAGGAATGTGAAAATGTTGAGTGGCCACGACAACCTCCGACTGAGTATTATTGTCCCAATGGTAGGCCGTAGCAACAAAATCGCAGACCTGGCTCAGGTTTCTCGATCCATTGTCGCATCCCACAAAGGCCGAATCGGCTGAGAACCAGTAGTGTTTACTGTTGCGGGCCCACGCGCCAATTGATCCTGGTGGAATGCTACCAGCATCAGGGGAGCCCATCACCGTATTGTTGAGCGATGGGTCCCACTGCGCCAGACGGTCGCCGGACTGCGGAGGGAAAGGGTCGCTCGGTGGAGGTACGTATCCCCATCCATCGCCCCAGGCCAAGAAGTTGTAAGGATTCTGAATCATGGGCGTCCCAAGAAAGCTGGCATTGCTTGTATTGGGGATAAGGTCGTCGAACTATTTGCGGTCAGCTAGTTCCCCCCTGGCTTGAGACCATCGCTTACTCCGATCTGGAAGGGGCCGACTTCCCCACAACCGGCGGCTGTCGGAGCTGGTGGTGGGTTGGTTGACGAAGGCACTGATGTCTGGATTGTTATTGAGCCTGTAGTCGCAGTGCCGGTCGTGGTGCTTGAATGAGTGATAGTACCAATACCAGGAATGAATCCAGGCGTGGCTTCAGATGTCAGTAAGGGGACGCTGGAGAACTATCCGAGACGAACTTACTGGTTGTTTCCCAAGAAGTGAAAGTGTATGTTGAACCACCAGCCCAATTATTGCACCAACCCACCTCTTGACCACCAATAGTAGCAGAGATCCACACACAAGTTTGTCTCTTCTGGAGGTCGTCGACATCGGAGGTAACAGTACCGTGGTCATAAGCACTGGTGTCGTAGCCGTAGACCGATTCGACTGGCACGGTAGCGTAAACCGTGGCAATCTCTGTAACTGTAGAAGTCCACCGAAATTGAGTGAATGTAGCCTGCACGTCTGTTCCCGACACGGGAGGCAAGGTCCCTGGATAAGCGCCAGTGCCAATCGGATCCGAGCCATTAAATGCAGTGGCCGGTCCAAAGAGTGAGGAGTCAGCTGAAGCACTGCCATTCCAGCCACCATAAGGACTGGTGAAAGCGCCATGGACATTGCTATCTGCGGCAGTACTTGTGGTCGTATTGACTTGGATGTTCTGTTGGTGTGATGTGGCAAAGGGGAGTGGAGAGACGGTGACAGTTGTGACTTTTGCCACAATCGTTGGTTCCATCGAGCTAGTGACGGACTTCGACATGTAGAACACCGACGCCCCGGGGGTGTTGGACATCTCTGTAGCTTCAAAGCCAGACACTCGGACGGAATCAACAAAGGTCACAGTGCCGATTGGCTTGGCTGAGACCGGTGCCTCAACAACCTCTTGGCTGACTTGCGCCGTGTCAATTGAGGCCCAGCTGCTCGCAACCGCATTTGGATCTTCGAGAAGGATGGTGACCGTGGGAGGGACATTCGTGACGGTCTTGTAGACTGTGACATAGTTCCACATGGTTACTGGAGAGCATGTTGGAGCCGGCCTGCACCGAAATCAGTCAGTGCCACGTACGTCGAGACTCAGGAGATGTTGACTTACGCTTGTCTGATGCCCAACACACCAGCTTGGCACAGCCCAGAGACCGCTGCCAGAAGGAGGGCTGAATCAAGGAGTCTCATTGTGGCAATGACCGTGGGTGACAAGGAGTGTGAGTGACCTGGCCAGTCGTTTGATCGGATGGTGTCTGATGTGTCCGAAGAAAGAGGGAATGATCAGATGACAGTGAGGAGAAGAGGTGATGGTGGATGGCTGACAACAAGAGGAAAAGAGTGTGACAACCGTGGAAGACAAGAGTGAGAGGACCAATTGAGCTTTAAAGAGTGCAAGAGGCGTTGAGAGAAGGTTCAGAAGTCACTCACTTGATTGTCAATGAATGACTCAAGCGAAGGTGAAGTTGGGAAGAGGTTAAGCTCAAATGTCGGTAGTGACGACAAATTGACCATCGTAAATGACAATTTGACGACTTCTCACCTGCGAGTGCCTTCCGTGGCCAAAGGTTGCCAACAGCAAGGAATGTCACTGTCGGAGCCTCGTTGTTGCCGGACAGCTCCAGCCTGCCACAACCTCATCGCCAATGAAGCTCGATATCACTCTCTGCCGAACCCGCATGCAATTATTTCGCCCTTTCTGGAAGCCTGTCCTCGGGTTAGCACACATGCAGTGCACATATCTGCCCTCCGCCGTGGGACCCCAGGGGGTTTGTAACGGTGACATCCTCACAATTTCTGCGCAGTTCAGCCTGAGCCTGTCGCCTTTCTCAGGTAGGGTCAGAAGTTCGCCACGTGGGCGTGGATGTTGAGGAGGGACATGAAACACTCACATTTCGCAGAGCTGCATGCTGTGTGTAATGCAAACACTTCTCTCCGTAAGCTTGAAGTAACCACGGCCATCGTCTCCAGCTAACGCGGCAAGGTCCCGACCAAGATCGGATCTCCCATGAGCACGCTCGGGCCTTGCAAGAGCCAGCTTCGCAATGTTTGCTATCGGCCGGGTATCTGCCAGATCCCATCCCCAACCCGGGTACAAAGCCCCCAACCGCGAGACTGACACAGGATTTCCTTACAAATAGACCCGGGTGCCTACAGCCATCGCCCTCGCGTCGGAAATTCAGTGACACCGCTTAATTTCGGCAGGGCGTCAATCCATGGTGTGTTTTCCTATCCCTGATATGTGTTTGGAGGCAACTGACGTGTTCCTGAATTCGAGACGCGTCGTGGTTGTCAAGGGCGCGCCGAAGCCGGAGTGACTGCTATACAGTCTCATCATCCCCAGGCTGGGCCAGCTGCACAGTCTATGAATTTGCCTCCCGAGATCAAGAAGCACGGGACATGTGCAGCCTTCCCTTGACGGATATGTGGACGCAAACAACGGTCGTGGCGATGGAGTGTCTCCATAATTACTCTGTTCCAGAAGGGATTAGGACCTTGGCGAATTTGACGATCGACTTGCAGCTAAACGACCACTTCAGCAAGCTTTCACAGCAATCAAAGTGGTGATAAATCTACAACGGAGCAGGCAAGGCTACACAAGGGCTGCCGCACGTCGCATAGCAGAAGAGTGGTCGGGCGACCGCGCTGCAACCCAGATTAGAAAGCTTGGAAAAGAGTAGGTATTTAATCTTCATTCAGCTGGACCCGGCTACTCGAGCGACCTGAAGTGAGAACATCATCTGGTAACGGGAATCTTGTCGCTTCTTAGGACGCAGTCAAACGAGCCACATCGTGTGACTCATGGATGTTGAGGAGCGAATTTCTTGATTGAGGCCCGGAGAGCATCACCTGAAGCGAGGTCCCAACGCCAAGCCTTTCATATATAAACGACATGATCATGAATTACTCGTGGGTATTCCAGTTGCGCAATAGGCCCAGAAAACCACCGCTAAACGCTCAACGCTGGACGCCATATGCATCAGAAGCAAGACGTCGTGGCCCAAGTGCATGCATTCGTCAACAAGCCATCAACGCATCAGACAAGAAGTGTCAGAAGTGAAAGGGTCGTTAGGGGTATCTCTCAATGCAGGCCGTCAGAACTTGGTAATCAGAAGAGCTGCGTCTCGAAATATGCCACCACTTGGGTCGTCATGATGGATTCGAAAGCCATCTCGTCTCGTAATACCTGTGAAGAGGTCGTCATCGAATGTATAGTAGATGCGCCCACTCATCGAGCGCTATTCTCACCGCTGGTGGCCACGGCCACCAGAGCTTCGAGTCGGTTCATTTCCCCCCCATGACCGCTGCGGCCGCCAAAGGACATCGGGTGCTGGTGATGGCCGGGTTCGATAAATGGAGCTGGCACGAGGCACGCCTGCAACAAGGTTACTTTCGCTTCCCGACAGGATAGCATGAATTTTGGACGGTCACTCACATTTTGGTGTGTGTCAGGGGGCAGATGGCCGTGCTGCGGTTCCATATAACCACTGCTTGGCATGATCATGGGGTGTACTTCAACTGCCGTCATGCCAGGTGTGGGAACACCGTCGCTACTGCTGGAGTCTTCGGGGGAAGTCCGAGCCGGCGTAGGCCCTCCGTACCACGCTTGCCGCTTCGTCCGTTTGCCCAACGACTGTACCTCGAGTGCCTCACGTGCCATGTGCTGATGTGGTTGAGCAGCCATCATTGATGCCGGGGGTCCCATGTCGGCGTGCCGGGCCGGCTCATTATACCGCATGCCAACATTTTGGATCTCATTTAAGGTTTGCTGGCCCCAGGAGCCTACAGCTTGCGGTCGGTCGTCGAGTTCAGGGTATTGGCTGGGACGTTGGCCGTCCCACGATACATGTCCCTGACGCGCACGAGGGTCTGTGCCGGGCGGCGCGGACGACAGACTGGGATCAATCTGCATGGGACTGGGCTGGCGGCGAGGAGGCGTATACGAGCGATGCTGTACATGATCGAAACTCTCAATGCCCGGCAGCCGAGGGGCTTGAGCCGCCGCTGCGGTTGCGTGTTGTGCATGTGCTGGTTGAGGGGCATCCGGCGTCTGCGAATAAGTTAGCCCGCTGGTGGCGGGGCGTCCATAATTGTAATTGCCAGCGGGATAAGTGGAGGCGTGCCACGTCCGTCTGCGCCAGTCCTCCCCCGGCGGTGTTTGCTGGCCGGCGCCAAGTGGAAATGATGCTGAGGTGGGGCTGGCAAACACGCTGGAATTTGAAGACGCATGAGAACTCGGCGGACCCATCTGGTTCATATATCCAACAGCATAGCCTGCAGGGTATTGATGTTGATAAGGGTGAGGACCAGAAGGTACCGACAGGCGACGGGCCTGAGGCCTTGAACCATAGAAGCCAGCCAGGCGCGCGTTACCCGAAACGGGTGAAGCCACGGATGATAAGGACCCGGGGCTCCCTGGCGTGGCGGAAAAGTTGGCTGACGTAGGTGTGCTCAGACCACTGGGAGACGATGGATTGTATCCGCGATACTGAGCAGGTGGTGTATGCGGTGGTTCGATGCCCAGACTCGGCCTACCCGCGTTGTCGTTGGCCATCAGGAGAGGCGGCGGTCGTCTCTTCGCCTCTGTCACCACGCTGTAGTTGGAAGATGTTGACCCAATACTGGAAGCGGAGAGATTGCGGCTATGTCCCCGGCTGTGTCCACCAGTGCTCCCACCAGTGCCTGTTCGCGGCCGACCTGTGGGTCTGACCCGATCGGTGCGGATTTGACGTTGGAATCGGGTCCCAGTAGCGGCAAGGGAGTCTGTCGGGATCTCCTCGTTGACATGCACCGTCTGAGCATGTTGGCGCAGGTTATCCAGCCGCGAGAATCTCCTGTTGCAGTGGCATTGAAACGGACGTTCGCCCGTATGTTTCCTTATGTGGCGAGCCAAGTGCTCGCTCCGAGTGAAGCTGAGGTTACAGGGCGGGTAGCCCGTGCAGAAAAACCTCTGGCCTTTCTTCTTTCTCGAGGCAGGGTCTGCCTCGCCCGACTCGCCATCGTTGTCCGAGCCTGGTGCACCCTCGTCATCATCGTCCATATCCATGGTGGAAGATATCGCCTCTTCACTATCCCTTCTCTCCTCGGCATGATGCTGGGCTCCGTTGCCATTCTGCCCGTCGTGACTCGACGGTTGTGAATTCGTGGAGGGGCTTTCCCGGGATGGAAGGGCGTTATCGATCAGTGTCATGTTGGATTCGTTTGTCGAGGACGGCCCGTATCGACCGGGTCGCGGCGTTGTAGGAGAATCCAGGTCCTCCATTCTGTCCTTGGGCGGTATGTTGTCGCTTAGGACAAGGCTGGAAATGGCGGCCATCGTGGGGCCTGAAGTGAAGCAGGAGTAGTGCGACCTCCAGGCACTTGTCTGGGTGCGGCTTTACGCCACGCAGTAATGACACATCCGGAGCAGCTCTGTCGACGGTGAGACTGCGCTATGTTTCGCCTCGTGATGGGCACGTCGACAGGAGGGATAGGGCGACAGGCTGAAAGAAGACGGAAGATGCAGCAGCGAAAGGGTCGGGTGGGTGGCGACGTCAACGGACGCTCTCGGAGGGGCTGGAGCACGGTGATAAGACTAGGGTTTCCGCGCAATGGGTTCAGCAAGGTTACGGTTGCGCAAGCCGACGGGCCATACGATCGACGAGGCCAGGGGATGACGAAGGACAGAAACGGATAGTGATGAAACAGCTAGAAGGATCGGACAAGGCAACGTCGACGACTCGCGACGAAGAAGGGCAAGATCTTGGTTGCGTTTGATCGTGGACGCAGGACTCGGAAGGGTAGTTGAAGTGGGAGGAGAGTTATTGTTGGCGGCAAGTCGTGCCCCTGGTGTGCATGGTGGAGCCTGGACTAGCTCCAGGCCGGTGGCAGATGACGAGCCTAGAGGCACCTGTGCTGAGCGGTCAGTGGGGATACCGTGCGTCCAAGGTGGGATGAGTCTGAGTCTGGCAGACGGGCGCGAGGGTGTTCTCGATCAAGTCAGCGGCTTTTCAGGCCGAAGGGGATCTCTGAACCGATATTCGAGGGAGAACCGCGATGACGGGGAGGGGACCATGAGAGACAGAGAAGAGGATGGGCGCAGTGCATGTGCGATACTTCAAGTTGCAGATGCCTCGCAGCAGTGTTGAGCGACGTCTGGGTGGTTGAGCGAAGCCGTGAGCCGATGGCTGCCGTCGCTATGCACGCTCGAGGTGTTCAAGCGCGAAATGGGCGAACACCCAGACGTGCAGCCTCAAGGAAGGGGCAAATCAGCGGACCAGAGACAACTCGATGCTCCCTGGGCGGGCGGGTGCCTGTCGCAGGCAAATGCCTGGGACGCCTGGAAAGCGGAGCGGCTACCAGAGGATGAATGATGCGAGGGGCAACGACTGATTGGCGGGGCAAGGCTGATGGCGGGAGGATATTCAAGGCACAGCCCACCAGGCCTCTCGGGCTCCTTCAGTTAGACCTGCGCCTGCGGTTGATGTGCAGCATTAGCCTCGTGGGCATCCCTGCGAGATCAGCACAGCGGCCACTCAAACGCACGATGCAAATCTTAAAAGGCCTCTTCCTCCACACCTTCGACTCGTCGTCGCTCTTTTCCAGCGGCACACTGGACCCAAGAGAGGTCGCCCGTTCATCGGGATGGAGCTGCGAAACTGCGTCCGTGGCCATGAACTCGTGGGACGACCACGACGACCGGCTTTTTACCACCTTACGTTTGACGTTCCTGTCATCCCACTCACACTCTGCTTCGTGATTGCCCGAGTGAATCGGCTTTTCGCCATGCAGTCCAACGAAGCCGAGCCTGTGAGGTGCCTGTCATCAGTCTGACACTCCGCTTCGTATATGTTCTCGCCTGACTCACCTTGTCTACGCGTACAAGGAGCTTGAGATGCGGCACGTCCGCATCCGGCTCATTGCCCGCGGGACACCCAAGACTCGGGCGCTTTTCTGACAGCCATCCTTCTCCTTGTCCATCTCGGCTGACCGCATACAACCCGCCGTTCGACTGGTGCTCCGGGTGTGTCGGGTCTGACAGTCCAATGAGCACATGCCCGCAGTCTCAGCCAGACCCCAGGATTCAACCAGGTCAGGTACATCATTCCTGCTGCGGAGTGTCGCTTCCTTGTGCACAGCCCAGAAGTCGCATTCAGATGTTCGCTCGATCCAGGAACAGGCACATTATGTTCAGGTACACTCCGAGTTCAGCAGCCGTGCCAATCACCTTCTCATCTCCTCTGACATTTCTACTAAGTATCAGATGACACGTTCTGAAGTCTTGATGTACATGGTATCCATGCATTTAGATTTGTGTTTATCTCGTCCAACGGTTGTCTGGTGAATTACCGCCTCAAAGGTGCAAGAAGCCAAGCTAGCAACAATTGCATGTGACACAACGAGCCCAACTACGGAGTAGCTATGGAGTAGCTATCACCGTCCAAGTTGCAACCATCTCTGCTGGCGCCGATATGCTGCACCATGCCTGCCGTGACTCTTCTTTTGCAACTAGGATACGGAGTATTGAGCACGGCAATGATCGCCATGAGTCAGTTGCACTCCCCAGATAGAATTTAGTTCCGGACGGTACTGGACACGACAGGATCTCTGTCGGTAGTAAGACACCGTGGCAGCCTCCGTAAGAACAAGGTAAGAGGAAGAAGAAGCAGCAGCAACTCTTGAACCACACAACTAACTCAGAGCCGGCCAACTAATCGAAGCCGCCGGAGAAATTTCAGCCTTGCCGGAACATCGATCATCCTTGAATGTTGTACGTTCGATCTCGTCCAACATCCGCTCTACACACCTCCAGATGTCCCTCCACTACGGAGTACCGACTAACGCTATTGCCCTGAAACATGAACGTATCGAGAACCTCCTGGGGTTAATCTAGACTTTTCTTTTGCAACATTAAAATAACCACCCGGACGATCTATTTCTGAAATAATACTTGTCAGCCTCATCGGATTTCTGACAGTCCGACTCCTGGGGAAGATTACACCCGTCTACCCCGGACGACGACAGGTTTGGTAACGACGGTGGAGAAACCCATCTGGCGGACTCACAGGATCTCACTGCCCGTCATGACTACAGCGGGTCCGGCGCCAGCAGGGACCACCGCGACAACATCATCCTACATTGACATTGACTCTCTCATCTCCGACGACTTTTCGCCCTATGCACACGCCAATGGCCTCGTTCTTGCCACCAACAATCCATCCGACCCAGCAATAGATCTCAACACACCGCTGTCCCGTGTCCTGTTCGACCTGCAAGAAATTGACTCACATATCGATACCCTCACCTCCCGCTCAGCACTTGATATTCTAACCTACACGTCGACACAAAACGCCGCGGCACAACGGATCCTTTCCAGAGTCGAGGAAGAACGAGCACGGCTAAATGCGAGCTACGAACGGCTGGAGAAGGAGGTCCTGGTGCGGCACCAAAAGGCCGTCGAGGCCCAAACCATCGCCCAACGGAGCTGGGAAGTCCTCAGGCTGGGCAGAGGTGTACAGCGGCTTCTCAACTTGGCCAGGCAATTCGAGGTCCTTATCAATGAATCTGGCCTCGGAGGCACGCGTGCCGGCAAGGAAGACCATGGCGTACTCGTCCGCGCGAGCATCTCGATCCTTTCCTTTCGCAATATCATGAGCGGCGAAGGCGAAGAACTGGCTCGCATCAACCTTGTGAGGACTCTGCGGGGGAGGGTATTCGAGGATGGAGAGGCACGGATCTTGGATTTTGCTAGACGAGTGGTGAGGGAGTTCTCAATGAGCACGTTGTCTCCAGCACCGGGCGGAGCTTCAACTACCTCAGCGCCTACATATCGAGAGGTGGAAGACAGTCGAGCCCGTTTCAGCAGCGCAGCGCATATACTCTACCTCCTCTCCCCAGCGCCACGAATAGATGGACAGAAGATGACCAGGAAGGACTTCGAGCCGGAATATCTGATACGTGCATTGCAGGGGTATCTGCAGACTGCCATCACTTCGAGTTCGGCATCGATAGGGCGTGCACTGGGACAACTGCCGACCCTCGACAGAGCCTTACTTGAGACCAGCGCAAGATGCCAGAATGTCGTGGCTTTAGAAGCACTTCTGCGGAGTATAACGGCCCCCGAGCATCCCTTGGTGGCGTCCGAAGCGCCCGCGAATATTGACACACTCACGACGGGGGACGACACCTCGGATGAAGACGACACCAGCCCCACCACCAAACAGCCTACGGAAAATTTCCTGGCCATTCTTCTCACTGCTCTGGACACAGCATCGTTGCCCTCATACTTTTGGCGGTCGCTGGCCTCCTCGTTGTCCACGCGGGTCCAGGAGATCCTCAATCGAGGGGGGATTTCAGCACGGACGCTCCGCAGTCAGCGTGATATGGTAAGGGCCGAGGTCCGAGAGTGCGTCCTGCGAGGCTCAAGACTCCCTCGGACGGTGACACTCGGAGATGCGAGAGCCACCGCAACGTCGAAGGGAGAAGAGACCGTCGAAAACTGGGAACGCGAGGCCGCTGTAATGGTTGGAAGTGTCGCAGGCTTGCTTGGTCGATAGGAAGAACTGCTCCTGGCTGGAAAATCTCCAACCCCTCACAGAGTTGAGAGATGCGTCCCTGGAATCACTCCGAAATAGGAGTGAAGATGTTCGATTCAAGAAAGCGCAGCTTGTGCAATGCCATCATCATAGGCTCCAAACCGCGCTCCCACCTGATACAGTACCACGCTATGCAAAATTTTGTACAGCACCATAGTCTCATCATACACGGCACCAGCTCATTCCTCGGCTCCGCGAGTCTCCCCTGGTGCTCATTGGAGCCGCTTGCCATCCTCCTAAGTTCGTGTGTCTTACCCTCACCCGAACCAGGACTTCCCTCCTCTCTCTGCCTTGGCCTTCGCCGACGCCGCAGCATCCTCCTTGGCGATCTGCTGTAACGTGCGATCGCGCTTGTAATCCATCACTCTCTTCTCCTTGAAGTATTTGATCTGGGCGGCACACAACGTCAGCGTCGTACTGGTCTCGCTTCGTTCCTCTCACGATCCACGACCGTGACAGCCAGCTTACCCAACTCCTTGCACAATCCCGCTCATAGGCGACCACCTCTGTAGGACAAAGCTTTCTGCTCTTCTCATCCTCCTTGACTGCATCGAGGATGTCGTGCCGGTCTAGGCATTGGAAGAACGCGTCGCGGGACTCGTAGCAGTGTTCTCGGGAAGTGCGGTCAGGGGCGACGTAGCCCCCGTCTTTCGATCGAGGTGGCTGGTTTGCGGATTGTGGTAATGAAGGGTTGGAGGAGCCTCCAAGCCAGGAGGGGAGGCCCCAGGTCATGGTAGATGCG